TCAACAAGCTTCTCCAGTCATTTTGATTTACCGCTGTTCTTTTCCATGAACGCGTTCCCAGGCAGTTCCTGGCATCCTCATCAACTTCGTCCTCCCATCTCTTTTTAGGTCTTCCAACAGGTCTTTTTCCCTGCATTCCTGCATTTAGTAATTTTCTGGGGATTCTATTCTCATGCATGCGGACCACGTGCCCTGTCCACCGTAATCTCTGCTGTTTGGTGTATTGTGCTAGAGTTGGTTAGCTATATTGCTCGTATATTTCTCTATTATACCTAATTCACGCCTCCAAAGTTGCAATTTTTTAATACACATATTGATCGCACCACGATGAGTAACTATATTTAAGTTTCCACCCAGCATTTTGCACCTTGATAAATAAGCCAATATTACTTGGGTACATTGTTTTTTGAAGATCGACATATTTCTTTTAAGAGCCATCGTATTTCTATATGAAATAGCAGTGTTTTGTGAATTGCGATCACTTCCTAAATCTTCACAAAGAGTTTAAACCAGTCGAGTATTCAACGTACTGTTTTTTTATGTAATTCACTACTTTAAGACATCATTCAATTCAGTTGAAAGAGTTTTGGCTGTCAAGGCTTGTCGATGTATCTCAGTCACATCAGAATTTTTTTCTCTTACTAATTATACACATCCTGAGCAAGAACCAAGCATTGAAGGCGCGCCATCCGGACACACACCGATCAGTTTTTGCCAAAAGAGTTCATGTTTGTCAAAAAGCTGAGAGCTGAAAGCTGAGACTGCTTTCATAATATAAATAGCTTTGGTCGTAGTCTCCAACTCAGTAAAAGAGAGTAGCATGTCTTTCATTCTTTCGTTTTCAATATACCGAACATAAACAATTGACTGAGAACATTATGCTATGCCTGTACTCTTGTCTAGCTGAATAGCAAAAAATGGAGATTATTTTACTATATATCTTCGGCCGTATTATCAATGCGACGTTTCCCAATATTGTCTGAAAGAGATATTTGAGATAACTTTTGCTTACTCTACGTTCCAAGAATAATATCATCTGCCTTTAACAAACACGGTTTAAAAAAACGTCTCTGCAAAAATATGGCTCTTCTTTTCTTTAGCAATCAGAAGTGATAGTTCATATTTATGAAGTTCAAGCCCCTTTTCAGATGATTAAGCCGTAGAACCAGTACTATCCAACTTCATGCATTTATAACGCAATAATTCGTGCAAGATAGGTCGAGGTATCTCAAACACTAAGTCACAACTCACAACTGATTAGCTGCGGTTAGCTGGCCTGCGTCTGGTTAGGGAAGGGAAGGAGAGAGGCAGTGCTGGGAAACGCTTGGTTGTCAAATGCGCGCTATTATATATATATATATATATATATATATATATATATATATATATATATATATATATATATATATATATAAACGAAGAATGATCACAGCTATCCAATTATTAATTAGGATACTGGTAAGGTTGATTGGGTTAGCAGCTGAATAATGAAAGCCAAAGTGTGCTCTTTTCAACGATTTCGTTATATTTCGTTAAATTTCTTTAACATCTTCAGACGAATGCTACAATATGTTACAAAATGGTGAAATTGTGTATTTTACATAAGATGTAGTGAACACTTACTTGTGTGAGGTTGCAGGCAAAAGTGGTATAAAAACGTTAAACATTTAAGAAACATGTTTCTTAAATGTTTAACGTTTTTTAATATTTGTATTGTACTTGCACACTGGAGGAAAAAAAACAAAAATGCACTTGTATTGTTTGAGTTTTCAAGCCGCCATATAACACATACAACTTATTCCTTTTTTTTGCTATAAAAAAATCTTCAAAAAAATTTTTCAACATGGAACTTTTAAATACCACTTTTGCCTGCAACCTCACACAAGTAAGTGTTCACTACATCTTATGTAAAATACACAATTTCACCATTTTGTAACATATTGTAGCATTCGTCTGAAGATGTTAAAGAAATTTAACGAAATATAACGAAATCGTTGAAAAGAGCACACTTTGGCTTTCATTATTCAGCTGCTAACCCAATCAACCTTACCAGTATCCTATATATATATATATATATATATATATATATATATATATTATATATATATATATATATATATATATATATATATATAATAGCGCGCATTTGACAACCAAGCGTTTCCCAGCACTGCCTCTCTCCTTCCCTTCCCTAACCAGACGCAGGCCAGCTAACCGCAGCTAATCTATATAGCTATATATATATATATATATATATATATATATATATATATATATATATATATATATATATTATATAATTATGTATACCACATTGAACGGCTCACATTCCATTTGTGCAAGCATTCGATTTTAAATTTATGTGTAAAGTCAGATGTTATAGTGGTTTGTTTTAATCAAGGGGGGCACGCGCCCCCAGTTTGGGAACCCCTGCTCTAGAAGGATTAATTTCATTGAGCATAATTTAATCATATTTTCTGAAAATATTAATTTTTTTTCGATTTCTCACTTCAGAAAAGTGGAGTTGCCCGGTTCTTGCACCGAGGTCCTCAATTATTGGAGTAGTTTTTAATCGTTTTATTTGAATACTAATAATGAACACCTAATTTCAATCTATAAAATCTATAATCGATAATTTTAAAAATATTGCGACTGATATAAACACAAAGACTGATAAATCAATTAACTTAAAATTGATAATAAAAAAACTTCGATTATATTAATTTAAATAAGCAAATAGTATTGTTTTTTTATTTTTTAGAGATTAATAGAATTTTAGGGTGGAGAGCTACTGACACCTACAGCACATGATATTGTATGAATCACATCGATAACCACAAAATCTGTAAATATTATTTTTTGTAACGTGATTGACAATATAAAAATGTTACTTTTACGCCTAGACATAAAACTAAGTACTTTTATGCCTAGGCACAAAAGTGTAAAAGTCAAAAGCTCAAAACCTTCGTAAATCGCAGTGGACTTGGTAGGCAAAATTCCTTTGGTTACAGTCTTTGGTACACAAAATATCTGAAGGAACACGAAATGCCGTTGGATCTTCGGAAACAGAAATAATACTTGTGCTTTTGGGCGACAATAAGCACAAACCATGGTAACATAAAAATTATTTCCGACGTTTGAAAAAAATATGTATGTACTGTTGACTTATTGTGTGTAATGTTGACTTTTTGTGCCTCGGCATATTGTCAAACGTACAGCCTCACCACAAAAGTATCATTTTTTACTCCTAATAAAATAACATACTATTTTTATTTACTAAATATATTACTAATTTATTTTATGCGTTCGAAAAATAATGTTTTAAAATAATTTTTAACGACGAACTTAAGACTAAATTAAAATGACGTATCGCTAAAATAAGAGTGGTTTAAGACGGAATTATTTCAATTTAATTTTCTTCATCTTTAAGTTGCTTATTCATCTAAGTATGAACACGTTTCTTATAGTTATCTAAAGGAAAACCAATCCCAATCTTTTCATCATTCTGTTTATCGAAAACATTTATGCCAAACGTTACTTGCTTGCCAAATCTCATCATCCACCTTCACAAATTAATTTAATCAATAATACTCTTGTCTCCAAATACGTCTTTGCGATGATGTAAGTAGACCCGCTGGGCTCTCTAGTTTAAAACAATCCCTCGTCCAAAACGGTTACCGCGAAAATCACATTAATAGAAGAATCTACAGATATCCATTTCCCACTCAATCTCAATCCAAAGACTCAGACCCTCAACATACGAAAGATTTTCTTCCTTACATCAAAGGTGTCACTAACCAAATTGACAAAATTCTGAAATCAAGAGGAATAAAGACAATATTTATACCCCAACAAAAACTTTCATCCCTTCTCAGATCAATCAAAGACAACATTCCAAATGTACAACATGGAGTTTATGAAATTCCTTGTTCAGACTACATGGGCCATCATCGGATCATCGGATCATCGGACTACATGATCTTACATGGGCCAAACAAAGCGTAGAAACCAAAATAGGATTTATGAACATTCCATTTCTGTTCGCAATTCCGATTAATATAAATACTTCAGAACTATAGCCCCCATTTGCTTCTATAAACCAAGAATTATGTTTCATACATAGGAGTAGAATGGGGCACAATCCGACATACATAGGGGTACAATGTAACATATATATAATCGACCGATCGAAGTTGTACAATAAACCAATGAGATTGCTTTAGAAGGATGCCTAATAAAAGTGCTATACTATAGTTTTATTCTTATAATATAAAAAAATAATATAAAATCAAAGAAAAAATAATTCAAACGTTGAATATAGTAGTTAGCCAATTTAAATTTGCCAATTAACTTGTTGTCTGAGGGTGACATATTCTCCCCGTGTGTCTGGGATTCTGTCGTTTAGCCATTTATGAAATGCACTTTTTTCTTTTAATCATCTCTTCTAAGTCGTCACTGTATTTCTCCAAATATGTATTCTTATGTTGTTCAATACCCAGCACTTAGCCTATTCTGATACAGTGTTCGTGTACTAAATTGTTGTAGAAGTTCTACTTTATACCTCGTATTTGCGATTTTTTGCATCTCCTCGTCTTTCTGGATATTGTCATTTTGTCGTCTTTCCGTGTATAGGAGTTTTCCTAGCACTAATCGGTGGTTACTTGCACATTTTGCTTGTCTGTATACTCTTACATCTTGTAATACAATGTAATCTTGTAATGCAATATATAGTGATCACCAGGTAGTGTCTAATAATAATGTTAAAAAATAAACACCCTCAGTTTCACCAATGCCCTGGGGAAAACCTGAATCTGCGGTTTATCTGGATTTATAAGATACATCGCCTCAGTAAATAAAATTTAAGATAAAAAGAATATTTGTTTAATACGATTATTAATTTTGAACATATCCACAAAATACTCTTTATTATCTTATCGAGTTTTTATCGATATAATCACTTTATACTGCATAAATTAATATTGGCACTGGTTATCGACATTTTTGTGTCATCACTTAAACCATATCAAAAGATAGTACCTATAGCTAATCACGGGAATAAAACTTTTTCATGAAACCCGTAAAATATTTAGCACAAAACTATTTGTGTTTGTGAGAGTTACAAGTGAGAAGGATTTTTTTAAACGATGTGGATTGTTTGATACTCTTAAAAAACATCAAGTAAGTACATAAAATATTTAAGAAACAATCTGCAACATATAAGGTATCTTAAACATTAGTATCATCCAGTTTCCTTTTTGAACGAGCTTTAAAATTAATACAAAAGCTTCAAAAATTTAATAATTATTTTGATATCTTTAGTTGTCATTTTTTTCCTACACTCATCAGCATTAACTAATTCCAGATGAAACAAAGGCCCAATACGCATTCATATATCATAAAAATCGTATGTAAATCTATGACTTCTTCTCCTTCTCTATATCCCATGCAATACATTACTGTCTCGATCTTTAATCGCCACCTGTTTTTCTAAATAATGGTTTTCTTTAATGAATTCATCATCCATTTTTCTGAGCCATTATTGGCTCAGAGAAGTTTTCAAAAGTGTTTGTACATTTCAACTTTTTATTATATTTATTAGATCTTTCTTTTCTTCTTATTCTTTTTATTTGTAATGTTAGCTTCTAGTGATTTTACCATTTCTTAAATTGTCTTCTTAGGTATTTGGTGTGTCCATTTTGACTTGCATCACACTATCCGTTCATGTAAAATACAAGTTCCACCTCTACTTTCCTTCTCTTTATTATCCTCGAAATTAAGAGCACTCTAATTTATGACGTTTTAAATAATACTTCTTGTCTCTGCCGTATCAGCTGTGGTTTCTATACTTCTTCTTCACGTGTTATTTCAGAATTATCCGACATTAGTGATCACCATTGCGAAGGCTTTTCCGTCTTTTGACACATGGAATAATTGTCCTGCATTTGATATCTGAGTACATGAGTGATTTTTACCCAAAAAATCTGTTTTCTGCCCACTTCTCTACGGTCTTTTATTTTGCCTTTAATGATCAGTTGTAGTATTATATATTGATATCCCTCACTATATTTAATACCTAAGACATTTTACGGTGTTAAACAGTCTTTATAAATTCTTTATCTTTGTTTTAGTGCTTCCTCATTAGTTTTTCTTGCTGTTCAAGGTATCTTCAGCGTCCGTCTATGTAGTTATCTCCAATTTTTACGATAGCGGTTTGACTCCAGTACAAATTTATAATGACACGAATATCCTTGTCATCTATTCCGATATTTTTCAGGATTTGCATGCTGTACTTTATCGAATGCCTTTTCAAAGTCCACGAAACATGCAAGTACATCTTTTCTTTGGTCACGGCATTTTTGTAATAGGATGTTAAGCGCAAAAATTGACTCCTCGGTTCCCATAGCATTTCTAAAACCAAATTGGGTAACTTCGAGATTTTCTTCTAATTAATCAATATTCTGAGCATTTTCTTGGATTGTATTTTTTAGGTATTGCGACAAAGATTAATTTGAACCAATTTGTGGGAATCACTCCGGTATTATATATTGAATTAAAAAGTCTTACTACTACTTTTATGTTATCATCCTCTATTTGTTTCAGCAATCATTAGGTAGTATTAGGTAGTATTATTAGTATTAGGTGTATCATCTGAACCACAAGCTTTTCTACTTTTACCGTTATTTATAACGTGCTCTACCTTCGATTTCAAAATTTCTGGGCCGTCAGTACATATTTGGTAGAATTTGGCAATATTATTCCTGTCATCTTCAAACAACTCTGATATATACAGCTGCCATTCTTTTCTTATTTCAACTTCATTAGAATAATTTTGTTATTATGGTCAATAAGCACAGTAAGAACTCGTTTTATAAATATGTTATCATCCACTTCTTTTATTTTTTTGTGCACATTAAATAAATCGAGTTTAGATATTACATCCTCCATTTCGTCGCATCTTTCTCTCATCATTTTTATTTGGCTAATTCGATCTCCTTTTTTATTTTTCTCTGCAGGTGTCTACAAGTATATTGTGTTTCATTTGATTTTATAAGTCGACGTTGTTCCATTAATTTCAAGATGTCGTCTGTCATCCATTTATTTTTCTTGATTAAGTTTTTTCTATAATCATTGTTTGTGGAGATTTCGTTAACTTGGTTTTTAATTCACTTCACAATTATTCTGGAAATCTTCTATTTGTTCTCCGACGTTTTTTATTCTATTTTTAAATTCTTTTTTAATATTATATTTTATGTTTATATCATCAAATTTAAGTACGTTGGTTTTTGTCGCTGAATTCGTTTTAACCTTAGTTTAATATCTGCTAGAAGTGGTCGATGATCAGATCCAATATCTGCCCCAGGAAATGTAGTGACTTTTTTGTCGGCATTTCGGAAACGATTTTATTTACAAGTACATAGTCTATTTGATTTAAATCATGAATGTGTTGCTTGAGTGAGTCTATTTCAAGTAGGTAAAAGAAATAATAAATAAGACTTACTCACAATCAGTTTAATTTAACTATCTAGATGACCGGCTTCGCTTTCTACAATATGCAAAGCATCTTCAGGTCTCGATACAAAGTAAATTAAATGCTGAAATATTAGGGTGTTGTCTTATAAAGATAGACAAAAATAAATGATATAAATTACAGTAATTATGCCAATATTACATGTCTGTGGTTTTTCAAAATGAATAAACTGTTTAAGCAGACAAGGTAAGACCCACACATTGGTATAAAATAGTCTATTGAATTGTAATTGCTACAATTCAATAGACTATTTTATATCAATTTACCTTGACCCACCTTGGCATTAAGATCGCCCATTATTATGTTATTGTGTTGCTTTTTTAATGTTTTCAGCATTTCTTCTAAATTGTAGAATTGTTCTACAATTTCATTGTCATCTTTATCTGCTGTTGGTGCATAGACTTAAACAAAATGTATTAAGTTATGTCTTTCTTTAATTTGTATTAATATTAAGCGCTCTGAATAAGAAGTACAGGTAATCAGAGACTTTTTCCATTTCTTTGAAATGGTGATTCCAACTCCGTAGCGATGGGCGATGTTGTCCATTCCGTAGTAATAAAATACGTCATCATTTCGTGTTGAACATTTCCCAGACCGTGGCCATAGTGTATCGCTGATTCCTAAAGCATCGATGTTTAGTCTGAGCTAAAAGTGATCCTTGTAGTCTTGTGTTTTTCTTACTTTGCTGGATCTTGGTATCCTATTAGCATGAACAGTAGGGTTTCCAGTATTTTTGGTGTACACTATAATGACTTAACAAGGGGTATTTTATGAGTCTTTAATGCAATAGTTCCCCGTTGCCTTCTGCATCCTTTCTCCACAATTACCCACCGGTAAACCGGGTCGGACATCCCCCTATCCGCCACCTGGGGACGCACTCTCTAGGGGTTACAGGTTCCTCCGAGAGAAAAATTTTAATATTTTGAAGCAACTTTCTTCTTAGTTGCTTTTGGTCTACAGGTTTATCTTAAAGTACACGACTTTTTTGGATTTTTGTAGAAAAAATAATTTAAATTGCTAAACTATGAAACAAAAATATATAAAAAATCATGTTCATTCTATATTTATCAGTGAGTAATAGATATCTTATCAAAAATGTATCCTTTGATGTGATACTAATCTTTAAACAAAGGTATTAAGATTACAAGGAAATAATTTTAAATTGATAAATTCAGTTTACGAATAGATTTTTTAAATCTTAATAAGCTTTGTTTTTAATTCAAGCACATATATAGGGTGTTTTCAAATTATCTTCAGAGCGGCTAACTCTCGGTATGAATTTGATGATGAATTTGAACTTGCACAAGCTGTTAATTGGCTATTGGAGTCATAAAACATATATTTAACTGTATTTTTTCTTCTTCTACGGCACCACAGCCCAAATTGAGCCTTAGCCTCCTTTATTTTATGCCTCCACCCTAGTTTGTCTGTGGCTGATCTTTTCCATGCACGGACTCCTAAAAGGGCTGGTGCGTTGGTGTTTACATTGTCTTCCCAGCACTTTCTTGGCTTTTCAACCAGTCTCGTTTCCTGCATTCTGGTAGCCTATCCTCCCCCATTCTAATTATGCTTCCTTATAAAGTTGATAAAGCTCGTTGTATCGACTTCTGAAGATTCCGTTTTTCCTCATAGGTCCGAGCATTCTCCTCGGTACGTTCCTTTCAAATGTGTCGAGTTTGCTTTTAGATATTCCTTTCAGGACCCATGCTTCACTGCCATAGCATGCTGTTGGTCGAACTAAGGTTTTATAGAGTCATCTTTGTATTATAACATATATAATAAAAATTATACCAAACACAAAAGATAACAAAAATTAATCACATCTAAATTTACAAAAATACAAAAAGGTTACAGAAATAAAAACATAAAAATTTAACCAAACCGCACTTGGTTAAGTCGATTAGCTATCTCGCACTATTATTTAATGATACACTGAGACTTAAATGTTCATAATTATTACTTATTGAAATTTCTTACTAGCTGATGGAATTTGGTTCGTAACAAAATATTGACTGTTCTTTACATTGAATGCAAAATTCAGTAGTTACTCTCTACAGGTGAAGACATGAATGAACTTTAATTCGCCCAGATGATTGCAGATAATATGATAATATACCATATTACTGGCCCAGATAAGTGGAGGTACTAAGATTATGGTAACTTACAGTAATTCCTGACAACTGCTGCCTAATTCACTGAAGCTAATACTATACTTGTATTAAACACTGAATTTAATTTAAAAAAGGCACTTTAGAACTATATATAATCTAATATAGTATAAGATCAAAATGACTCAAATAAACAAGGATATCCACACTTAGAAAACAATTCACAGACGGTAAGATAACAAATACGATAATGTGAGCAAAGCGTCTCACGATAAGTCTTTTCTCAACAACGGCCCACCGAGAAGTAAGTCTTTCTCGCAAAAATTTACACAACTACAAAAAAAGGAAGAAGGGATATCTCCCACGCAAAAATCATAGGCCAGCCTGTATGTATTTCTAAGAAGATAAGGTCTTAACGACTATCGGAAAGTTCGGGGTAAATAACGGTACCAACAATTGGACATGAGAAAATTAAAATCCTTTGGATTAGGTTATTATAGAAAGATTACTATACGTGCCTCTGAAGATAATTACCGAATTTATGAAAAAGAACCCGGAAAAGGATTAACTAAGAATTAGCCAAACCGGCTTCTTTAAATACATAGGTAGGTAGATTCTTCCATCCTGTTTCGGTAGTTTCCCAATAAAAATTCTTAATCGTGCACACGATCATCTGCGTATCATCAACATGGGTAAAGCGAATTAAAAATAGTTTAATATATTAATTATATAAAAAAATGTTACACTACATATATGTAGGACATTTCCCTATCAGCCAGTGGGACGCGCCGTGTCGGGGTTGAGGACTCCCCTGCCCGTCTGTCTTCCACGAAGTACAGAAGAGTCCCTACTTAATTCAGAACTCCTCCTCCACGCAAGCTGGGACGTACACGGAATGGACATACGAGGATGATCTGAGCTAGATCGAAAACGTTATGCATCTGCACCTATAAATTTAGGACGACACTTTTACCAAGTTTTAAATTAAATGTTTTTATACCAAGATACAAACGTTTTTTACTTCTGTATAAGTTTTTTAACTATGGTATACAGCCAACTACTGGAATTTTCCCATAAATTTTCATATTTAATTTTAATTATTATCGTTTTTTGTTTTTTTTTAGAAATGGCTACGAGAAATCTATGTTTATGTATGCTTATTTGGATGTCACTCTTTGGGGGTAAGTACAGAATATTTATAGACTATAAACAAATTTTTTTAAGTAAACTTTTTCAAAAATTTATAAGTTTCGCCGGAAAAAAGATGTCTCAATCCAGAAATGCAGCTGAAATAATCTAAAAAATATTTATTAGCACTTTTTGTGTAATAAACAATGACCGTTCCCTCAGAAACAATGCATGAAGTAATCGGCGATTTTAAATGTCAGTTACGTGCACGAAATCTTCTTCTTCGTCTTCCTTCTAGTATGTAGGCTAGTATTAAAGCCTGCTTTTTCTTCAATATTAGCCTCCTAAATTGTCGCACTATCTTTTTCTTGGTCTGCCAATACTTCTTCGTCCATTTGGTGACTTATCTTGTGCTATTCGTACTATTCTATCCTCTGCCATTTTACTGATATGTTCGTTCCACTCCTATTTTTGTTTTGTCACCCATTCTTTTTGTGTCTTCTATATTGCATGTTCTTCTTATGTTTTCGCTTCCCTCCCTATCCAATAGACTTCTCCTTGATATTCGTCGGAGTATTTTCATCTCTGTTGTTTCTAGCAGTCGTCTCGTTTTAGATGTGTCAGGTCTTGTCTCCGCCGTGTATGTTAATATAGGTCTAATTGCTGCTTTATAGATTCTTGTTTTTGTGTCTTGTCTTAGGTGTTTGTTCTTCCAGATTGTGCAATTAAGAGAACCCGCCGCTTTACTTGCTTTTAACCTTTTTTGTCGTAATTCTTCTTCAACATCTCCGTAACTAGTTATATCTATTCCCAGATATCTAAACCTTGCTTCCTGCTTTATTATTTTCCCATCAATTTCGATTTTACACCGTAGTGTTTATTGAGATATTGTCATACATTAGGTTTTGTCTGCTGATATTATCATATTGTATTTCTTAGCTGTTGTATTGAAGATATGTGTTAAACTTTGGAGCTCGTCTTCTGGTATGTTGGTATGTTTTTTTATACAGTTGGTGTGAGACGTTTTCGACTTGGATGCGATCGAAAGCCTTTGTCAGGTTTATTAAACATATATATGCTGGTTTATTGTACTCGATGGCCTTTTCTGTGATTTGTCTTAGTACAAATACAGCGGCTACGCAAGATCTTTCGGATTTGAATCCTCGTTGTTCATCTGATAAAGTTGTTAGTTTATTGATTTTATTGGTTAGTACTTTTGTGGTAAGCTTAACTGCGGTGTTCAGTAAATTTATACCTCTATAATTGTTGGGGTCTTCTTTATCTCCTTTCTTGAACATTGGTATGATTATGCTGTTTCTCCATGCGTCTGCTATCTTGCAGTACAATATTAGTTTTTGTATAAGTTTTGTCATCTCTACGGTTATACTTTCTTTAAAAACTGATTTCTATTTCGTGTCCCTATTCAGGTACGTTATTGTGTTGATTATTATTTTCTTCTGCTTTAAACAGTTCTGTCAAATATTTTTCCCATTCGTTTGCTGGAATGTTATTGTATTCCTTCAATTTTGTCATTTCTTTCCGTTGGTTTCTTATAAATCTTCATATTTGTTTTTATGTACCGTAGAAGTCGCTTTCCATCCTTTTTGTAAGCTGTTCCCAGTGTTCATATTTTGTTCTTCTTACCAACTGCTTTGTTTCATTTCGTATTCTTTTATAGATGTCTCTAGATTCTGGGATATTTGATGTTTTGTATTTCGTGTAGGCCTCTCGTTTCTCTTTACATTTCTCTTTTATTTCTTTTCTGAACCATGGTGTATTGTTTTGAATGAATTTGTGAATTTTACCTTGGTGATTTCCTGTAGAAAATTGTGTTTTGGTGTTATTTTCCTTCTTATCTTTGCTAGTACTATTTTGTGTTCACTCCCTGCGTCTGCTGAGTTTAAAGTTCGGTTATCTACAATTTTCTTTGGGTGGATTTTTTTATTAGTGACTATAAAATCGATCATATATTTATGCCTCCTAGAGTTTTCAAATGTATATTTATGCTGAAGCTTATGGTCGAAAAATGTATTATTGATTCTGAGTTGTTAAAAGCACAGAGATTAGCCATGAGTTCTCCATTTGCGTTGACATGGTTTTCATTAAATCTTTGTTTTACTCCTGAAACTATTTTATTTCTGATTCGTGCATTAAAGTCACCCATGAAAATTATGGGCTCTTCATGAGGTATTTCTTCCAGGATGGTTTGGAATTGTTCGTAGAATGCCTCTGGTTCCTCCTTAGGGTTACAGTCCTCGGGGCTATAAATATATATGACATTTAATTTTTGGTAGTTCATTGTGATGTTCATATGTATTATTCTTTCGGAGATATAACGGCAGTTATTTATGTTGCCTTTATATTTTTAATGGACAAGTTTACCTACGCCCGCTACGCCGCTTGCACGAAATCAATGTTTTAAATAAAATTTGTATCAATTCGACGGTAAAAATCAATTTACGGATTTAGGTCACGGCGTACAGATTCCGTGTAAATCAATTTTTTCCATTTCTTTCTCTCCAACGAGGGGGTTTTAGAGGGAATCCTGCGGTAGGAGTAGAAATCTTTTGGGGCTTAAAAAATTAACGTACTCAGCAAAATTCAGCTTGGTCGTACGATTTTATGATTTTTAGAGGTTTACTGGCATTTTCGTTTCGGACGAATGAGTATAAATAAAACAACAAATTTTAGTCCCTATTAAATGAAATTTCTAAAAGTATTCTTATGTTTTATCTGTATTTTTTTAGGCATATTTGGCGATGACACTATTAGCATTGAACCAGTAAACGATAAAATAAAAGTACAAAATGTGGGACCAGGCTTATACACTGTTAACATGGACGAAAATAATCATGGAGGGAATCCACCAACTCCGCTTTTTGCTATTAATGGAGTGGAGAAAGCTGATTGTAAGTAAAATTATCTTATTTATATAGGTAACTAAGTACACAATATACGATTACTGGTAATATTTGCTTCGATAATTTCTTAATTAACATAAATATTACTCTACAATAATAAATATAATATATTTTTGTTTCTATCCATAATAAAAATATATTTTCACTGCTGACATTACCCAACTATACAAGTACTCACCTTCCTGCTCCATGCATACATACTATCACCCTCCTATGTTCAATACCACATATAAATTTATCCCTAACTAACCCTCTCCCGATCTCGCAGAATTCTCCTTATACCAAAACTTTACCGAAATTTAATGTGTCACTTACAAAGTTTAGTAACGCTGAAACCAACCAGGATTTTATTAGGAAATCCTTACTAGAAATTCTTAATTTTAAGTAATTCGATCGGGCCATCTACACTGACGCATTAGCGCGCAAAACGGTTGTTGGTTGTGCGGTTACCACTACAAAAACAGTCGTTAAGATCATATCAAATACTTACCACATGCAGCGCTCACACTGGTGAACTGTATGCTATTTACCAAGCCTTCAAACTCTGCACAGAACCCAATTAACATATTGCCATCTGTACAGATCCCCTCGCCTCTATCCAGTCCATAAATAATCTATTCACTAACCACCCTCTTGTAGAAAAAATCCATGACACTTACCAAAACCTTATCACCACGACATCCATATCACGCCGATTGCTTTGCCAAAGAAGCTGCTGTATCCAATTGTACACTACGTAATATACAAATCGCCAGTGACCTACAAACTAGTATAATAAAACTTGAAATTACTGGCAGTTTCATTGAAACCAATCCACTTCATTTTTACTCCTAATAGATCAGACGATTTAGTTGTTCGTTATCCCTGGTATAACTAGAAATGAGATGGTTGTTGCTAGAAGATTGCATATCGGTCACACCAGACTTACACATGATCACCTAATGAATTTTCACCTAAGCCAATCTGTCACTATTGCCAATCTCCACTTAGTGTTTGTTCTACACATCCTGGTGTACTGCTCTCATTACAATAAACGACGTCAAGAACTGAGCATGAAGGGCGACATCACAGACATATTATCGAACCAGAGCTAAGTCATCACAGCTATCCAGTTCCTGAAGCTAGAAAACTTACTAAATAATATACAACTATAGTATATAATATGTAGACTTCGGCAAATATGCATATTGCATATTTTGCATATTGTGCATATTTTATGCAAATATTTCATATTTTGGCATATTTGTATAAAAGTTTGCATAAAAAGTTCAGATTTTTATACTGTATTTGAAAATTTTTAAACATACCAATTTATTTCAATTCTTTTATAAAATTTTGTAGTCATTTTAATCAAGAAATGATCTAAGTACGTAATCTCTACAGGTACAAAACATTTACAATTTCAAAGAAGATCAATTTAAGTAGCCCTAAACATTCTTAGAAAGTCTCGGTCACTGAGGCATTCAGTTATTGGATAATCGCTAAGGGTTCGCTCATTTGCATTTTATGATCTAATCCCCAAATCTATCTACAATTTATTGTATCTTAACAGTAGGTAAACGGCTAATAGTTTTGTTCCTAATTTAGGGATTTTCCAAAATCTCCCAGTTTATTGAATTAGGTACCTAAACATTTCTAATTTTATGCTCAGATTTGTAAATCATTTTTGTTTTGATATTCAAAGCGTAAAAACTCGTTGTGCGTAACAAAAAGGAAGATTGTGATTTTATAATGCCTAAAACAACCAGTGCTTCAACTTGGATTAAACCTTATAAAGAGCTGTCTATGGATATGGGAAAAATCTACTGTTCAGTCTGTGGCAAAATTGTAAGTATCTAATATTTTCTATTAAATATCTAATATTTCATACATTCAGGGTGTTTCCAAATGACACTTACAACGTTTGACTGTAGATACTTCTCGAAAAACTGAACAAAACGATATAGTTAATGAGGGGTCAAACTTATTTACTTTTCGAGATACAGGGTGTTAAAATTAAAAAAAATTAAATTCTTTTAGTTAATAACAACAATAAGTTTAAAACCAATAAACGTATTTACTTGAAATTTAGTACTCGTAGGTTGTTTTTAATTGAAAAATAGCTTCCTTTAGTGAGAAAAAATTGTCCATGGTACAATACAATGGTGTGTATTTAGAAAAATTTTTCACCTTTACTTTTTTTATGAAGTCAGCTATTCTAAAACACAATTATTTTTATTGTAATTGAATTAACAAAAAAAAACACTTTTGTTGAATTTTAAAATAAGTTATATGATGTACTAATGGTTAGTAACAAAAACTAATTTGTGGATTAATACTGCATTTCAAACACTTAGCGAGTGTTTTTTTTTTCCAAACCAGTTATTTGATTAACCAAAAACACCTTGTATATTTTTATATTTTAAAGGTTGGGTTAAAATAAAGGTTTTTATTTTTATTTATAGATAGCATGTGAGAAGAAATGTCAGATAGACCAACATGTGAGAACTGCTTCACACATTGCAAAAAAAGGAAAAATAGGAGGATAACATCAAACTTCAATGGCTAAATGTTTCCAATCTACTTCAAAAAAATTAGATGAGCAAGAAACTTTTAATGAAGACTTGTGTCGCGCATTAGTGTCTGCAAACATACCGCTTTCAAAATTAGCAAATGTAAATTTTAGTTCGTTTCTAAAAAAATATTGCAAACTTAATGTTCCAAGTGATCGGTCTCTAAGAAGAAATAATGTGAACGGGCTATACTCGTCGGTGTTAATTAATATTAAGGAAGAAATTGCAGATAATTATTTTTACATATCTGTAGACGAAACCACTGATTCCTCAGGAAAGTATATTGCTCATTTATTGATTGGTGTTCTTAAAGAAGATACCTTACCAAAATCTCATCTTATTTCATGCTAGCAACTTGAGAAAACAAATGCTTTAACAATTTCGCGTTTTATACAAGAAACATTAGCAACTTTTTTTCTTCCGACAACTATTCCTTCTAATAAATTACTGCTTATTTTATCGAATGCTGCTTCTTATATGATGAAAGCAGGACAAAATTTAAAAATATTTTTCCCAGATTTAATACATATTACTTGTGTAGCGCATGGATTAAACAGAGTTGCAGACGAAATACGAAAAAAGTTTCCTCTTGTAAATACCATGATATCCAGTGTCAAAAACGTATTTCTTAAATCTCCTATAAGAATTCAACTTTATAAAGAAATGCTACCTAACATTCCTCTTCCACCACAACCTATTTTAACGCGATGGGGAACATGGTTAGAAGCAGCTAATTTTTATGCAGATCATTTTGTTAAAATAAAGAACATAATTGATACGTTAACAGATGAAAGTTCCCAATCTCTTTTGGATTCTAAACAAACTTTTCAGAGTAACTTGCTTTAACAAGAACTTTCATTTATAAAATCAAATTTTAGTTTTGTTCAAAAAACAATTACTCAGTTAGAATCACCAAAACTATCATTGTTCGAAAGTACAGCATTAATAAAAGAATTTGCGTCATGTTGTCGGAACGTTAGAGGTAATATTGGAAAAGATATTTTAAAAAAATTTGAAGCAACTATGGAAAAAATAAAGGTTACCATATTCTTTCTGAAGTAGTCAGTGTTCTAGCTGGAAATATTTCGGAAACAATTAATTTAGAACCAAATGTTTTGGTTAGTTTGAAAAATGCTCCCGTTACATCAGTTGATGTTGAACGAAGTTTTTCCATATATAAATATATGTACTCAGACAGAAGCCACAAGTTTTTGTTAGAAAATTTTGAACACCACTTGGTCATTTATTGTTACCATAATTCTAAATAAGTTTATTCATACTTAAAAATGATGTAGTTACTAAAAATAAATGTAAATCTTAATGAATAGTAGAAAATATTTAGTTATGTACACTTTTTTTTTTAAATAAAATTGTTACTATTTTACGATTTTCTTATTTATTTGTATGCATATTTTGTAAAATATTTGCATATTTTCGGGTAAACACGTGCATATTTATGCGCATATTTTATACATTTTTATTTGCATATTTGCCGAAGTCTAATAATATGTAATTATTGTATCCTATATATTATAATTGTATCCACGGTGCCTCGTGTTAATGGCCGAAGCTACCACAAGCAAGTTAAATTAAATAAATAAAAAAATATATATATTTTTAAATATGTATAAGTATACCGATTTCAAATTTTATTAATCGAATTGAACATTTTTCAGGTCCCAATTTGATAGTTCAGTTTACTCAAGGCGACACGACGTTTGTATACACGATTGATGATAAGTGTATATTCTCTGCTGAACAGACATTTGACTACGAATCGAACCAAATAGCCTACTATTTTAAAATTTTGAAGACCGTAAATAATTATATAAATATTGGTTTCACGATCAACAATATCGATGATGAACCTCCACAATTGGGAACATTTAAATGCAATTTTGATGTAAGTACCAGTTGTGTATGATATAGACATACGTTATCAGCATTCTTTTTGCATTTTCGGTATGTGGCGTCTACTTCTCTAATTACCTTTCTTCAAAAGTTTCTTAAGTCTTGGATCACACCAATATCAATGCTCTATACCAACATGTTCTGCTTAAGCGTCTCCTCTAGATCTTCAGTCTAAAGCAGGGTTTCCCAACCTTTTCTTTGTTGGGGCTCCCCGGACTATAAATTAAATTTTCATGCCCCCCCTTTACTTTTTTAATAAATACAACAAAAAACGCACATTATATACTTAAAATTTTATTTTAATTCTAATAAACAAATTTTAAAAGTTTAATTAAACTAGTACATGTTTTTTATCAAAAAAATTAAAACAAAGTAAATATTAATGAGACACTTGAGATTGCATACTCTGTACTATTTGGTTGATTCTAGGATCTGTTTTTGCCAGAGCTATCATCAGGTCGCTATCGACATCAAGACGATTTCGCTGTTTAGTTTTAATTAAAACTAGAGCAGAAAAGCCTGTCTCACATAAGTAAGTTGAAGAAAAAGGAACTAGTATTCGTAAAGCAAGAGAGGCAACCTTCGAATTAACAGGCAATCTTTTAATCCAAAATTTCTCCAATGTCAAGAGATGGAAGTCATCTTTCATGGACGAGTCAGCCATCATATCTAGAAATTCTTCCTGAATTTCTTCTGGTAATTGGAACACATCAACAACAAATGGATTTCTTGTCATACGCCATATTGGTGACTCTAAATTGATGTCTCGATAGTATCGGCGAAATTCGTCTTTCAGCGCTTGCAAATGAGTTTTTATGTCAGCTTTCAAATTTGCGGCAAGTATATTATTTTTAATTGCTTCGAACAGCCGAGAAATAACATTTTCAGAAGAGACTTTTTGATTCCAAAGTTGAAGCTTTGATATGAACCCCTGAATATAATCATAATTGCTTATTATAGTGCCGTTACTGCCCTGAAGTTTTAAGTTTAGTTCATTCAAGGCATCGAATATGTCAGCCAAATAAGCCAACCTTCATTGAAATGTGTCATCTTTGAACATTGTGAAGAAATCGTGTTTTTCTTTGAACTCGAGAAAAAGAATTACTTCTTCTTTCAATTCATAAAGGCGAGCCAACATGTTGCCTTTGGATAGCCAGCGTACTTCTGTATGGAACAGAAGAACTTTGTGATCAGAATCGAGATCCTCGCAAAGTAAAGTAAATAAACGACTGTTCAAAGCGCTGCTCTTAATGTAGTTTACAATCCTTATAGCCGAGTCCAAAGTCTGGCGTAATTTCTGTGGTAATGTTTTGGAAGCCAAAGCTTGCCGATGAATAACACAATGTGTACTAACCATTGCGGGATTTTTTTCTTTGAGCTTTTTAGCTAAGCCCGATCGTACACCTATCATTGCAGGTGCGCCATCTGTGCAAAGTCCAATGAGTTTATTCCAATCCAAGTCATGTTTTTCAACAAAATTTGATATTGAATTAAATATATTCTCAGAAATAGTACCTGCTGTCAAAGATTGGGAGTACAAAATCTCTTCTTCAATAATATCTCCGCCGATGTAACGAACATACACTATTAACTGTGCACAATTAACGATGTCGGTGGATTCATCGCAACTAATTGCAAAAATGGCGATAATTTTACTTTGTTGATTATTTGTGACTTTATGTCTGCTGCAATGTCATCGATTCTACACTTGACTGTATAATCCGAAAGAGAAATAGATTTCATTTTTTGCTCTGCATCTTCTCCTAAAATTCTCTGCGTGGCTTTTAGGACACACGGTTTTATTAATTCTTCACCAATAGTATGAGGTTTTTTTTGCTTTGCTATCATAAAAGCTATTTCAAATGAAGTTTTGAGATGCTGCGATACACCTTTGTGATAACTTCCCGATTTATCCAATCTCATCCGCTTGAGTGATTCTGCTTTAGAAGAAAAAAACTCTTGCGTTTTCAAAACCAGAGTAGGATGTTGTACCTTCAAATGTCTTTCAAGGCGATTGGGCCTCATGCTATCATTACTTAAAACTTTCATACATATCACACACTGAGGTAACTGTAACTCGTCTTTTTCTATGAAGGTAAATCCAAACTTAATATAATCTTCGGAAAACTTTCTTTTTTTCGCTGCCATTTTGCAACCTATGACAATAAAACAGTAATAAATAAACAAGCAAAATACCTACATGTAATTACTATTTATAAATGCCCATTTATCTTAATAACGTAATGTATTTAACGTTTCAAAATTAATTCGCCACGTAGGTTTGATTGTAATGTGTTAAAAAAGATCCAATGATCGATCTACGAACGCATCTTAGCTCAATGAATAATTTAGTAAATTAAATAAAAATGACAACTGTAGTTTGTAAATACACAAACTTACCTTTTAACAGTGAAACACAATAATTATACACACTCAAACTAATTTCTCAGCAACAAATTGATACCGAAATGTCAAATTTTTCGTAAATTTGTAAGAATGAATGTCACAGATGCTCATGCACATCCGGTAGGTACTCAACTATTTTCTATCTACCTATGATCTAATCCTAATTCCTAATGAACGTTATGCGGAATCGGTGCGGAGGGGTTGCGCGCGTATTTCATGTAGTGACTTGTCGAAACTTATATAAACTGCGATTGACGACGTTGGTGTCGGGTTTTGAAACGGTTGTTGACATATTCAATTTCATTAATTTTATCCGTGTAAATTAAACATTACATTGCAATATTATTTGTAAATGTTGTTTGATTATTATTTTTTTCTTTCTAAAATCGCAAACGTCTTCCGCCCCCCTTGACATCTCTCTATGCCCCCCTTGGGGGGCATGCCTCCCTGGTTGGGAACTCCGGGTCTAAAGCGTCTACTTTCAATCAGGGTAGAAAGATCAGAAGATTTTCTTCTAGAAAGAAGAATGAAATAAGGAGATAGAATCAACCCTTTACTATTTTTAATAATCTAACTAATAATCTAAGTAAACAGTGGAAGATCTTCCAGTACTCTACTCTTACAGACTATTGCCAAATCCGTATCCTTTAACTTTCATTACTTTACTTTCTAATGTCATACTTGCTTTCCTTGCTGCCTCACCTTTATCTCCATATCTTCTGTCACCGGTTGGTGGTAACTAGCTCGATAGTCACCCTTTATCACTTTATAGTTGGTAACCTCTTTTCAAAAGCTTAATATACGTTACTTAATATGCATTATTTATATTTTTTTTAGGAAAAAACAGATTACAGTCTTGAGGATACTACATGCAATACTACATTGCATGATCCCGATGGATGGCTGAATCTAATGAAAATTACTTCAGATTTAGTAAGTACCTATCATCTATAAATACCTTACTGTTAATCTCTATTAGTATTAAGAGTAAAGGGGTTTTGAAATTGTTTTTTGGGGCATGTTTAAGCTATAGTATATGTATATGGGATTAAACCATAATAAAATTGTAAGAAAAATTACATTTTATGTTCTACGTGTTTGGTGTTTCGACTTACCACTCGACTTCGACTTTAAAATTGGTTGCACCTTTAATCCTTCTTAAAAACTTCATCTTTTCAGCCTTTATCTTGCCCGGTAGCACATCAAACGTTGTTGGAGACAGTTTGATACACACAAAATGAACAAGGCCATGTTGCTCAAAGTTGGAAGAGATATGGGAGTGTTTTTTTAGACATTTCCATTAGTACACAAACTATAGTAGAATTGGGAAGAAATAGAAGAAAAGAACTATAACTGGAGCTGAACTAGTTAGTTAAAATACAAGGAAACATAATTCTGATTTATGTTAAAGTAACATAAAAATATATCTAACAAAAAAGAGTGGACATACACAGTGTAGAGTGTAGTTAATATTTTATAAACAAACACGTTAATAAAGTGATGAAGAAAAAACGAAAATTATATACGTAAATTAAATAAGGCACTAAATAACAATAAAAGTCACTTCAAATATTTAATTGGTGGTTTTAATGCCAAGGTGGGAAAGAGAAATACAAGGAACAAGTCGTGGGGAAGTATAGAGTCGGTGATAGAGATGGGAGGGGAGAAAGACTGGTTCAGTTTGCACACTATCAAAACATGCTAGTTGCAAATACATTTTTGAAGACAAAATCGAACAGAAAATGGACTTGTGTAGCACCAAATGGAATCACTAAGAACGAACTTGACTTCATTCTAACCAACAAGGTTGCTACAATAAAATATCTCAGTGTAATAAATAAATTTCAAACATACAGCGATCATAGACTAATCAGAGCAACAATTGTTGTAGATCTAAAACTAGAAAGAATAAAATTAATCACAAAACCAAGAGTAACCGGTATAAATATTAACAATCTTAAAAAAAACTCAGATCACTATAAAAAGACAATTATTAATGAAAGATTACATGACCAAATCGATAGCTCTCATTTAGTGAAAATCATCCTTGATAGTGCCAAAGAAATCGGAGGTTAGCAACAACAAAATGAACAATGTAAACTGTCTGAAGAAACTAAAATAATGCTAAAACAACAAAGGGAAATGAAAGTAAGTAGCAACATACAGAGAATACAATACACAGAACTTTGTAAGATAATAAGGAAAAGTATTAAGCAAGATATAAGAAAATACAACGAAAGATTGGTAGAAAATGCAATCGAAAACAGGAAAAACTATAAGAAAACAAGAAAAGTATTAATCATCGGAAAGAAGCAAATCGTTGTTCTAACAAACGAAAACACCAAAGTTACAGACAAAAATGAAATAATACAACTTGTGACTTAAGTTGTACAATGTTATGCTCCAACATCCATGTGCTGATGTCGGAGCATAACATTGTACAATTTAAGTCACAAGTTGTATTATTGGAAAAATTGATATTTAAATTATACTAATTAAATCTATAATAAAAAGTCTAGCAAAGAAGATAATTTTAAGTTTATTCTTTTCAGTATCAAGATATATTTGCTATAGAATTGCGAAAGCCTCTGCCAAATATTACTGAGAAAGACGCCATTGCTTATATGTATCTATTGAAAAAACTGAATTATGACGATACCAACTTTTATCAATTTTCGGTGCAAGCCAAGGTAAGGAATATTTATAATAATATACAGTATAGAATAATTATGTATATATAATATTTATGTACCCAACAGATGTAAACGACCAAAATCTCGATCAGTTTTTTTTTTCAATCTTATTGAAACATTCAACTTATACGAATGTGTTTCTGAGATACACCGCGACCTATACAGTACACTTTATGACCGCGACTTCCGAAAGGTTAGGAATATCCTCCATTATTAATAGAATTAGTTTAATTCATTTCTATTTTTAGGATTCTGGAAATAATCTTTCACCTCAACAAAGTGCTGTGATAAATGTTATCAATATTAGAAGTAGACCTCCAGTCTGGTCAAAAATAACATTGTTTGATCAATTTAACGAACAAACCACACAAGTAAGTTATCATCACACGGGAAATATACACAAGTATACCATATATACACAATATAATACCAATTGAAAGATAACCTAAAACAAGAACAATATTTTTTTTATACAATTTGAGCAAGCAAGCGACCAATTAGGTTATGATTTTTTTTTTGTAATGGGGTTGTTCCCGTAAATGCTTGCCGTCAAAGACTAATTGATAAAAATTAAAATGTTTTGTAAATATTTGAAGCGTTTATTTGAAAAACAACACATGTCCATTTTTTGCAAATTTGACTTTATATGTTGTTTGCATAGAATATTAGTTTCTTTATCGATCTCACACACTCAGTTGTGTAAAAATCCCAGATGTCCGGAGTAAACTACATAGAAAATTCGGATCGTTTTAGAAAAACAACAGATGTCCATGCGGTTTGTTATAAAAGCAACACTTGTCCCTTCTTTCTCAACGGTCATCGCTAAGCGTGAATGATCTTGTCTATAAATAATTTATCAGTTGTGTGCTTTCTTTGAACAGGTGATGTTTGTTTCTTATCAGCAGCATGGCGGAAACTACTGTTCAACACAATATATCTAATATTATAGATGATAGTATTTGTGAAATTCGAACTACAGATCAACCACGAAAACGGAAAAGAAAAGTTTATCGAAGGGAAACCATAAAGCAAGCTAAAATACATGTAGTTGCTCACAAAACGCATAAAGGTGATAAGGATGTTTTAGCACGAATAACAGGAAATGACTGTATGTAAGTTTTTCGATAATAACAAGTTGTTTTCTCAATGCTTATAACTTCAATCTTGGTTGTAGGTGTAAACGTTACCGATGCTTCTATGTAATAACACAGGAACAACGTTCTGACTTCCTGAATATGTTTAATAATATAAACACCAAAGATGAACAGGATTCATATTTATCAAGCCTCATTAGTGTTACTCCTGTCCAGAGACGACGCAGTCGTATTCCACAAGCCGCTTTACGTAACCACAGTACTACTAGTGATAGTAGAAATGAAGACACAAACAAAGTTCGACATCAACAGGGTCCACCACATGTAGCTTCTTTTATGTATAAAATTCGACTACCAGGAAAAGACGTATTTGTGCCAAAGCTCTTCGTAGTATTTTCGGTGTTACTGAAATGCAGATCCGTCGAATTAGAAATAGCTTAGCAATGAGTGGATGTTCTCCAAAAGATGCCCGGGGCAAGCATACAAATAGGCCTAAGAAGACACACCCTGCTGATATAGAAAACATAATAGGTCACATTTCTTCATTCAAAGGCCGCCAAAGTCATTATACACGGAGACTGGACAAAAAGAAAATTTATCTACCATTAGAGTTAAATGTAAAAAATATGTACAGAGCATTTAAAGAACTTCACCCACAGTCCAAGGTTTCTTACTTTGTTTATTATAACATATTTCAAACTCGATTTAACATATCTTTTTCCTATCCCAGATGTGACACTTGTACATTATGTGATGAAACTGAAACCCAACTCAAACTACCGAATATCAATGAATCAAGAAGAAAGGAACTGCTTCAAGTGCGAAACCTTAATCACGCTAAAGCAAAGGCATTTTATGATATAAAACGAAAAATTAAACATAAATGTCAGCATCGTAATAATGTATGTGCAATAGCCTTTGACTTTATGCAAAATCTTCCACTACCCAATTTGACTACAAATAAGGTTTTCTATAGCAGACAACTTTGGTACTATGTATTTGGTGTACACGACATTGGAGGCAATGATGTCCATATGTATACCTATCACGAAGGAATGGCTAAACGTGGTCAAAATGAAGTAACTTCCATGATATTTCATTATCTAAAAGATCATATACCCGCTAAAATGGATGAAATATGGTTTTTCTCTGATGGTTGCCCGGGTCAGAACAAAAACTATATCTTTATCCGCTTTTCATATATCCTGGTGCACGTATTGAAATTAGCATCAGAGATAACACACGTATACCCAATACGAGGACATTCATACCTACCGTGCGATAGTGTCTTTAGTCTCATTTCTCGTGCAAAAAAAGTAGTTGTTGATGTTCCAGAAGAATGGGAATGGGAAGAATGGGATATTCGGCAGTCAAGGTCTAAACCTTCTCCATTTAAAGTGGTTAATGCTGGGAAAGAAACTGACTGGTTTCTTATGGACGAAAGTTTTAAGGATTTATTTTTAAAGAATCCAAAACCAAAAATTTCATTGAAACCAGCAAGTATCCTGGACAAGTTTTAATACGTCAAACTTATGGACGTTCCACACCATTACTGAAAAAACAACACCAAAACAAATAACTCTGATACCAAATAACGCGAAAAAGAAAATAAGTCAACCAAAGTTTCGCGATCTAATGGAGTTAACTAAATATCTCAAGAACCCTCTTAATAAAGAATTTTATCTTAATCTAGAACCAGAATCAGGGGAAACCGAGGACAATACTTCAGTCGTAGAACTATTTAGTGATGATAATACCAGTGGTAGCAAATAGACATCATAGAATTTTTTGTTATTTCTACGAGGATATTATATACTATGTTCATTTTCCAATATATTTTGCTAAGTTCTTCCGATTTTTGTTTAAAATATCAATAAAATTATGAAATCAACTTGTACAATTATTTTGATAGCCACATTCCTTCCAATGAATATCTTAGTAAAGGTAAGATTTGAAATAAATTGAAGCTAGGCAGTTTTTCTTGATTTGCCAAAATTTTAATTTTTGGACAAGTGTTGTTTTTCAAATAAACGCTTCATTTTTATTAGTTTACATTCATTTACAAATTTGCAGGATTACGACATACAAGCTATAGATGGAGATACTGGAATCCATGCAGAAATTTGTTATAAGAAGCTACATGAGGATCAGCAAGGTAAGAAAATATTATATACGAAGGAGAAACAAAGATTTATTCACTCGCATTTCTAAATTATTAATATATTATGGTAATTAGAACCAATTAAAATATTATTTTTATATGACATTTGACGTTTCGATTTCCACTCCGGAAATCGTTAAAAAAAAAGAATATTTTAAAATAATGAGCTAATTAATTTAGTTGAGCGTTCTGATATTGGTATTGGTATTTGTAAGAGGGTATTTTAGAAGTAGTTGCGGACATTTCTCGGAACAGTAAAGCCTGAACTAACAAAACAGTGGCGTCTTAAAAAATAGGTTTGTTCAGAATTTTTAACATTAACACCAATGCTGCAAGAGCCGTTGCTTTAGTGCAAGGTGATCGTAGCCAATATTATGCCGCCCAGGTGCTAGGTCTAAGTCGTTGAGCTGTTCAAAGAGCCATTCAGCGGTTCAATAAAAATGGCAACTACACTAGAAGGTCTGAAGATTTTTGCTTTCTTCGTGTTTAAGAAATAAATATCTAACTTCAATTGAGCTGGCAAATCGCCTGAATAAAGTCCAAAATATAGATGCAAGTGGGTGAAAAGTTCGTCGACAACTTTATGAAGCGACAACTTTATTATCTACAAGACCACCTTATGCCCACAGATATCCATGGACCAGCGCCAAGCTCAACTTACTTTTGCAAGGAACATGAGAAGATTGGAATTACGTAGATTTTAGTAAAGTTTTGTTCTCTAAAGAATCTGGAGAACAAAAGGAGAACGATTTGCCGACTGCAATATTGCGGAGAGAATAACCTATCGAGGAAGCTCAGTTATGGTTTATCGAATTAGTTATTGTGGATAAAGGTACTATGATAGGAGCAAAGTATAGAGCAACCATTTTAGATGAGCATGTGGTACCTTTTGCGTCATTCACAGGAGTTAATTTTATTTTAATGGATGATAACGCGCATTCTCACGGTGCTAGAACTGTCGATCTATACGTAGAAGTCGTCGGGATTGTCCATATAAATTGGCCAGCTTCCAGCTTAGACCTCAATGAAATCAAACATCTGTGAAATACACTGGAAAGACGAATTCAAGTTCGGCTACTCCGCCTAAACAACTCTTGCCTGAGCTTAGTTTGACTCTTCAGTCGATATGGGACGAATTGGACCAACTTCATGTTAAAAATTAAATTATCATAATGCCAAGACGTATGCAAGTCGTTACAAGGGCCATAAGAGGAAATATTAGATATTAATAATACATAACATGAACAGTATTCTTTTAGAACTGTTTTTTTTTTAACAAAGCTAGTTTTCTTTTTTTCAATTTTCGAATAATGCCATATGTTTTTATAATATATAATTTTGTCGCACTAATTGAGTTTCTTATTTACATTCTGTGTCTTTTTTCTATTATAAAATAAGCGTGGATCGAATTTTTTACACCTGATTGAATTTGGAAAACGATTTCTGAAGTGGAAATAAGTCAAACAATTTCTTGAGATTAACACTCAATCGGGCGCAATATTGGTTCCAATGTGGTCCAACAATGGTGGGTTACAGTATAGTACGAGTAGTAAAAATAGTCACATTTTTATACCTTTCCTAGCTCTTTTAATAATTATTCTATTTTTTTTTGTAAAATTAGAAGCATTTGCATTTTCTGCAGAGTTTACCCTATAAATTAATTTTATAGTCATAACCTAAATCCTTCATATGTATCCAAAACCAAAAATTAAGCTTAAGCGGAGTATACAAAGGACGTGTTGGTGGACTTAAAATTACATATTTTTCCAATAATAGTAGCAAATAGTAGTACATAGTAGCAAAATAGCACGGAACCTTGTAAAAAAACTCAGCGGCGATCCAAAAGAACATAAACCACCTTGCAAGGTTATAGCAAACCAAGTCGCTACTCAACTCCTTACGAATGGAAGAACTACTAACCGATATAAGGACCCAAACACTAGGAGAAGATTGGATTCGGAGACAAACCACCTAGGAACTCCTTTTACACTAAAAGAACTCCACGACGGTCTGAACAGGTTAAAAAACGGGAAAGCTGTAGGTGTGGATGATATATGCAGTGAAAAAATAAAACATTTAGGCCAAGGAGCAAAAAACTGGATCTTGCAATTTTATAACACGTGCTGTAAAACCTGCAAAATTCCAAAATCATGGAGGAAATCTAAAGTAATAGCCTTGTTAAAACCAGGAAAGGATCCAGAAGACCCCAGTAGCTACAGACCTATTTCGCTATTCTGTCACTTTTTTAAACTATACGAGAGACTCATACTCGCCAGAATAGAAAAAAATGTCGACAAGCACCTCATCCACAACAAGGAGGATTCAGACCTCTCAAATCTTGCACCGTTCAAGTCCTCGCATTAACAGAACACATTGAAGAGGGCTTTGAAGAAAAACTTATAACAGGGGCTGCTTTTGTAGATCTGACAGCAGCCTATGACACAGTAAGGCACAAAACATTGCTCCGCAAATTATATGAGACTCTCAATGACCACCATCTGGGAAAGGTCGTATATTCCTTACTGCAAAATAGACGTTTTTTCGTTATGCTGGAGGGTAAAGTAAGTAGGTGGAGAGTTCAAAAAAACGGCCTTCCACAGGGAAGTGTTTTACTCTTCAATATATACACAAACGACCAACCTACTCCGACCGAAACCAAGCACTTCCTCTATGCTGACGATCTTGCAATATATGCTCAAGGAAATAGTTTTGAAGAAGTGGAGGAGAAACTCGAAACTGCCTTAAAAACAATGACAGCGTACTACCTGCAGAATTCTCTGAGACCCAATCCCTCTAAAACCCAAGTCTGCGCTTTCCACCTTCGCACAAAGGAAGCCAAGCGAAAACTCCAAATTGTGTGGAATGGTAATGCATTAGAACACACAAACCAACCTATATATCTTGGAGTAACTCTGGACCGGTCCCTCAGCTACAGACAACATTGCATAAAAACAAGAGGGAAAGTAACAACTAGGAACAGCATACTCAGAAAGCTAACGGGAAGTAAATGGGTCGCACGTCCTGGCGTTTTAAGAACAACGGCACAGGCACTGTGTTTCTCAACTGCTGAATATGCGTGCCCCGTTTGGAGCAGATCTGCCCACACTAAACAAGTTGATACTGCGCTAGATGAGACGTGCAGGATAGTAACGGGGTGCATGAAACCAACGCCACTTTCAAATCTATATAGAGCAGCGGGTTTTGCAGAACCCTCAACACGCAGAGGCGCTGCAGAACACATAGAGAAAATTAAACAGATCGCGGACGATCGGCATGCCCTATACAAAGCTCGAACACCACGAAAGCGACTAAAATCTAGGAAAAGCTTCTTTGGAACAGTGCAGGATGAACCGCCTGAGTATTTTCCACTTCCCCAGGTTCAATGGACCGGCCAGACTCTAGACTTTAAAACGTGGAAAACCTTGAATAGGATAAGAACGGGAGTTGCTACAGTAAAATCAAACATGGCAAAATGGGGAAAATAGACCAAGATGATGTGAACTGTGACTGTGGAGAAACACAGAATATGGAACATCTTAGTTACATGCAGAAACTGTCCTCATCGATATACCCTTGAAGATTTGTGGCTAGCCAACAAAGATGGAACCGACGTAGCCCGATACTGGGCCGAAATTTTATGAATGACATGTCCGGACACGATAAAGAAAGTAAGTCCAATAATTGTTGAGGAAATGTGTCATCGCCGATTTATAACAGCTAATGAGAAATGCAGTGTAATTTTATGCATCTATCGTTGCCCCAAAAAATTTTTTAGTTGCTCTTTTTGCTTTTATTGCTTAAAACATAAGAGTGTACATATAAGAGTGTTTACCGCATAATTGGCCTAAGATATACAGGTGCAGTTTTTGCGCTCGCTATCTTCACTATACATATTTATAGCAGTGGGTGCGGCCCCACACTTTATGTGATATTTATTATGCAACCTCGCTGTAGTCGCCCAAATATTTGTTATTTGTCAGCGAGTAATAAATACGCTACTCCACACTTGTGCCGACTTCAATTCAGGCAGCGTTATTATTTGTTTTTGATTTGTGGTAACTACCAGATGCAACGCAGTATCTGGTATAAATCCAGAAATCTCATTAGTTTTTCATTTATACACTTCATTTCACAAATAGTTACACCACAAATCAAAGCATAATAGGCACGATAATTGTATATCAAATAAATTTGTCGAATTAATAGTTCAAGAAAATCGAGAATTGCAATAAAATTAGGTTAAGATAAACAGCGAGACAACCACCGGCGCGAGAGAAGCTGTGTGACTGGTGTTTGCAAGAGAACCACCTGGTTTTGAAGTATTACAACGAATTTGTACTTTAATTTTATCTTTTTTTGCACATTTTATATGTCTTACTTTTTTTATAAAAAATAATTCATAAAATAGTTGAAAATAAAAAGAACAATTCGCTGTTCCTAGCAGAGGCGGATTATCATATTTTCTACACGCTCAATTTTGGATGCCGCTCTTTTTGAAAGAATTTAGACACACCGAATTGGAGTTAAAACAAAGACAAGTACATTAAACTCATATACCCAATGGTTTATGAGTAGCTTTTTCCATAGCTATTTCAAAATCGGCTCTTAATACTCTTTCATTCGACTTCTTAATCTGCTTAACGTGGGTCAAGGCCTTGTTGATGATTTGTCTCTTATTTTAGTAGTGCTGTATAACCTTTTCATCCCCTCAGGTGTTTACAACTCTTCATATTAGCTGTGCAGACGATCTTTGCTTCCCTTTTGGCTACCTTGTATATATCCTTATCTTACTATCTTTTAGATCTGTCATACCTCTTTCTAGATTCTTTCTTCTCTCTAACCCTCTGTTGTACTTTATCGTTCTACCACCAAATTTATTTGTCTCCCACTCATACTACAACTTTACTGTTATCTTCCCACCAGCCTGTATATTTTTTCTCCAGCTCTTCCAACACTCTACTCTTCAAGACTCTTACAAAATCCACCTTATGCTTTAACTTTCATCGCTTTCGAGTCTGGTATCCTACTTGCTTTCACTCTTTATCATTTTACACTTGGTAACATCTTTTAGCTGACCTTTTACTCAGCAGAAAATCAGAACTTTCTCTTCCCCCGTTATTATAGGTAACATACTGGTCTTCAGTCTTCAGAAAGAGTCAAACCCACGTGCCTTATGACTGAAAATTAAGGAGTCTTAAAACAGTGAGTAGAAAATTACACTCACATGCCCAATAGCTTCATATTTAAGAGTTTTAAAAACATTAAATCAAATCCAGATATACACCCAGTAAAAATTTAGGAAGGCCTTAAACAGAGACTAGTAAACTAAATCTATATGGAATTCCTAGTCACATGCTAATCGTTCTTTGCACCCTATTATGTCAATGTTCAGAGCTAAGAGATAGCACCCGAGTAATCGAAATAAAAAAACGTCACAGTTCCGAATTCGACGATAAATTGTTCTCATCCCAACTGGTCTTCCAAGTTCTAAAATCCATTGATTTGCTGTAAAACTGGTAGTGGAGAAGCGGTTTCTTAAAACCATCAACCTTAGACGCCGATCATGAAACTCTGTTGCTCTTCGGTGCAGTCATGTGTCCTTCGAGATCTGAGTGTTCGGCCTTCTTGACCCTACGTGCCATAGCATCTTAACACAGTGTATAAACTTCTATAAACCCTATTTGTAATTTCTTGAAAAAAAAAATCCGCCTTTTCTCAGACCAACTATCCACCTCTGATCAATCTTACTCAGTTGTTGGAAATTTGGTTGTATTTGTACTCTAGGCATTGTAAACGACTTACAAAAACCAAGCACTGCACACCGCTAAATTATGATCGGTACAGTTAGATTACAAGTTAAATTTTTTAGTGGTTAGCAAAATAAAAAAAATAAAATAATAATCAATAAAAACAAAAACCTAATCTGATATGGCTGAAAATCTAATAATTTATTGTTTTTGTTAAGATGTGTATACCAGATTATATTAAAATAACATAATTTATAATGGGTGTTCGTTTTTCTATGTCACTTTCACAAGAGGTTTGAGAAGATTTGCTGATGCAAATAACATGCATAATGATGCAATATATGCCTCGCTTATTAGTTGCGCCCTACGGAGTGTTAAATTGTGTCTATTTTTTATTTTGATTACTATAATTTATTATAATTTTATATTTTTATTTAGATGAGAATTACATAGAAATCACTACAGATCCAACAACCAAAATGGGCCATATACACGTTAACCCCATTGATAGAGATAAGTATGATCTTACTCTATACCATTTCAATCTTTCTGCCTATGTTTGTGATGCCAAAGAATATGCTACTGTAAATACAGTACAGTATTACATCATCGATATTGACAATAATCCTCCCAGAATAGTTGAAAATGACGAGGATAACGGAAAAGTAGAACCATTTGACGACGACAAACCTAAAACAGTTAAACTAAGTTATTTGGAGAACTATTCTAAATCGTATAATTTTAGCACAAAAATTACAGACATAGATACGGTAAGTAATTTTGCATTTTAGCAATAACTTATAATATATGGTTTATTTAAAATTACATTTAAAAAAAAGACATTTTATTGAAGCGAAGCCTGTAGGTATACTGGCGTTGTAGTACTTTTGTCTCTAAACACGAACTCTCTGTCACGAAATAACGGTTCTTGACATTGATTCTTTCCGAAATTTTATTTTGAGAAGGATTTCCGAAGTGGAAATTGAAACTTCAATAAACTTATTTTAAACTTAATTTGTGACTTATTCCCATTTAAAATAGTAAAGGAAGGTGAGGTAAAATGGGATACTTAACATTTAAGGCTGTACAACACCGAAACTATGTATTAGAGGCTACTCATATTTTGGCACAGTGAAAACTCATTATTTTTATCGAAATCACAAAATAGATTTTTTTATAAATGCATAAAAAAGTTATATGCAAAAATTTGACACCAATACAGTTTCCTATTTTACCGCTTTGTGTGGGTAAGACGGGATACACTGTGGGGGTAAAATGGGATAGGATTTCTCTATGTTATTTTAATTAATATACTCTTTTTTTAAGTTTATTTTTTTTTATTTTTATGCAAAATACAACAACTTAAACTCAAAGATTTAAAGTAACGAAAAAGAGCAATGGGTGAAACCCAAAAAAATCCAATATTAATAGGAATAATAATAAAGAACATTTTTCTTAAATAATAATAGGAATAATAATACCCAACATTTTTCTTAATTAATAATATCTGCAATATTCGCAAATAAATACATCATCATCGCTGTCAGCTCCTGCACAAGCCTCATGTCCCCATTTTTTACGACTGCAGCATTGTATCCAGCCTTCTCCTTTTTTGTCTGAAGAATATCTATTGTTGCAATAGAAGCATTCCTCATCTGCACTACTGACACTTTCATCTTCAGATTGTATGTTTTTAACCTTCTTGAAAGTATTTTCTTTTTTACGGTATTCTGCTTGAATAACTGAATCTTGGTCTTTGAGTTAACATTGTTAACATTAACTTTTGGTTTTCTGGTAGATAGAGATGTCTGAAATTCTTCTTTATAAGGGATGCTTGTTAATATGACAGTTTTACCTTTATTTTTCCTCTGTTGCTTAATTTTTTTTGCGGTGCTTTTGAATTGGGAATAACTTGTTCCGAAGAACATAGACCTAAACCAGTGCTGGTTGAGGGCAAGATTCATTATTTTGTCTTTGCTTGGGTAACTTGTTCTTTGACTGGCTGGTCATTTTTGGACTGACTTTTTTCGGGGTTGGATGTTTTCTTCAATATTTGGCTCATGATCAGTAGGCAACGCTGCAGCGAACATCTCTTCGGTAAAAACAATACAATTCAGTGAAAAAATTCCTGTTTTTTTTTGGAAACCGTTATTGGCATTTAATGGAGTAGATGCTCGTAGATAAGCTTTTCCAAATAGGTGAGGCACCTCTGAGATAGTTACACATCGCCCTGGATGATGTCTCACCCACACTTCTATTTCTTGCGTATAAAATTTACTTAACGGATACATTAAGAAAACATCCAAGGGCTGTATCCTATGGCTCGTATGAGGAGGTAAGCAAATTATTGTCACTCCATTTTCACGTGCTTTATCAATAATACCAGTATTTTGTGTATGGGTTTTATGGCCATCCAAGATTAAGAGAGATGGGTTTTCTTTTGATGATTGAGTGTGATGGAGAAAATGGTGAAACCATTGTTCAAACAAGTTAAGCTGTATCCAACCAGATTTATCAGTAATGACTAAGGTTCCTGACGGTGCACCCTCTGAGAAGTGCGGCTTCATACAAACTCTGGGAATTATGATCATATAAGGAACCAATATTCCACTGGCACTCATGCAGATTACAGCAGTAGAAAGTTCCTCTCATTCTGCAGATGTTAGGATGCCGACCTGTTGTTTACCCTTGACAGCAATCATTTTTGATGGACGACCTTGAACTGTTGTAATCCCGGTTTCGTCAACGTTAAAAACACGGGAGGGTGGAAAGTTCATTTTTTCTTGAAGAGGCTCCAAAATGTGAAAAAATGATCAAACTGCTTTCTTGTTAAAACCCCGAGCATGTACAGCTGATGTTGCTTCAGGCAAACGGAGCGAAAATTTATTGCGTTTCAAAAAAGCGCGAACCATTCCCACCCAGCCAACTTGGTGTTTTTGTTGAAATGATGTTTGATGTTGTTTTCTATGCTATCTGATAGAACGAGTTGTAAGACCGAACATCATAGTTTCCATATTCTTTGCATATGTTACCAATTGCTGCTCTAACTCTGGAGGAAATATAGGCAGTCAGCTCCCAAGTAATCTAGAATGATCTGTTGCGGATTTACACTAAATTCATGTCCAAACTTCCAAAAAGCTTGGTATAACAACCAGGGACAAACAAAAAGAGGATGGAAACAACGATTATGCCAAACCTCACTTAAACTGCAACTACACATTGAACTGTGACTATTAACTGCCACAAAAGTAGTTATTTTTCATAAGAAGGGACGAAAAATGAGAAAACATTACAAATTTGGCGTAAAATTTGGACTAACACTGAATTTAACTGCTTTTGACAACTGCCTCAGCGAGAGCTATGTACCTAATTCCTAAAAAATCCTTCCAAACTTAGTATAAACAAAATATATAAAAGGTTAAATTCCTATTTATTCTTTGAAAATAAGGCTATTATCGAGCACAAGTTAATTAAATCTAGCCCAAGTACTTTCGCTTAAAATAGCATCTTCAGGGGCATCTGAAATAAGCCAAGAAAACGTTTTTTAGATGAAGTAAATTAGTTAACTTTGATAAAAAACTCGAAGTTAATGGATGAAAAAAAATTTTTTGAGATTAACGTTTTAGACTTACGTCGTCAAAATGTAAACTATCCGGCAAGCGTAGAATGTGGAATCATTAAAAATAACATAAACTTGTACAAAACACTACTCTAAAACGAGGATAAACAGTTTAAAATTACTTAAAGATTATACGCTACATTCTCTGTCAGTGGAGAGATATTGCAGAGTCAATTTTGCACTTGCTGTATTACAGCACGCGTTATTTTGACAGTAGAGCATGCGCAGATGTGATATTTGGCTTACGCTGCGTTATTGAAAATACGGCGTGCCGTTATTAGGGGAGCCGTTACCCTGTGCGGTATTCGTTGCGCTATTTTCTTTCTCAGGTTATGTATGTTGTTTGTCTTTCATTTAAACCAAGTCTATTTGTAATAATTTTCTAAAATGAGTACATCAGAGAGTAGCATAATGCAAAAATATTAATAATTTGAGATAATGACTGAGGTGATAAATTGAATAAAAGCTGAAGATCTTTAAGCCTGCTGGGATATGCGAGCATTCTCATCACTCCTAAAAACAAAAATATAAGGGCTTAATTTCAAAAGTAATGTAGAATGCAAATGCATTTACCACTAACAGAGTTTCTAGTATTGGTATGAATAAAATCTGGTTGGCGTAAAGCCCTTGCAAGTGTAGGAATATCTTGTCTGCTAAACCTAAAATTTATTTTTACATCTGCTTCCAACATGTTTTCTAAATTAAATTCTTAATTTTGTGGATGTAATACATGTTCGCCCACAATTTTATTTAAAATGATGAACCCTACATCATCATCATGAGCATTTGCTAAAATAAGTGCTTCTAAATCATGATCAATTTTCAATAATTTGCGAACAAATGAAAAGAAAACATAAACAACGTAAATAACGCAACAAAGTATGCATAAGTTCAAGCAATATCTCTATTTGTGATGTGTCAGCCACATGTCAAAAATGTCGAAATAGCACGGTGTAAATAGTGCAACACAGGCACTGTTAACTTTGCAATAACTCTCTAGTATCTGGAGGGATAATGATCTAAGCGGAAATGATACGGTGACATGTGACATATGACAACTTTGATAGGCAGTCAAAGTTATGGATCTGTGATCAGCAAATATTAAAATTCTGTATAAGTTGTCATTGGCCAAAGGTCCAACTAGAACTACTACTGAAAAAATCAGCTGATGAAGTATGACATATAGAATATTTTGATTTAAACTAGATTGCATAATCCAGATCTCACACTCACACCCGTCTGTAATAATAAGGTTGTAGGTTTGAGGCTAAATGAAGTGTACATAAAGTGTGAATGAAAGAAATAGACCAAACGATCTATTGGACAGTGGGTAGTTGACTACAATAAAATGGTTTACCAGGCACTGTCAATACTGCAAAACGAGAAGAAAATTGACTATGAAATTGAAATATTAAAATTAGATCAGAATTGAAAGCAGTTTGTAAATGGGTATAGTTGAAGTAGTTCAGTTAAACCTCAAGCCAATGGGGGAACTATAAAACTAATATGTAATAGCATTACTAAAGACCAACTGACCAACAGGTGTTGAAATATAAAACTGTGGAATTAGTATATGTAGATTATGCAGAGGTATGAAGAGTGAAATCAACTCCAACTGTGGATCAATTGAATCTGAGCAAGCTAGTTGTGTAAATTGTTAAATACAATAGTAATGCTGATTAGTATTTAACAATTTACACAACTAGCTATATTAACATATACAAGGGGATTTTAATATATACCAAAGACTTTTAAAATGCTACAATATGGGTCTGTATGATTCAGCGCTGGTTCTTGGTTTCCCTAATTTAGCGATAATGATTATGCTGGATACTTTCCAAGGGGTAGAAAAGTATTTCAGCTGGAAGCAGGCATTGATAATTTAAACTACTTTTAGAAGCTTCACTTTTTGCTGATATACAAAAAAAGAGACCATTGACATATTTTTGACTTTAATTTGTTAATAACCAATAAACTTATTTCCCTGAACTATTATTCTTTTCTATTTTTACGTTTATTTTTCTATTTTATAACCGTTGTTTTAATGTTTCGAAGATTTTGTTGGGATTGATTCCATTTGTGTTCCTGCATTTTTTGAACTCCAGAGTTATTCTGCTGTCTCTTTTTCTTTTACGGTTATCTCTCTGCGTCATTACCCAGCTTTTATTTCATTATAACAGAGTAGGTAGTTATAGGTATTATACAAATATGTATAGTTAATACTGTTTACAGAACATTGAAAAGCATTACTGGACGATAGGGATGGGAAAAACCTACCGTTTTTTTTACTTCGAAATAACCGGTTTTATCGGTTGGTTTTTTGTCCCGGTTATAACCGGTTTTTTATTTTTAAGGCTGTTTTCGCAGTTATAGCATACTGCGATTTGAAGTGGGCGTATCACTCACTTTTCTACACTGCTATGTCAGACCCTACGTGACTTCCTAATAGTTTGGATGTTTATTCAGTGGCGCCGGCCCACGGGTTGTTTAAAATAAATGCATTATTCTCCATTCAAATTAGTTTTGTCGGAATACTTTTTTTTAGATTAATTATCGTAGATAATGTTTTAAAAAGAATTAATCACATTTTTAATTTATATGTCTTAGTTAAACATAGTATTAAATAAAAATTTGTGAAACATGACTGCACAAAACACCATGGTGTTTATTTATAATAAATTTAAATTTTGTTATATTAATATTAATATATAATTAATATTTTGTTAATATTTGTTAGAGAAAACTGATATTAGCGTAGTAAAAATTAAACAAAAAATATTTTTATTTATCTATAAAAAATTGGTACCTGCGAAACCATCATAATAGTAAATGTATTTATCTGGCAAGTATTTCGAGGCGACGCACTGCGAGGAAAATGTTCTCTGAATGGAATATACATTATTTTAATATATTTATAGGTTGCAGTTACATAAGAAAAGTATCCAATTAATGAATAAAACACAAATCGTGGATAGTTATTTCATCATATCAGTGGCATTACAGCTCGTCATGAGCCAAAGGCTTCTTCAGAACATTCTTCCATTCGCCCCTGCCTCTGGCAACTTTCTCCATGCTTTAACTTCGATGGATTTTAGATCATCCTCTATGTTATCTTGATACCTAAGTTTTGGTCTTCCTCTGGATCGTCTTCCCACTGGTCCTCTTCGGTCGAAAATTTTTCTGATCGTTTCATCTTCATCTCGCCTAATTACATGTCCTATCCATCAAAGGCGTACTAATTTAATAAATTTTACAACGTCAGGTACTACACCTGAAGAAGCATCGTAGTTTACTTTATACGATCTTTTTGACCAAGCACCATCAGCTATAACGGTTATTAACCCATTCGTCGGAATCTACTTCACCAATTTCTTTGGCTAAAGCTAATTCCTCCCGTCCAGCCTCTTCTAAGGAATCACAAAGTGTTTGGCCGATGATATCTGCAACTGTTTCCGTATGTTTTGCATACTGCCTGTAGGAAATCACAGGTATATTTAATGCAGTGTGCTGCTGCTGTATGTCTGAATAACCAGAACCATTCAAGTTTAGTGAATTGTTACCAGAATCCTATGTTGCTATCTCCTTTTCAATATTCCACATTTGACATTTAAAAGTCAATGTACTTATCAATCCGTCCATTTTTTCTTTGATAATCTCCATATTAGAAAAGTTGCATGAAAATGGAGAATGATTATTCAAACCTTGAATATATATATATATATATATATATATATATATATATATATATATATATATATATAAAATTAATGTTTCTTGGGTTTAGGTTGCAACGTTGATTGATTGCAATGGAAAATAAAATCTAGTTCCACATGTAACATATTTTTATTGAACCTAAACCCAAGAAACATTAATTTTATATTAAATATAATACGGTTCAAGAAACTCAAAACTACTATATATATATATATATATATATATATATATATATATATATATATATATATATATATATATATATATATATATAAGTTAAATAAAAGCTTTTAAAAACGGTTGTAATATAAATAATAAATACTAAAGCAGTGCAATTGCTCTCCTTTTCCTTGACATAGGGACTGGGACTCATTTTTTATCTTGTCTCTTATAACTTTTATATCACTAACCTAATGTAATACTTAAAAATACGCGTAAACTAAAGAACTTTTAACTTATACCACTAAACTAATAATATATTACTTAACATACACGTAAACTAAATAATTTCAATGTTTTCAAAATAAATAAGAATACTGTAAACTGTAAAAACTAAGCAAGTTGATAAAGAAAATACAAGAATGAAAGAACTAAAATGGATTCTAATTCAAGCGAACTAACTGACCGTACCCATAGAGAAATAAAAATAAGACCGTACCGTACGCTCATGAGATTTGACGTCACTAATGCGATAACGATCAAGCTCAGCGACAATGATGAGGAACACGTTTCACTATTAGATTTCAGTATTTTTTAGGAATTTTCTTCAAAGTTTGAATACGCTTTTCTCGATTATTACTGGACACAGAAAGGTGAAAAAAGAATCAACGATTACAGAAAAAAAAACTCTTTCAACTGATGGGCGTGAAAAGTTTGGTTATAATAGAACGTTAAACAGTATAATCCAATTTTTCAACAGAAAATTCAAAAAAATAAAAAAAGTAAAACCATCAGTTTAAAGGCAACATAATTTCGTATAACATGTCCAAATTTCGAGACATTTCGTCGGTAAATAAGAGAGAAAAACTTTTGGTGCACCGATAAAACAGCCTTAAAGTAAAAACCGGTTATTAGGTTTTTACAGTGATTAGGATTAGGTTAGGTATTATTTTGGATCCCACCCAATCATAATTATTATTCTCAAGTAATTATTTCAAACAAAACTAAAATTCAATTTTTATATTATTTTATAAATACAGAAGCAAACTAAAAGTGCAAGCTCACATCAGCCAGAAACAATTAAATTTTATTATAGTATTTCGTTGAAAACATATTTGTAATCATAATATTTTTACATAATAATATCGAATTACCGATTACGAATACAAATCTCCAAGGATTTCCCTACGTTTTCAAAACGATTTATACCCATACCGGGAGTCGTAAATGAGTTAAAAGTAATACATGATAAATTTTTTTTGATGGTAGTAAAAATAAAAGATGAATTGCATTATCCAATTTATTTTTAAGTAAAATATTTATGTTGATATTATTTTCTTTAAATCCCATTTGAAAGAGTCTGGGACATTTTTGTTGGGGAATTTTTTTCTCACAAAACACAAAAAATTGTGTTGTATTTACATTGATATTGATGTTCTTTCGATAGTACTAATTCTGATCATATTGATATCGAGTCGAATGTAGTATCGCAAACTAAAGTGCATTGTAAATGTAACTTTCTAATCTATTGGATTAAAGAAACCAAAAACCAGTTTTTGGAAAAACCGTTTCTTTGGCCGATTATAACTGCCAGGTTAAACCGTAAGAAAAAAAAACTGGTATAACCGAAAACCGGTGTTTTGTCAAAAAGCGCTATCCCTACTGGACGATAGTTTATTATACATCACCTGATTTATGTCAATTATGGATTCGCTTCAATCTCACTTTTTAAAAAATTCGTTTTGTCCAATATTTTATTCTTTAGAACGAAAATATAATTGCTAATAATGTACTGCTTATGTGATAAATTATTAATACATTTATTTTACTAATTTTAGGGCGAAAACGCACAATTTACTGTAAGTCTCGAAAATGTTGAGGGTAGTGAAATTGATTATACACAACCCTATTTAATAGTACCAGAAGATGCTTATAGGACAGGATTATTCAAAATAAGCGTCAAAGATAAGACCTTCCTGGATTTCGAGAACGAAACTTGGAAAGCACATTCCTATTATGTAAGAAATTCTATGACTTAGAATATATAGGGTGTTTCAAAAAAAGATAACCCCGTCTCTAGGGTAGGTAAAAAACTGAAAAATAATTGGGGTTTGCTTAGTAAAAAATTTTTGTAACGCCGTCCGTTTTCAAGATACAGGGCGTCGAAGAAAAAAAATTACTTATTTTTTACGATTTTGCCGAAACTACTGGCAACATTGTAATGAAATTTTATACGAATGAGTTTTGGAAGCTGATACATCTCATGAATGAAACTCACAAGAAGAAAATTAAATTAATGACTAAGAACATAAAATAAAATTCAGTTACAGTAAGTGTTCAAAATTCCCTCCATTTTCGCGAATACACAAGTCTATTCTTTTGTCTAAAGATTCCATTAACCTTCTAAATGGTAGGGGATCAGCTATGATATCATTAAATTGACGTTGAATTCTTTCTTCCAATTCTTGGCGTGAATTTACCTCTGTAGCAAAGACTTTTTCCTTAATAAACGACCAAACTGTGTAGTCCAAAGGGTTAAAATCGCATGACCGAGGAGGCCAATGAATCGGAGCTTCTGCACCTCTACCAATCCATCGATTCAGAAAATAATTACTCAACCAATTACGACACCTTCTATCAAAGTGTAATGTTCCATCGTGCATAAAAAATAAAGATCTTCGCTCGTTTAGCGTTAAATCTTCTAATATCTCGAATAAGGAATTGTTTAAAAAATCAAGATACATTTCACCATTTAAATTTCCAGGTAGAATATGATAACCTATTGATTTGTTACCTAAAGTTGCTGCTCAAACATTAACTTTAAATGAGTGATGGTAATGTAATACCCTTTTGATAATAATATCCTTTTGATTGGTTGGTAATACCCTTTTGACTCGTGGATTCTCATTACACCAGTAGTGTGCATTATGGGAGTTAAACATATCTTGTCGCGTAAAGGTGGCCTCGTCCGTAAAAAGAATGCATTTTAAAAAATTTGGATTGTGGGCTGTCCTTTGTTGCAATGTTTCACAAAAATCCAGTCTAACCGGTAGATCATCTGGCAAGAGCTCTTGGACTTGTCTGTAATGATAAGGATGTAATTGCTGTTCTTTCAGTATCCGCCAAGTACTTGAAGAAGAAGTATTTGTTTGTCTTGCTATATTCCTAACGCTAACTGTTGGATCTTGATCAAGTAAATTTAAAATATTATTTTCTTTATTAATTGTTCTTGTTGTTCTTGGTCTACCAGAATTTATTTTATTTGGTCTCAAATTCCCAGTTTCTCGACAACGTCGTTCAACGGCTCTAAATGTTTTTTTACTTGGTAAGCTTCTTCTAGGAAACTTTTCTGCATATCGTGTTACAGCTGCACTAGAACATCCTAAACATTCGCCTAAGGTTAATAACATGTCAGTGTATTCAACATTTGAGTACATTTTGATTTGATTTTACAAATAACAAGGTTGCAAAACTCTATTTATTGTTGATTTATCGTCTTAACAATCAACAAATGTCAGATTTCCATGGCACACTTGGAGAAAATAGAGGTATACAAATATATAGAGGTAAACTCTATATATATATAGAGTTTACCTCTATATATATATATATATATATATATATAGAGGTATATAATTATTACTTCAGAATTTTCAAATCAAAATATCCGAAAACGGTACACAGTATCGAGTTTACCAAGAGTACCTTTTCGTGTAAAATTGAATGATGTTTAAGTTTACTTGAAATTTTGATTAATAATTATACTCTTAAAAAAGTTATATTGACTAATATTTAGTAGGATCCGTGTAACTAGCGCCCTCTATGAGAATCAGATATAAAAACAAATTCATGGGATGTATCAGCTTCCAAAACATATTCGTGTAAAATTTCATTACAATGAAATTACAATATCATTACAATAAAAATTTTTTACTAAGTAAATCTCAATTATTTTTCAGTTTTTTACCTACCCTAGAGACGGGTTTACCTTTTTTTGAAACACCCTGTAGTGTGTAACATGTAGATTTAAAAGTCTTGGTTAGATCGGTATAAAAAAATTATCCATATGATCTCCGAAACTGTGACTTTATTAAAACTATAACTAACTTACACTATTAAAATATTTTTTTTGTATAACACCTATACGGTGTTTGTACACTGCTATCTGGTCACAAACGACCAATTATCAGTTATTTTCTGACCCAACTTAATAAACAGTAAATACTTAAATCTAATGGCTTACCCTATGGCTAACTCTTATTTTATCTGTCAACTAAGGCATTACAACTAACATGCAATAACATCACAGCACTATACTCTGCTTTTTACACTAAACTGTTACGCATTTACACTAACTCAAATGGTTTTGTCCTTATGAGTCTTCTCCTTAGTTCAGTGTTGTCAAGAAGCTGGATTGCCTTGAAATTTACATGACCATGCAGCCTCTGCTCGTGACTTGCTGCTGTTCTCTTGATTACTTTGGTCACAGTTTCCATAACCAGATCCTGGTGAAGGTTGCTGTTATGGATATACCAAGAAGCCTTAATAATGTTCCTCAGTACTTTGTTTTGAAATCTCTGTATAATATGTAGATTACTAGCTTTGGTACAGCCCCAGAATTGGCGCCTATATACCCATACTGGCCTCAGTACTTGCTTGTAAATGGATAATTTAGTATTAATGGATAATGTTGAATTTTCTCCAATCAGCCAATACAATTTCTTATATCTAATTATTAAAATAATTAATTAAAATATTTAAAGCTAGCAATATTTTCCGGTAAGTTCAAAAGTCAAGAAGCTGGATTGCCTTGAAATTTACATGACCATGCAGCCTCTGCTCGTGACTTGCTGCTGTTCTCTTGATTACTTCGGTCACAGTTTCCATAACCAGGTCCTGGTGAAGGTTGCTGGTACGGATATACCAAGGAGCCTTAACAATGTTCCTCAGTACTTTGTTAAGTCTCAGTAGATTACTAGCTTTGGTACAGCCCCAGAGTTGGCACCTATATACCCATACTGGCCTCAGTACTTACTTGTAAATGGATAATTTATTTTGAATGGATAATGTTGAATTTTCTCCAATCAGCCAATACAATTTCTTATATCTAATAACTAAAATAATTAATTCAAATATTTAAAGCTAGCAATATTTTCCGATAAGTCCGAAAGCCGTTATCAAAATTGATACTTCTATAGTCAAATATCCTATAAAGGGTGATCAACTTTCAGGATGAGGAAATCTTGACGATCTTCTGGTAGATCCACATATCAAAAGTCTACATATTCCTTTAATTATTTAAGAAATCTCATCGAATCTTTTAGAAACATTTTAGAATTCCTCGTCGTTTTGTCTAGCTGCTTCTTTAATAATTTCAGAAGTTTCATCACATCTTTTGCAAACATTTTCAAAAGTTTTTTCAATCCTTTAATAAATGTATTTATCCAAATTTTCCATCAATTATTTTCGTTAAAATTGCTTCTTTTGCTGACTGAAACTGAAATGTCTGTGGGCCATCTACATTATTGTTGAGAACTTCCCTCAAAACTTTCCAAATGTTCTTTATTACACTAATTACTACTGAACTATGTGGATATTCCCGACGAACAATAATTTTCAAAGGTTCAAAAGTCTTTTCAAAAGTCACTGCTTAATTTATTTTTAAATTATTAAATTATCCCACACGTGATACCACTGTAACGATTTTAAATGAAACGAGAGTGCCTTATCTCCAATATTCTCGTATACGCATTAACTTTCTAAAAGTTGTGACACATTATACGAGAGGCGTTGAATATACGCTATTTCCTTACACTATGTACTAACAGTATACTTTGACCCTTTCCTTTTAGTACATATCTATGTTTATATATTTATTTCATTTTATTTAAGTTCTTTTAGTTATTTACTACTCCCTTGTGTTTAAAGACTTTTCAAAGACCGAGTCGAAGTATGTTTCTCGGTTTCCATAAATTTCTTTGTCCTATCTTTCGCGTTTGTCGTTGTCTTTAAATGTTTTCTGTTCCGCGGTACAATACACTATGAGCTGTATGGACTTGAAGTCTATTAATAGGGTGATAACCTGACTGTAACATCCTTTTATTTTAACCAGTGTTGGATCCGGCAACAGATCTGTTGAGCTACTCGATCTACCCAACCAAACAGCAGGCGGAGTTTTGTTGGGTAAATTAATCCTCAAATTTATATGATTATTTTTGTGTACTGCTAAATACTTCCCTCGTTATACTTTTTTTATAGTTTTCTCTTCCATTTCTTTAGTTATCCATATCACTTCCTGTTTTCTTTTCGCTAGTATGACTATATCGCCAGCAAACGCCAGGCATTGATGCTTCTTACGATATTTAATTCTGGCTGGTTGAATTTGTAAGCAACATCATAATGCACCCGTTAATGCCATGCTGTTGCTAAATAATTTAATAATAATTTTTATAGTTATTGTACAAACGAGGGAAGTGCCTCCATAACATCACGATTTTTTAATTTCACTTATAGTAATTGAAATAAAATATTTTTAGGTTGTTTCCAAAGGAAAGAAAGATAAAACAAAGACTGATAAAATGTTAATATCAGTTACACTAGAAGACTATAACGATGAACTTCCTATATTCGACAATCCAGTATCGTATTCAGCGTCAATAAATGAAACTGTTAAGAAAGGCACTGAAATATTGATCGCCCATGCAACAGACCGCGATGCTGAAGATCATGTTTTGAAGTAAGTACTATTATTTTGGAATCAAGCTAGTCAGCTACTCGTATTACATACCTAATTAGGAATAAGCATTCTTATTCCTTAGGTTATATTTGAAATAGTGCTCATACAACGCATGTCAAGGTTTTACCAAGGTACCATCGTTTTTGACATTATTTATCAAATCATTAACGTGTAAAAAATTTTGTCTTATTTCTTCCGCGACAAGGTTAAACTCATGAGCTAGACATGTTACAGGAAGTAAATTGCTATAGGATACCTTTAAGTTCTGTGCTGCCTTTACCATATAGCCTTGCATTATCGCTTAATATTAATAAAACTGTATCATATAATTGTTGGTTTTCTCTAATTGCTTTGACGCAATAAGTTTACATTTTTTTTACTAGGGTTAGGAATAAAACCTCTATAATTAAATGCGCTATATACCGCCTTCGTCAACCAGTACTTTCGTCAACTATAACATTAATTCTTATGGTATTATCGTATTATGTTTGTTAAGGTACTTCAATCGGGAATGTTCATCTTCCTCTTCTCCCTTTTTGTATGTAGGCTTTAAAGCCTGTTTCTTCTTCAATATTAGCCTCCTAAATTGTTTAAATTCTCACACCATATTTTTCTTGGTGCGGCAATACTTCTTCGCCCATTTGGTAACTTATCTCATGCTATTCGTACTATCATATCCTCTGCCATTCTACTAATGTGTTCGTTCCACTCCTGTTTCCATTTTATCACCCATCCAATTACGTCTTCTATATTGCATGCTCTTCTTATATTTTCGCTTCTCTCCCTATCCAACAGACTTTTCCCTGATATTTGTTGGAGTATTTTCATCTCTGTTGTTTCTAGCAGTTGTAGTGTTTTTTGTGTCTTGTCTTAGGTGTTTATTCTTCCAGATTGTGTCATTAAATGAACCCACCGCTTTACTTGCTTTTTAGCTTTGTCATCGTACTTCTTCTTCAACATCTCCGTAACAACATTATATCTATTCCCAGATATCTAAACCTTGCTTCATGCTTTATTATTTTTTCATCAATTTCGATTTAACATCGCAGTGGGTATTTAGATGTTATCAAACATTTTGTCTTTTTTGCTGACATTATTTTATTGTATTTTTTAGCTGTTATTGTATTAAAGATGTATTAAAGATGTGTGTTAATCTTTGGAGCTCGTCTTCTGTCTCGGCAATGAATGCGGCGTCGTCTGCATAACATAATAATTGGATTTCTTTGTTCTCCATTCTGTAAGCATGACCTTTAGGTACTTCTTGTATTATTTCGTCCATTATTATATTAAAGAGAAGTGGGCTTAATGAGTCACCGGATCTGACTCCGCTTTGAACTAGTATACACTATGTTAGTTTTCCATTTATCTTTGCCTGTATTCGATTATGGAAGTAGAAGTTTTCGATAGCTTGTATAATATTAAAGGTTATGTTTCTTTTGCCACTATGATAATTTAGCTAGACAGAGATGTGCAAACTCCATTAATTAGAATTTGTGGAGGTGTCAGACAAGTTGATACAATCTCACCCAAACTATTCACTCTGGCGTTGGAAGACATTTTTAAATCTATAGACTGGGACAATATAGGGATTTGTATAAACGGGAAATATTTAAATCATCTAAGATTCGGCGATTTATTTATTTATTTATTAACGGATATACCATTTTTACATTGGAACAACATATATATAAAATTTTACAAAGTAAGCACAACATTGGAAAATAATAGTAAAGTTTAACAAAATTAATAATTAACTTGAATACAAACTAATATCAAAAACTAATAATTAACTTCAATACAAACTAATATTACACAAATAGCAGTCTCTTTATCACATTTTTAAATTGTTCTAAGGACTGGAAAAATAAGTCCAGATCACTTTGGTACCTATTATATAGTCTCAACATATTAGTAAGAGGCTTGAAGAATTCATAATTAAATTGATGAAATGGCAGATGAAACAATGAAGTATGTCTAGTTCCATGAAGAGTGTTAAGACCTAATCGATTTAAAAGTTCAGGGCAATTTATCAAATTATTAACAATTTTGTAAAGGAATATTAGGCATAAATAATCTTTTCGCTGATTCATGGAAACCATTTTTAAGTGATCAGCTATCATACTATAACTGTATGGGACAGAAAGGTCATGAAAAGCACTACGGTAATGATAGTGTTTACAAAATTTATGCTGAACACGATCAAGCTTGTCAATAGAGGTTTGATACTAAGGTCCCCATACAACTATTGCATATTCTAGTCTGGAACAAATGAGACTATTAAAAAGAATTGGTAAAACAAAACATGAAAATTGAGAAGTGTTTCTAGTTATAAACCCTAATTGTTTAAATGCAATGTTTACTGTAACCTCTAGATGATTACGAAATGTTAATTTACAATCAAAATAAACACCTAAATCCTTAACACAGTCCTGCCTTGACAGCTGAGTGTTATCAATGCTATAATCGTAATTTAAAATTGTTTGCTTTCTGTGAAAAGTAATAACACAACACTTATCAATGTTCAATTTTAATTCATTTAGTTTGCACCAATCGCTAAATCTGCTGAGATCCTCTTGTAACTGAATTTAATCATACTGACAAGTAATGACTTTATAAATTTTTTTATCATCAGCAAAGTTCAGAAATTTTGAATTCTTAATGACTTTTTCAACGTCATTAATAAAGAGGACAAAAAGTAGGGGACCACAATGTGACCCTTGTGGTACTCCAGAGAGGACGTCAACAGATTGAGACAACACACCATTTATCTTAATGCTCTGGGTGTTACCCACAAGAAAACTATCATACCAATCAAGCCATTTGCCAGCTATACCAATGGCTCCTAATTTACTGATTAAATAACGATGATTTACTTTATCAAATGCCTTTGAGAAATCAGTATAGATGCTGTCCACCTGGTACTTCCTCTCAAAGGCACCCAATATATCATCTTGGTAGACCAACAAGTTTGACACTGTGCTCCTCCCCCTTTGAAAGCCATGCTGTTGGGGTATTATTATATTTTCTGTTAGTTTTGATAAGTGAGAAGTCACTAGTTTGTCGAGAAGTTTTGGGATTGCTGACTGTATACAAATTCCTCGGTATTTTTCAATATCCTCTCTTTTAGCTGACTTAAAAATGGGTACAATATAACTGTTCTTCCAGCAAGGAGGGAACTCACCAGTCATAAGAGATAAGTTATAAAGATATTTTAGGGGAATAGTAAGTGAGCATAGACAGTGCTTTAATAATAGCTGTGGGACTCCATCAGGCCCTGAGGAGAATTTGTTTGGAAGTTTACTTAATTCATCAAACACTGATATAGTGTCAACTTGAATTAGGTTTACAGGGTCAATGTGTCTGACACAGTCTTTAAAATCTGGAATGGGAGCACCTTTATCTTTCTCATATACACCAGAGAAGAATTCAGCAAAAAGGTTAGCAATTTCGATATTGCCCTGTGCCCTTCTGTTACCGAGATACATTTCTTGGGGGTAACTCGAAGATTTACGAAGTCTGCCAATGTATTCGATGTCGATTCGGCGATGTACTCCTGATAGCAACAACTATGGAACAACTACGAATAATGATTTCAGACCTAGAAAATACATCTCTTGAGAAGGGACTAAAAATGAATCTAAAGAAAACTAAAGTAATGAATAATACAGAAGACATATCAGTAATTACCATAGGTGGAACAAACATAGAACCCGTCCAAGAATATATTTACTTAGGACAAACTATCAGAGCAGACAAAAGTAACCAAACTAAAGAAATAACCAAAAGAATAAGAATGGGGTGGGCTGCATTCGGAAAACTCTCATATACTATCAAAAACCAAAAAATTAGGAACGAAGGTATTTAATGCATGCGTCCTACCTGTTCTGACATATGGTGCCCAGACGTGGACGTGTACCAAGAGCAACTTAGAATAAAGAAAACGCAAAGAGCTATGGAAAGACAAATGTTAGGAATATCGTTAAGAGATAAAAAGAGGAACGAGTGGATAAGATGCAAAACCGAAACAATAGACGCTCTCGAACATACATTGAAATTAAAATGGAAATGGGCTGGGCATAATATAAGATATCAGGATGGAAGATGGAATAAAGAAATTGGCCGCTGGAAACCATATACTGCAAAAAGGTCAAGATGTTGACCGCAAATGAGAGATGGAAAGATGAAATTGAGCAAAGCGCAGGTGTAAGGTGGAAAGGACAAATAGAAGACAGAGACAAGTGGAGACAAATAGGAGAGGCCTATATTCAACACGTGAATAGATTTTGGGCTATAGATAGATAGATAGATAGATGTTTCTTTTATACAGTAGGTGTAAGACGTCTTTGACTTGGATGCGATCGAAAGCCTTTGTCAGGTATGAAAAATATAGTTGGACAATAGTTGTCTTAGTACAAATACGGCGTCTACGCAGGATCTTCCGAATCTAAATCCTTGTTGTTCATCTGATAAAATTGTTAATTTATTGATTTTGTTGGTTACTACTTTTGTGGTAAGCTTAAGTGCGGTGTTCAGTAGATTTATACCTTCATAATTGTTGGGGTCTTCTTTATCTCTTGTCTTGAACACTGGTATCATTATGCTGTTTCTCCATGCGTCTGGTATCTTACAGTGGAACATTAGTTTTTGTATAAGTTTTGTTATCTTTAGGGTTATACTTTCTCCTCCGTGTTTTAGAAGGTCGTTGGTTATTTCGTCTGGTCCTGCTGACTTTCTATTTTTGAGTGAACTTATGGCTATCTCTGCTTACTAAAAACTGATTTCTATGTCGTGTCTTAATTCAGGTACGTTATTGTGTTGATTATTATTTTACTTTCCTTTAATTAGTTCCGTCAGGTATCCTTCCCATTCGTTTGGTCTGGTATGTTATTGTATCTCTTCAATTCTGCCATTTCTTTCCGTTTGTTTCTTGTGAATCTCCATATTTGTTTTTGTGTACCGTAGAAGTCGTTTTCCATTGTAAATTGTTCCTAGTGTTCATTTTTTGTTCTACTTGTCAACTGCTTGGTGTTATTTTTGTTCTTATTTTTGCTAGTACTAGTTTGTGTTCACTCCCTGCGTCTGCTGAGTTTAAAGTTCTGATATCTAGAACCTGCTTTGGGTGGATTTTTCTATTAGTGACTATAAAATCAATCATAGATTTATACCCCTGGAGATTTCACATGTATATTTATACTGGAGCTTATAGTCGAAAAATATATTATTGATTGTTAGTTCTTTAAAAGCACATATATTAGCCATGAGTTCTCCATTTGCGTTGACATGGTTTTGTTAAATCTTTGTTTTACTCAGTCCATAAGAATTAAGGGTTTCCCAAACTCAAACTCAAATTTCATGTAAAAATATGAAATTTATGCAAAATATTCCAGATATGTAAAAAAATGTATCTGAGTTGAGTTTTGTACTTATTGTGCTATGTGCTTGAGTTTTCCAACCTTTTTACGCAGCTCACGCAACTCTTTGGCCGGCTCTGATCCAAATTATTGCTGTTCTGACAAGTTCATCAGCTCTCTCAATGATTTGTAGTTCCCGATGAGCTGGAACCCATACCAGTGTGGCGCTGGTATGGACGACTACTAACTTGATATTCTTCTTCTAGTGCACTCCATTTTTGGAGGTTTGCGATTACTTTCACTTTAAATAATGATTGAACTTTCCAAGTTCTGACATTGCGAAGCCGTGACAGCTCTTCTGCATACTTTGGACCTCCATCTTCTCTTCAATTAATAAGCCTATCAGGTTATATTTGTTATTTATCATCATATGGCCTGGGTACGAGGTATTTCTTTTATTAATCGTTGTTATAAGTTTTAAGTCTCAATCTATGGTATTTAATACTGTTCGATTCGTAATGTGTTGTATCCATGATACTCTGAGTATTCTGCGATAAAGACACATTTTAAATGCTGCTAGCCATGGTATTTAATTTTATTGTCCAGGCTTCAACTACATACAGAAGGACTGACCAAACGTTGCATCCAATAGAGTGATTTAAGAGTGATTTTCTTGAAACATTAATAAAGCTGATCCTGAAATATTAATAAAGCTTATTAAAGCTGATCTTTAATGAGCTAGTTTCTTCATGCTTTATGCACACTGATGCCGTTGACCTTACTGATTCTTCCGTCTTTAGAGTTGATTTCTCTACTGTACCTAATATTAATCGAAATTATTTTCGACTATTTCTAAATCCTAATATGACCAACACTTTATATTCCTCTGTAGGTCTTACATTCTGCAAAATCTCTTATTATTAAGCTTTGGATCGCTCCTTTCCACTGTTTAGATATTTGTTGTTTGTTGTTTGTTGTTGTTGTTGTTTGGCACATACTTTAAGTAGCAACTCTATTATTTTTACAAATATATAAATAATAGTACACAAAAACATTTTCAGAACAATAATGAACAAATGTTTATTAGCTTTATTATAAAAAAAAAATGTCTTTTACGAATATATACAGTGCTTTTCAGATAAAACTATCCACCTTAAATAACTTTTGAACCTCTAATTTTTTGGAAAAACGCAAAAACACTTTAATTAATATCTGAAGGGGGAGGCATAATATCATATTTCAGGTTGCTGGAAAATGCATCCTCTCACCCCCTGTATCAACCCTTTATTTTTTTTAAATTACTTCCCCCTTTTTTATTCTATATTTGGTTTCTCCTTTTTGTACTGATTTCAGAAATGTATAATACATGATACTTGAAGTGATTAGTTTATGAGAAAAGTAAATACAAAAGCAAGAAAATTGGATTGAAAAAAAATTATTTTTTAACAATTTTATTACACACATTTAGAACAAACATTTCACTAGTAAAAATGTTTACAATAATTGTTTAAAATGACTGCCTTTCACTTCCATACAATAGTACAATCTATTTTGAAATTCTTCTCTGACTTTGCTTAACACGTTTGCATTTAATTGTCGACATTCATCCTCTATTCTTTGTTGTAAATCATCTAGATATTCTGGTTGAGTAGCATAATTTTTGTTTTTAAATACTCCCATAAGAAGAAGTCTAGGGTGTTCAATCCGGTGACCTAGGTGGCCAATCGATCATCTGTCGTCTTTTACCTATCCAAGGACCGGAAAACGTTTCGTTTAAAAATTATCGCACAGGTAAAGCAAAATGCAGGCAAAGTACAGCAAAGTGCAAAATTGGATGCAGGCGGCTCAGGACAGAAATTTGTGGGGTGAACTACGGGAGGCCCATGTTCAGCAGTGGACGAGTATGGGCTGAATGATGAAAGCAAAGTGTGGAGAGGCTCCATCATGTTGAAATACAACCAAATCATCGGAAAGGTTATCATCATTTGCTACTAATGTTCTAACGATCAACCACTTGCCTATATAATTCAAGATACGATGCACCATTTAAGTTTCCAGTGATAAAGAAGGGTCCGATAATGTGATTACGTAGGATACCACACCATACGTTTAACCTTTGAGGATGCTGTGTGTGAAATTCGCGTACAATATGTGGATCACTCTCAGCCCAGTATCGGCAATTATATCTGTTCACCAAACCGTTTAATGAGAATGAGCATTCATCCAAGAAGCAAATATTGTTTAACAATTGTGGATTGTTAATGATGCATTTTATCATTAATTCGCAACATTAGGGACGACGATCAAAATCTTCTTCATTTAACTCTTGTACTAATTTAATTTTATATGGATAAAACTTAAATTTATGGAGGATTCGGAATGCTGTAGAAGATAAAACACCGATTGCTCTGCTTATTGTTGACAGTGACTGTGATTGTTAAGAGTCTAAGTTAACTTGCCCTAAAACAGCTACTTGGATTGCTTTTTTATTTACAAGTTCCTGTCGGTTATGTTTTTTATTGCTAACTGACCCTCTTGACCAAATTTTTTCTGCATCAGTTCAATCACACACTTATGAGTTGAATGTCTATTGTGGTGTGTTTCATTAAAAATTCTAGCAGCACCTCTTGCACAATTATTATTTTTGTAGTATAAACCTACAATTTCGATTCTTTCTTGCAAAGTGTACACCATTTCAGCGATCAAATTGCACACGTATCAAAATAAGCTGTTACTTACAAGTTATAACAAATTGTCGCTATTAACCGATTAAAACAAATGTAAAAATGATATCGAAAACCTTTGATAAAACTTGAATAAAAAGTGAATTTTTTTGTTTCTTGGTTTTTAAAAGTACTACAAATAGTACGGTTAAATATTTAAAGAGTTTAAATTATGCTACAACCTATTTTGTTAGAGTCAATTAAGGTGAGGGAGATACTGTCTTGTTAACTGGAAAATTGTCTATCTGATAAACTAATCACTTCAAGCCAAAGGTATTTAAAATAACTGTGCTCAAATTGATATGTATATATATTTTTTTCCAGAATGAATATAGTTGGAACGTATGCTGAGAAAAGGCTAAGTATTGACGCAGATGGACATATCGTTGTAAAAATAGACAATGCCTTCGATTACGATGTTTTAAATTCTGTGTATTTTCAAGTAACCGCAACAGATAACGTTAAACATGTGACTCCAGTACCAGTAACAATTACCATTTTGGATGTTAATAATAAAGCTCCCGTAATAGATCAAGTAAGAAATTAATGGAACTACCTAAAAAAATAATAACTCTAATTAATATTGGCGACGTGCAAGTACTTGGATGTGATACGAGAAACGATCGTGCGCGAGTAGCGGAGAAATCTTGCATTTTTTACTGCACATTTCATAGATTTCATAAATTCATATTGTCAATTGTCATATTTCATACTCGTTTGTTTATTTACACCTTCTGTCACTGAAGAAAATGGGATTTAGGAAATACTGTGTTATAAATTGTAAAAATACAACAAAAAATTGTCAATTTAAGGTTTATTCGTTTCCAACTTCGAAGCACAAATTACTACAAAGAGAAAAGTGGATTTATATCATAAAAAAGCATTAGTAACATAACCTAAATTATGTATTATTCTTGCGCCCGATTTTAAAGTCAGTTTGAAATAAATAATAAATAAAAGTTCACTTTTAAGTGTAAATTTTAGTTTCATAACATTCACTTAAAGTTCATTTTTACTCAAAAATCAAGTTTAACGTTTAAATTTTATTTTTTTGAAGTTTACAAAAAAGTTGTCACACTGGACGGAAAATTTGAAGCTTCACTTCTTAAAAATCTGGAACATGTGGGTATTTTCCAAATTTGTTGGAAACGCCGTTCTACAAAATGTCATATGGGAGACGGCTTACAAACAAAACACAGTGATTACTCTTATCTAAAGTGACACATTACTTTCAGTATAAATCACTTTTTCTTCGACAAATTTGCCGGTTTTTTTTTCGATTAAGTAAACACCTATGCTCATTATCGCCAACATTTCAAACCTGAAACTTGAATACCCCTCTGTAATAACCTTGATCTGTGTACCGGCTTCTACCATTTTCCTTCCCCGCTAACCCGTCCACATAATGGAACAACCCAACATTCTTGTCAAAACGCTTCAAGCTTTATCGCAAAACGACCTTGAATCACTTCCAGTTTTTACAATTGTAGAGATATACGTACAAATAAGTAAAACCATATTTAAAGTCTTAGTTACAACTGGAATTTGGAATTTTTTCCTTTACATCACAATGTAAACAGAGAATTGGGGAAATATTTAAACTTGACCCAGGGGCGTGTTAGAACATGCGTGGGGCGTGTTAGAACAGAAAGAAGGTGTGGATGAGAATTTTATTATGGATTGTGATATGGATTTTCGTGGAAATGGGAATTAAGGGGCACTCATGAGGGCAGGTTTAAAATTACTGAAGTATATCTGTACTCTGCCAGGATCACAAAAGAGGTACCCACTACCAAAACTGCATAATAATATTTGTAAATTATCAGGATGACTGTTTTCAGTGATTAGATGAGAACTATATGTTCTTCTTCTTTCAAGTAATTTCCAGTTATCTTATGTAAAATCATCTTGTATTTATATATTTGTGATAAGTACAGATAAGAGGCTATAATTTATTTTTAGGTGGGCCGTATACAAATTCAAGAAAACCAAAAAAATGGTGTAGTCCTAGATGTAACAATAACAGCTTCTGATGTAGATACAACTGCTGATCTGACTTCTACTATAAATTGGGACAATTCCAAAGTAACCAAAACTAATTCTCCTGTAGAAAAAACTGACGCTGTAAAAAAAGCTATGGAGTAAGTATATTACACAGGGTTGGAATTGCGAGATGAATATCTAGTTGATAAATCTTGCAGTACTGCAAACTAAATCGACTTATAGCTACTCACAGCATTATTTAGTGTTAATTATACTAATGAGATAAGTGTATTTTTAATACTAACACTTTAAGCCAATAACACAAAACATTAACTTTAAATGAAACATATTATTTATTTAAAAATATATTTCATTTTTGGTTCATTCGAATCAAAGCATGATTTTGTGTATTATTGATCTGTAGCATTTGGGAACTCGGTGGTTGTTCTTCTAACTATATTATTTTTAGATTTTTAGAAATAGAAAATACACAAACAAACAATGGTCAAGGTCTACAAATGAAATTAAAGGTAATAAATAATAATGACGATAATCCAGACAAGCCCGATTTTGAAACTTTCGATACATTGTATTTAAGTATAGTTGTAGAAGACCGTAATACTGATCCCGAGTTTGAGCAGAATCGTTTTAAAGAAGGTAAATAGTGTTTGTTGTTTTTATAATGTTAATATATAGAATAGAGTGCGCAAAACTCCTGGTTTTCTTTTGTTACTACTAAATTATGGAGTTCATAAAAAAATGTTTTTAAAAAAACTGATGTACATCAAAGCCATCTACAATTTGAAATTACAACCTGCGTAATGAACCAAAACTGTGTTTTTTGGAGTCAAACTACTATACTGGTGTTGCATTATTTTGTTTTCTATAGTAAAATGCTAAGGTGGGATCACGGAACTAGCGGCACAAAAGGACGCCCTCATGGAACTAGTGTCACAAGATGGCGTCGACACAGTATGGATATAAAATCAACCTTATAAAACTAGAACAAAGACATATATATTATCAATACTTAATTATCTGATTTAGAATCAATAATAATAAAGTTATGGCTGTTTGAAGACCTATATTCATTTAATAACCGGAAAAGTGAATAACCGGAAAACTTATAGGAACTTTTTTATATATTTTAAAAAAATTAATATGACTATTAATAAAAGTGATTAACATGAAAATTAAGGTAATTTATAACTAAAATAAAGTCTTCTTATATTTTCTGTGACGCAGAAAGTAACAAACTCTTCTCCGCCAAAACCACCCTAGTTGACACTAGTGACGTAACGAATATTCGCATATTTTTGCATATTCGCATTCGCATTCGCGAAATTTGTGCGAATATTTTGCGAACATGAATATAAGAAAAAAAAAATAATTTGAAGATTAGGTTAATAAAATAAAAATCCAATAACTTCTCAGTTTTTTTATTAAGAAAATACTTTATTTTGCAAGCTTAGAAAACTATAAAATTGGAAAACAAAACATAAATGATGCAATGTAAACAAACAAAAACAAATGATTCTCTGAAACTTTTATTATCCCTGAAAGTTTTTAATTTTAGACAATCATCTTGAAAAACTAAGAATTATTCAACTACAACCTAAAAATAATTTATGAGTTTTTATGTAAAGAGTTTAAACAAACAAACCTAACCACCCTGTTATTTGCTTAAAGATCTTCTCCAAAAATATTAATTTTGTGTTAACAAAAATACTGTTCTCTCTTTTTTTCTCAAGTTTTTTTTAACAATAAGTTAAGAACAAGCTGTTTAAGCTTGTTTCGATGTGTCGCCACTAAACAAGCTCTCGTTCGGGACACTTTTTGGTGGTATAACTAAATATTACCGTACTACAGGAAAAAGATCCAAAAACAAACAAATGTACCACGGTTTGATGTCTCAAAGATAAAAGAAGAACCTATACGTCAGAGCTTAAAACAAGAAATAAATGATAACTTAAAGAAAATAAAAAAAGACGTGATAAAAATAACAGATGTTAATGACAAATGGAACATGGTACAGGAAACTTTAATAAAGGCAGGAAAAAAGCTACTGCAGACAAAAATAAGAAAAAAACAGAGAGAAACTTAGATCCAATGGAAGAAAGAAGGAAACATAAAGGCAGGAGTAACGCAAAATACAAAGAACTACAGATATTGATAAGAAAGAAAATAAAAGAGGCCAAATCCTCCTGGCTTGCTAATCAATGCAGTGAAATAGAGGCATGTGCTAAACAGTATGATAGCTTTAACATGCATAAGAAAATAAAGAAAATGACAAATACACTGAGAAAAAAAGAAGCTGCCCTTCTGAAAGAGGCAAATAAAAAAATCATTATAGAAATTAAAGAGAAATTAAAAAAATGGAAGACATACATAACAGATCTGTTTGAGGATAATCGACAAGACCGGAAGAAATCGACAGCGAAACGGGGCCAGAGGTCATAATAGAGGAAATCGAACAAGCAATACGAAACGCAAAAAACGGAAAAACTGTAGGTCAAGACGAAATACCCGCGGAACTACTGAAATGTCTAGACGATGAAACTCTACCTGGACTTCTGGACCTATTTCATGAAGTATATAAAACTGGAAAAATCCCACAGGAATGATTGGTGTCCACCTTTGTAGCAATACCAAAAACAGTATATGCCAAAGATTGTTCAGACTATGGGACAATATCACTAATAAGCCATACCCTCAAAATATTTCTAAAGGTGATTCATGGAAGATTATATAGAAAACTATAAGAGGATATGGATGTTACTCAGTTTGGGTTCCGCAAGGGACTGGGAACGAGAGAGGCATTGTTTGCTTTTAATGTCCTCTCTCAAAGATGCTTAGATATGAACCTAGATATTTATTCCTGTCTCATCGACTTCGAGAAGGCATTCGACAGGGTCCGACATGAAAAACTAACAGAAATACTGAGAAACGAAGATATAGACAGACGAGACTTACGAATCATTATCAGTCTGTATTGGAATCAAATGACCAATATAAAGATAGAAGAAAAAAAGTCAGAAAATATAGATATAAAGAGAGGAGTAAGACAGGACTGTGTTCTGTCACCATTACTGTTTAACGTGTACAGTGAAGCCATATTCCAGGAAGCGATAGCGGATCTGGGTGATGGAATCTCTGTACACGGAAGAATAGTAAATAACATAAGATTCACTGATGACACCATTATAATGGCAGACACCCTGGACTCGCTACAAAAATTGGTTAATAGAATTAACGATTATTGCATTAGATACGGACTAATAATAAATAAGAGAAAAAGCAAATTTATGATTGTCTCAAAAACGCAACATGGAAATGAAAGATTAATGATAGAGCAAACCCAAATAGAAAAAGTAGAGACATACAAATATCTGGAAACCTGGGTTGATGACAAAAATGACCAAAGGAGAGAAATCAAAGTCCGAATTGAAAATGCAAGGCAAGCATTTGTGAAAGTGGGCTTGAAGAATGATCAATGCTTACCAACAGAGACCTTCAGTTGCATCTCAGATTGAGGGCTCTAAGATGTTACATATTTTCTATCTTACTATACGGAATGAGAGCTTGGACATTGAAGAAACAACATATAAGAAAAATAGAAGTGTTCGAAATGTGGTGTTACAGAAGAATGTTAAAAATTCAGTGAGTTCAAAAGATTACCAATGCCGAGGTACTACGACGTCTAAATAAGGAGTTAGAAATTATGAACAGCATAAAAAGAAGAAAACTAGAGTATTTGGGTCACATAACCAGAGGAGAAAAATATAAGCTGCTGAGAATTATTATGCAAGGAAGGATCCAAGGAAGAAGAAGCATAGAAAGAAGACGCATCTCCTGGCTGAGGAACCTTAGAGAATGGTTTAACTGTAGTTCACTACAACTTTTCAGAGCAGCAGCCAACAAAGTGACCATAGCCATTATGATATTCAACCTCCGATAGGAGATGGAACTTTAGAAAAACTGAAGAAAACAGGAAAAAGAAGATCATACCGTCCCTTGTTCACTTTCCACCATGTTAGAGGATCGACATGACCTGCCAAGCGTTTTTCCAATGAGTATTCTGTGACAGTTTTACGGATTAAAAGATGTACAGGTTTTTGAAAACTAAGAAGAGTCTTGTTATCTTCTTCACTGTCACTCGTATCCATCAGTAAACTAATCATTTCTTTTAAATACAGACACGCTTTGCATTCTGGTAAAGTGAATTGGAAGATATGTCGTTTTGATTCTCTCTGAGCAAATCCAAAATAATATGCTCTATGACAACCGCTTCAGTCGACATATTTTTAAAAAATTTTGCTTTATATCTTGGGTCAATGAAGGTCGCTATGGCAAACAATATTTCATTCTCTAATCCCTAAAACTTGCGAATGAGCTCGTCTTTTATGACGGTAATCGTATCACCAATGTGTTTATCGGATGAATCAAGATCATGAACAACTTTTTCTAGAGTCGCGATTAAGGGAATTACAGAGGAAGTAGAAACATCGACAGCACTTAACTCTCTGGTTACTTCTTCAAATGGTCTTAGTAAACCGATAAGTTTTTTAACAATCATCCACTCTTCAGAAGCCAGTTGGGGAATTTTATTATTTGCCGAAGCGTACAAACATAATGACTTTGACTTGAAAAATACGCTCCAACGTATAAAAAGAGCTGTTCCACCTAGTAGCACATTCTAGGATAATCTAGAGGTTTTTGATTAAGTCTTTTTTGTATATTGGTCAGATCATCTTGGACAGCAGTCGAATGATGAACATGAGTTGCCATCTTTTTGCATTTTGTTATGGCAGCCACGACAGATTCTTGAGCCTTCATCCCTGCTTTTTAACACGTTTTCGCAAGTGGTGGCTTCAACCAAATGCATCCAAAACAGAAGTAAGTTGCTTTCACCTGAACAATAAACTTGCTGGAAAGGAACTCAACATACGGTTTGAAAATACCACACTTTCCCACAACAAAACACCGAAGTACCTGGGCGTAACACTAGACAGAACGCTATCATTTAAAGAGCATTTAACAAAAACTGCCCAAAAGTTGAGTACAAGAAATAACATTATACAGAAGCTCTGCGGTACCACCTGGGGAGCATCGGCTTCCACTCTCCGCTCTACTGCTTTAGCCCTTGTTTTCTCGACCGCTGAATATTGTGCCCCAGTTTGGCTACACAGTCCACACGTAAAAAAGGTAGACACTCAGCTGCACATCACTATGAGGATGATAGCTGGTACAATTAAATCAACTCCCACCCAATGGCTTCCAGTATTAAGTCACATTCGACCTCCACATTTACGACGAGTTGACGTACTTACACGTGAATACAAAAAGATCATGAACAATATAAACCTGCCGATCCACCAAGATACCGAGGATGCACGAAATACCCGTCTACGTTCTAGAAAACCACCAATGAAAACGGCAAGAATGATACATGAGGAGTTCAACATCACGAATGCATGGTCCCAAGAATGGAATGCATGGCAAAATAACATGCCCTGTATTACCCACAAGCCACCAGGTTTTGATCTTCCACGTAAAACATGGTCCACTCGAAACAGGATCCGAACCAGACATGGCAGATGTGCATACATGCTATATAAATGGGGAAAGAATCCGTCTCCTCAATGTGACTGTGGGAAGGACCAAACGATCGACCACATTATTGAAGAGTGTCCCTCAAGATCCTATAACGATAGCCCTGAAGACTTCCTGTTTGCAACTTCAGAGTCAATTGATTATGTTAATACACTTGATGTTTGTTTGTTATTATTTAAAGTTTGTCATATACCTATATTACTAGTGTTTGTAATTTTGTTCTAAATGTGTTGTAATTGCCATACGATAAATAAATAAATAACACGTTTTGAATCTTGTGATAAGCACAGTCAATATGTTCAACATTTAACAAGTCAACACCTTTTTTATATTAGCACCTGCATCGCGAACTACACATTTCACTTTTTCTTGGGATATTTCCAAAAACGACAAGATGTCTTTAAGTTTGTGATTAATATATTCTGCAAAATTGCCGAATTCCTAAATTAACTGAACTTATCTAACTACACTCCTCGTACAAACGAGACTGCCGGCAGTGCCGGAGACAATTAAAAGTGCCAAATTAAAAAAAAACTGAATATTCGCTTTCGCATTCGCGAATGTCGGTGGCACATATTCGCATTCGCGAATGTTCAAAAAATGACATTCGTTACATTACTAGTTGACACTATTCGTTGTTCATTTACAGTTTACTTAATTTATATACAAAAATTATATCCTGGAAGTTCAGCTGGTTTAGAAGGTATAGTTTTGAAAAAATCTGAGTTTAAAGTAACGATATTATTTTCAGAATTTTTCAAAAAATTTTTTTTCACGTTATAACCTCTATTATTTTTGTAGGTCAAATCGTTATCAATATCCTAGATGTTAACGATAATCCACCATATTTTCCATCTTCTAATGATGATAGTCGGCAAGTGCAGGAAATGTCTTTGAAAGGGGTATCGGTTGGCTCCATAAAAGCTGTCGATGTTGACTTGAATCCAGATATTACTTACCATTGCACGTAAGTATCAACCGTACAATTTATTTCAGGTCATTTTATTAATCTTTTCTATTTTTGCGTGCTCATTTTTCGTTTTATAAATATACAGTTCCTTATTTTTATACCATATTGTTCTTTTCACTCAGACAGTAGAGTATTTTAAAAAACCTCGAAGCCTTCTGTTTTGTGTTAAACTTATTGAGATCGCTTATTAAATGATTTGAATAATAACGAAAAAAATTCAATATTTTGATTTTAAATAAATTAGCAATTAATTTAAATATCACAAAAATACCTGGCGTAACTCATTCATGTTGTCTCTACAAAGAAATGCACTTACCGTTTGAATATGTAGCTAGAGGAGTTAAATAGTGGCTGAGTCCGTTGGTGGTAAAAAATCGACGCTGGTACCGCGGCGAAAAAGGACGGTCCACTTTTCGGATAAACTGGAGATGTTTACAGTCCGATGCCTCGTTTCGATCTGTGTTTGTCAGAATTTGTAGGCATAAAAACCGTACCTAAAAATTCTCAAGGGTGGCCCCGGTACAGCTGCATAAGAAGCAAATCCTCATAAATCGTAGCTTCAAAACGGTTGTCCAGCCTTGATACCAAATTGCGTTTATCAACCAAAAAAAGATTACCATGTGTTAGCCAGTTTGACAATGAGTGTTTACTGACTAGAAGAACAATAATACACTAATCTTCTAGGGTAAATAAGTAATTAGTGTTTGTGAAAGTATGAACGAATTCTTTTATTATTTTTACATTTAATATTTTTCTGTTACGGTACTGTAATGTGATCTAATTTAGTGCTGTATTCTAAAGACCTTTTTAAAATATACTATTTCCTGTTATTTCGTAAAACTTAAACTGGCTATCTCATTTATGATGTTTTAAGTACGGAGAATTTGGCTCTCTTTTGTATTCTGGATCAAAAATATACACACAAGTGCAAGATTTTGTATTATAGTCGGCACGTAACTTCGTGAGAAAATTTACAGGAACGAAAGCAAGCAAAATACCATTAAAATGGCAACGCTGTTAGAGTTACCACTATTTTATTGTAGTACATAGTAGTAGAACAGTAGCGTAGATATCTAATTTTAAATTAAATAAAAGTTTTTACTTTTATTTAATTTTATTTACCAAAAAGTTTCATTTTCTATAAAGTTTAAATAAAAAATATCGGTGTTTTTAACTTCTGTGATATATCTTGGGAGTGATGACACTAATCGACTCGACTGAACAGAACTTATTGTAAAATAATAATATCTATATAAAACATTGTTAATAATAGTAGTTATTCAGCGATAATGACAGTGACAGTTTCAGTTGACATACTTCCCTAAAACATTAATAATTTTTGTCCTATCAAGAAGTGTGTTTATACCTTGTTTTCAAAGATTTATAAGCAAAATGAGAAATTCTACAATTAAAATAGAAATAAAGGTTTCAACTAACACCTAATAAGTACTTACTATCTACTCAGAATCACTATTATCACTAGTATCACTCGTATCATCTAAATTTATAGGTGATTTGGTTAATGCTGGTAAATATTTAACATAGTCATTTACCACTCCGATCACATGGTTTATTACATTTTTCCAATTGGTTGCTGTAATTATTGTGACTTCTCTTCTAATTAACTGTAGAACAGTATACAAAAAATTTTGGAGCAACCAACGTTTCTTCTCATTATATTTCCTTTAAGTTGAGTCCATATTAACTCTATTGGGTTCAATGTACAATAATAAGGAGAAAGTCTAAGCACAGTATAGCCGTTACTACGAGCACAGTTGTCAACAACATATTCATTTTCGTACTGTTTACTTTGAACAATCTCCAACAATTGCTTTTTAATATAAGATGTCTCAAAATACAAATCTTCCGTGAATAAAAATTCCTGAATTTTTAATTTATTCCAACTAATATTTAGAGTTTTTTTCATTAATCTTGAATGATATGATGCGTTGTCCATGATAATCACACTATCTTTAAGCAATTTCGGAAGAAGAGATTTTTTAAACCATGATTCAAAAATTGAACTTTCCATATCGTCATGATAATCCAGAGACGCGTTTTTAATTTGTTTTGCAGATATTAATAATGCATCGTCGACCCATCCATTTTCTCCATCGCAGTGTAAAATTATAATCCTCTTTCTTTTATTGGGCGGTACTGAGTTGAAACACCTTTTGTTATTATTTGTCCAACTTTTTTTTCACGGTGTCATGAGTATCATACCAGGTCTTATCTAAATAAACAATATTTCGTTTTATTTTTCGATACTCAGTTATCTGTCTGATATAATTGTTTTTTAAAGAAAATATTCTAGTACTTTCCATTAATTTCTGTCTCTTGTCTATAGTTTTGTACTTAAAATTATTGGCTTTAAGAAATAATCGAAGTGTTGTTGCTGAACACGAGGGAATGCCCTTTCGAACCAATTCACTTCGAAGGCTTTCAATAAATGGAAAAATATTAGCCGCATACATTTGGTATATTTTTCTAGTTATAGATTCAATTAAGTGCGGTTCTATTTTTCTGAATTTGCCACAATCCTTTCTCTTCTGTCTAGAAGAAGGTGTTTCTCCTATAATTTTGTAGCAGGTTGCTTTGGGCACTCTGGTTAAAAACATGTTTCTGCAATTGCCGTTGATTTAGACAATTCAGCACACAGTCCTTCATAAACATTTTTAGCATACGTTTGGCATCATCATAAAGGCATTGAAAATGTCGCTTACGTTTTACTACACGCCTTTGTAAATCTTCCAATCGATTAGAGGGTTCCATTGTCTCTTCAGCAACATAATTATTATCGCACCACGGACGCAATATTTTAAAATTATCAAACGTATAAAAACATAATCACGTAAAAACGTATCAAAAAAAGTAAAAAAACGTAAAATATAAAATGTTTTCCGTATAAAGAACACTGAAAAAAGTCATTACCAAACTAACTTGCGGTTCACTATTTGAAATTTGAATTTAACTGAACGCTGTAGCAGTTATGATTTTACTAAAAATATTCTTGTCTCCCAAAAATCTGTTGGTCATATCCGCAATTTAAAAATAAAATATTATAAAAATTTGCCTACCTAAGTGTTCCCCGTCCCGTGCCTTCGGCACTGGACGGTCGAGACCTGATCCCTTATTTTATGACTCCGTAAGCTCAGTCAAATACTGATATAATCTTACCCCAAGTATGAATAAGTCTACCGACAAAAGATAACGCTTTATGATTTGTCATAACAGCGATATCCGATGTTTTCATTGGCTGTTAGTCCACGTGGACTTATCATAAGTTCGATGAAAACTTAATTGGTTGATTGTTCATATCTGGTTCATATTTTAAAAGATTATACCAGGCACGTCTGACTGTTAATATCGAGTGGAATCTGGAAACTTTGTATTATTATACGTCTGAGTCATTGATAATTTTACAGACTTCTGGTAGAGTACCTTTTTGTTGAATGATTTTATTACAGATACATATATTTTTGCACAGTCTCACGGAAATACGAGGCTACTATACCGTGTCAATTAACTTGAATTATCGCCACTCAAAGTCGCAATATAATAAACTGATTTATTGGCACACCCTCTTTTACCACCACGTAACGCTTAGAGGGAGGCTTAGTTGTGACCATCTCAACGCACTTCACTTCTTAGTAAGACAACGAACGAAACGCTCCATTTTGACCGGTCTCGTGTTATTAGCCTCGGCGTCCCAGGCCGTGGCGTCGTGATGCCCAGCGACCAACTCTTCGGTCTGGTACGAATACATCAATAGAACCAAAGGGTAAGTCTATGTATAGTTGACCAAGGTTTGTTGCTTGTGATGACCTATGGTGCCGAAACTTTGACATTAACAGCTACAAGTTATAAAACGCTGCAAATAGCTCAGAGGAGAATGGAGAGGTCAATGCTGAGTATTTCGCTTCGTGAGTTAGAAATAAAGACTTAAGACAAAGAACAGGAAATGGAACTTGGCCGGACACGTCGCCCGAATCAGTGATGAAAGGTGGATGAAGAGATTGCTTGTGTAGAGGCCGAAGTTAGACAAAGGAAGTAGATGAAGACCCACTACTCGTTGGACTGACGATCTCAAGAAAATGTCAAGAAATTGGATGAGAAGTGCTCAAGATAGAGCACAATGGATAAAAATGAGGGAGGCCTATGTCCAGCAGTGGACGCAAAGGACTGGGTGATGATGGTGATTTTAAGAAAACCATTTGTGTGTTATTTATTGGTGACCCCCAAAGATAATCAATTTGATTAATTTCTCCGGATAGTTACATGTGTGTATAGATATGTTTGCACCCAATATACACGAGTACCATATTTTCTTAAATATATTATTAAGTGTACATATTTTTTACGTTTACTAACCTGTTTTAGGCCAGAATATGAAAAGTTTGACTGGGTCGATGTAAATCATACAACCGGAGCTCTAACTGTAAAGAACGATCAACAAATTGACGCAGACACAGACAAAACGTATTATTTCAACTATACATGTTGGGCTCACGATGGTGTGTTCTTTTCCAAACCGTTGGACGTAAGTACAATTACGTAAATACTTAAATATTATGTTTATATAGGAATAAACCACAATAATTGATTGTAATGAAAATTACATTTTTAACACATTAACTGCCATGAGTTTATCTGAATATATCCATGGAACACAGTACCTGAGTTCAAACCGCCACGTGTGTACTGGAAAAAAATACTTCGTCATTTTTCTATTAGCAGTTGAATTATAGAGTCAAACAGGGAGATACTTTATCACCCAAACTGTTCACCTTAGTTTTGGAGGACGTTTTTAAAAACCTAAATTTCAAATATAAGGGAATAAACATCAATGGCCGCTACCTCAGTAATCTACGATTTGCAGATGACATAATCCTGATAGCTACTGACCCACAAGAAATGCAAACCATGCTTAGAACTACATACCGAATCTTCTAAAATAGGACTAAAAATGAATTTAAACAAAACAAAAGTTATGCACTCATTGCCCTGGGAGAAAAATACTTCGTCATTTTTCTATTAGCAGTTGAATTATAGAGTCAAACAGGGAGATACTTTATCACCAAAACTGTTCACCTTAGTTTTGGAGAACGTTTTTAAAAACCTAAATTAGAAATATAAGGGAATAAACATCAATGGCCGCTACCTCAGTAATCTACGATTTGCAGATGTAATAATCCTGATAGCTACTGACCTACAAGAAATGCAAACCATGCTTTTAAAACTACATACCGAATCTTCTAAAATATAACTGAAAAGGAATTTAAACAAAACAAAAATCATGCACTCCGAAGACACCGTGGCAATAATAAACGATAAAGTTATAGAAAAAGTTGATGAATATATATACTTAGGACAAAAAATACTACTAAATAGGGAAATTCAAACTGAAGAAATAAAAAGAAGAAGAAAGTTAGCTTGGGCAGTATTCGGTAAACTGAACTATATACTCAGAAGTCAACAAATTCAATTACATCTTAGATCTAAAGTTTTTGATGCATGCATTATTCCGATATTAACTTATGCGGCACAAACATGGACAATCACAAAAAAGAATATAAATATACTTAGAGTCACTCAACACGCGATGGAAAGAGCAATGCTAGGTATATCACTTAAGGACAAGAAAACAAACACATGGATAAGACAGAAAACCAAAGTCACCGATGTGGTGCTAAAATCATTAAAGTTGAAATAGGAATACGCTGGACATGTAGCTAGGAGCGATCTAAACAAATGGTACAGATCAATTTTAACCTGGAGACCATACCAACACAAAAGACCCAGAGGCAGACCTCCTATGAGATGGACAGATGATCTGAAAAGGACTGCCGGGAAAAATTGGCTACAAGTAGCGTACAATAAAAAACAAAGGAAAGGAAGACTTGAAGAGGCTTATGTTCAGATGTGGACGTGAAGAAGAGTTCACGTTCTTCACGTCCACAGACAAAGAAGAAGTTGAATTATAGTAGGTTTTTTATAACTTAAACGCTAATTAATTTTGATGTAAAAGTGTTTACTGTGATTAATAATAGATACAATAATCCACTATAAAATAAAGTGTTAACACATATTTTAAATTATGCTTAAACTACTATTTTGGCATCCTCATCTTCTCTATCATCGCTATCACTTTTACTACTGTCACTGTCATTCATCACATTTATTACCACAGGATCAATATCGTCCATCAACCCGTCAATAACTCAAAATTTTTGCTCTTCCTTAATAGCAAGTTTACAACAGTTTTTCCAGTTTTCCACTGTTACTAAACCAAATGCATTTCTTATTAATTGTTCCGTAGTGGCAGTCTTAAACTCTGTGTTGTGTGAGGCAATATATCTTATTATGTATTTTTCTTTGTATGTGTTTACAACTTCCATGAGCTCTGGTTTTAAATAATCTTCTTCAAAAAAGAAATCTTTCTCCAGCAACCATCTTATTCTTAAGTGCCTTATCCGGTTCGGATGTTAGCGATCATCAAGGCTATCATGGTTTTGTTGATTGCTTTGCGAAACAGCTCTTCTGAGGTCATCCCAAATCATTGTCAAAGGTTTTTTAACTACGAGATACGACAACGTCCCGGTCCCCTCCTACCCAATACTTTACCCTGCATAACCAGTTGAAGAATTCGATATTTGTCTTCGTTGCGCATCACGTACCCTAGCAATCATGTCTTAATTTAAACTTTATTGAAGGCGTGTGTCGTAATCACTTCTTCTCTCCTCGAATGGTACGAAGCGTTGTCCATTACCACAACAGTTTTCTCTGGAAGATTAGGAAGCAGCTTTTCCTTAAACCATTGTTCAAATATAGGACCATCCATCTGATCATGATAGTCCGCTGAGTTTTTTAGCTAAAAACCAAAAAGCAGCACCTTCTACAAAGCCTAATTCGCTACCCGCATGCACTATAACAAATCTGGGGCCTCGTTGTGTCGGCTGTTTTAGGCTTGTTAACAACCGCTTAAGAATCGCTTTCCCGGTTAAAGTCATTAAGGGGTCCTTCCATTCTTTGGAAACACTACGTCTAACATTCACTTAAGTTTCGTCCAAATAAACGATGGTGCATCCTTGAGAACGAATTTTTTTATCTCACGCAAATACTGATGCCTCAATTTTAGAATATCGGGCCGTTTAATCATGCTTGACTTCTCGTTCGAAAAAAACAAAGTTCATTTCATGGAATATTCTCTACATTGTTAGGCGTGACAATTTTACTAAATCTTATGTCTTTTTTAATCAGTGCAAAAACTTTGTTCAATCTCGGCGGTAAATTTTTAAAGAAAAAACTATGCACGGTGGCACGTAGCTGCTTACGAAGTACTGCATCGTAAGTGAACTTTCTGCTGTTCACTCTAGTTTTGGTCCTTTTTCTGTGGGCCTTAGTCCTCCTTCCGCAGCTTCTTTACGTATTTTAGAAATAGTACTAAAACTTACTCCCGTCATAGCACTTACTTTATCGGTTAAACTTCTAATACTTTCACCACTTCTTAACACCACTTTCTTTCACACTATTTTTTCACTAATATCATCATACAAAAGAATTTAGAAATGCTTCAATTTTGACACTGGAGTTGTGATAATTTCTGTGTCTGCGTCTTTGTGATAATTTCATTCCGAATTAAATTTAAAATTTATGTACCAAGTGGGTTTCCACTAGGTGTTAAAAATTTTTTACTGTTCAACTTCTACTGTTGTATTGTTGGTACGTGTTATTACATCCAACATCACGAATTAGTTTAATGTACTGTTTATGTATCGATTTGATTTAAATAGTCACCAGAAAAAAAGCGTAAGACGGAGATGCCTGTTCTTAGCAAAAATTCAGAACGTTTTTGCCAAGTTTTGTCTGACAGTTTGTTATAACTATTATATCAACAATGAGAATTCAATTTCTAATTAAGGTACACCGGGGTAAGAGGAACCTAAAAAATCATTAATTTCTGTTTAAGGCCTTCTAAAAAATTTAGTAATATATGCACTCTATTAGGTTACCGACAGGTAAGAGTTACACCATTTTCTAATACGAATGCGGTGTTAAAACATAAAAAAAGTTTAAAGAACTTTTTTCTAACAAAAACTTTCAATCATGTGACATGGTTTCCACTTGCCCCACATTTTCTACATGGCAAGGGGCAAGTGGAAACCTATTAGAATTTATATATTGAATTCAATGCAAATCATTCTGGGGCAAGTAGAAATAATAAAAACCATTTCTGAATACATTTGTAATAAAAGTTTAAAAAAATATGGTTATTAGCGAACATTATAGTTGTTTAGAGAAATAGGAAACGAAATTAAAGCTTGTTGCCTTTTTGTAAGCTGGGAAAAACTTAATGGTTTTGGCAATACTAATTAAATTTGGAACTTAAATGCGACTGATATGTCTGGTAGGTTAGGAAAATAATATTTTCCGTCATTTTTTATGCATTTTCGAAGGCAACTAACTTTAACTTCAGTATCAAAACACTGCAAAATTTTAGCGACATAATAAATATAATTTGAGCCTCCTTTAACTGGAAATTTCATTAATACGAAATCATCGGGCAAAGCCGCACGATGTAACTCTTCTTCGATGGGAGGGGTTGGAACCCTTAATATATCAATATCGTCGTCGGAATCTGTTCTCATCTCAATGAAAGCTTGGTCATCATCACTGCTGTCAGATTGTGTTTCCTTCTTCTTTATCCTTTTCCTTTCCGTTTTATTGGATTTTACGGTCTTTTTGTCTTGTATCTTCATTTTTGCTAAATAGTCAGTGTGTGTTATGATCTCAGCGCCAGAACAGATTTTATTACGCTTTTGCTGGTTTGATGGGGATTGTTTGACATGTTCGAGTAAAATAGATTCGAAGGAATTTCTTTCAGGAAGCCTTTTTAATGCATGATTCTGATTATCATTTTGAAGATACTGTTTGTATTGTAACACAGTACTTCTGACCAAGTGTGTTGCTTGGCTGCCACTGGTATTTTCCGACATCTCTTCTTGTTGAGGGGTATCACCAGGGTCATTCCTATTTCTCACTAATGATGCCTTCTTAGAGTTATGATATTGAAATCTTTTGAAAGCCCCAGGTTCAAATTTTTCAACAGGAATCACTGCATTACAGAATGGGTAAATACTGGCCTTACTAAAACCACTTCTAATATGGTTTGAACTCAGCTCCTTCCATACTTGTGAAATTATAGATGAAAATATGGATTTCGGTAACTTTGTACCGTAATTTCTTCTTTGCCATTTTATAAGAGCTTCATCGTACATTTGTTTTAAAGGCTTGAACACAGCCAAATCCATTGGCTGTAGGAGATGGCTAGTATGTGGCGGTAGTTTTAAAATAATTATGTCTTCCCTTAAAGCAGTTTCTATAAGGGCAATTGATGTGTGTGAAGAGTGACCGTCATAGATCAGAACAACGGGTCTCTCTTTAGGAATATTCGGAAGGAACGTATGTTCAATATAATTAGAAAATGTTTCCGTTTCCATCCATCCGTTTATTGTTGCTCCGTATGTAATTCCTGGATACTCGTCATCTTTTTTTGCTAGCCATGTATCCCAAAGATTTTTTCCTTTGAAAATAATAAGGGGTGGTAATTTTTCTCCTGTAGCATTGCCACCCATTAAGACAGAAAACTTTTCTTTGCCAGGACCAGTTGTAACTCGATGAGCGGCTTTTCCTTTTTCACTACTACTTTTACACGACTAGGATCTAGACAGAAACTGGTTTCATCTAGATTATAAATCCTCTCAGGGGGTATATTCGAAGTGATTTCTTTCACCAAGTCAAAGTACTCTGCAATTACAAATGGATCTATACTTTTTTTACGGGTCACTTCAACTAATTGTGGCTTCTTTTGAGGAAGTCCATATCGGCGCTTGAAACTTAAAAAATAATCATCTCCCGGTATTGAATCTTTAAATGGAGTTTTTATGTTATTTTCTGACACATATTGTCCAATAGCTAACAAAATTTCTTTTTTTGAAAGACCAAAACCCCATTTTTGCATGGTCTTAATATGGTCAGCAATTTTGGTCTCAATATCTAAAGATAAAGCTGTTGGCCTACCCATAGTGGTACTTTTTTCACCCCTTAATCCCTTGACTCTTTTAAATAATGTTGCTTTTGGAATGGAGTAATGTTTTGATGCTCTGTAGAGTGTCAATTGCTTAGATTTTACAGCTTCTACTGCTTCTCTTAAGGTTTCTTGAGAATATGTTGGCGGTGGTTTCTTTTTGACATAAACACGAACCATTGTTACTGCAAAGAAAAAAAAAGTTAGATTAAACTGTTTTAAATAAATGCTTGGGGAAAGTGGACACTAGTGTCCACTTTCCCCAATGTTGTGGGTTCCACTTGCCTCAAGCATAAAAAACAATGGGGCAAGTGGAACCTATCTATTTTTACAAAAATTATCTACACAAGTTAGTTTTAACCTACATATAAATAAAATACAATATAATTTTATTCCTTACCTAATGAAAATCGCTGTTAATTCGAATTCCTTAAATCAAAACCGTTGGCTTAAAGATAACAATTAAAATTCGATTGTTAAATCGATACCGGCTTGGTAGATAAACACTTGAATAGTTTTGCTTAACGACAGAATTATGACCATAGATAAATAATATAGTATATACAGAGATGGTGTTAAAATAAAATGATTGGTTAAAGTCTTCGTGAGCGAGATAGGCTGTCATCTCTCTTTATTAACCGACTGGAGTCAAAGTGATAGGGGAAATGTTCAAGGTTATTCATATAAGATTCCAGGCCATGATTATGACTGACTCTGAGCGTCAGTGGTAATATTAACCTAGTGTAGATCGTTTTTAGGGAGATGGCAGTCACAGGACTGGATTATGATTTTTTTAATCACATGGTTTCCACTTCCCCCATATTTCCACTTGCCCCGGGGTACCTTACTCATTATTTTTTGTTATGGACTTTTAAGTTTCAATTGCGTTTTAAGCGCGTTTAAGAAGAGGGTATCATCAAAGAAAAATGAAATAATTTGATCTCAGATTATCATATTATTATTATAGAAAAAAATTATAATAAACATGTTTAATTTTGCCTAGTAGTAAAGTTTTTATTAACATTATAAAATTGTTTATTTGGTTTTACCTTCAAATTTTATACTGATGTATTTTTCTACATTTATATTTCAGATCTCAATCTATGTTATCGACACCAACAACAAAGTACCTGTAATAGATTTCCCAAATGAAGTACACGTAAAGGAGAAATCGCTAATAGATACAAAAATTAGAAATATCGATACAAGTGATTTAGATAGAGATGGTAAGAGCATTAAAAAAATTTAAGTAACCTTGAGTTGCTATGTGTGAAGCTCTTTTGCCTACTAGATAGGCATGGGAGCTACAGACATAATTTAATATGATTCTGAAACAATATTCTTGGGATATTTCTGTTATTTACAGTAGAACTCCAATTATCCGTGCTCCACGAACCAGATAATTGAAAAAATCTACCATAAAAAAATAACAGAAAAAAAATATCTTAAGTTCAAATTAACTTTTAAGTTGCATTAGAAGATCATCATCACCAACAGCTATTCCATCCATCGTCAGATGTAAGCCCCCTTAGGAGTATATATTCATTTCTATCTCTGGCTTTTTGCATCCATTCGTGACCAGTCATTCGCTTGGTGTCATTAGTCCATCTGGTTTGAGGTCTCCGTCTACTTCCCTTGTTTGCTCTTGGTCAGCATTCAATAATTTGCTTTGTCCAATTGTTCGTCTTCATTGGACTTACGATCGCTGAGCCTAATGTTGAGCATCCTCCGTTCCATAGCTCTCTAAGTCACTTGGAGTGTGTGGACTATGTTTTTGTTCAAAGCCCATAATTCAGTTGCATATGTCAATACCGGCAACACGTACTGATCCAAAGTTTTGGCCTTAAATTATTTAAGGATCGAGGAGCGTCAAAACAGGGATATTGATATTTGTGCTTTTGTGGAAGCTAGTGAACACTGCAATAGTGTACAAATTGCTAGGGAAGTTAACGTGAATGCTCGAACTGAACAGCGAGTTCTCAAAAGTAATGTCACATTGTAGAAAACAATGTCGTTATCTATATAAGTTTAAAAAAAAATGATACTTAATGACTTAAAAATGATATTATATATCTTGTAGTTTATTATAACTAAATATAATGAGGAACATATGTGATTTGCCCTTTCACGATTGGATTAATACATAAAGTGGTACTTGACAATACAATTTTATAACAAATAAAATAAATTTTTTATTAGTATTAGTGAATTTTTTTTAATATTTTAGAGCCGTTCCATACTGTAGATTGCAATTTTGTAAGCGATACTGATCCAGACTGTCTAACAGAATTCAAAATAGAAAACAATGTTCTTAGAGTGGCAAGAAATGGAACTCTTGATCGTGATTGGGGAAGAAAAACATATCCTTGCCAATTTGAGTGCTTAGATAATCCTTTAAGTAAGTGTAAACGTAATATTACCTTTTCAGTTATTTTTTAAAATTGTTCTTAAACAATTTTCTGTTTTTGTTACCAACAAATTATGGCTCGAATAAAAGATATTTAGATTCGCTGGCAGTAAAACAGCTAAAATTTAGCTGTTTTACCGCTAAAAAAATCTTTTTTCGCTGTATATATATATATATATATATATATATATATATATATATATATATATATATATATATATATATACAGTGTGTCCACTTAAGTTCGCACCATATGGGAAACTTTCTTAATATTAGTTTTACGAAAAAAAGTTATTCTTCATAAAAAATTCTGCATGGTGTAAAAACTAAAATACAACCATCAGATATTAAAATTTTTCAGTCGTATACGAGGTATGTTCAAAAATATGAATTTTACCAAGAGCAAAGTACCTCAATTTTTTATAATTTCGAAAATTGTTATCAAGAAAATTTATTTAGAAGTCTACAACATGTTCAAATATATAGCCATGTATACAAAATGTTTAAAATGGAGATTTTCTACATTTTGCCATTGCATGTCTACCCTACAACAGTGATAAATACATAAGTAGATTTTTAATCAAGTTGCCATGATATTTACATATCTGACATTAAACGTAAAATACATATTTGACAGTTACAATAAATTCTAATTAAAGATGCCGGTGGTATTGAATTTAGAAGAAAAAATAGAAATTGTGCTAATTGTGGGTGATAATTATAAAACGTATTGGGAAGCAGCTGAAATATTTAATAACAGACATCCAGGAAGAAATATACAACATATAACAGTTATGAGACTTACGGTAAAATTCAAAGTATACGGAGATGTTAAAAATAAATTCAGCAACAAACGTGAAAAACGCGTTGCAAATGAGGCGACGAAATTAGATGTAATGTTATCTACAGTGCAAGATCCTAAATTGTTGTTGCAAAATGCAGTTAAAGTACAATTGCAAAAATTTTGAAGGAAAATCAGTTTAAACCATATAAGCCTAAATTTATTCATACATTGAAACCTAGAGACTACGATAAGAGAATAGAATTTTGTTTTCTTATTCAAGAAAAAATTGAAGACGATCCTTTTTTTGTTAGAAAAATAATGTTTTCAGACGAAGCTACATTTAATTCAAATGGAACGGTGAGTTCTCAAAATTGTCGATGGTGGAGTGACAACAATCCTAACTTCACAATTAGGACAAATGTTTGGTGTGGCATTTACAAAGATAAAATAATTGGGCCATTCTTTTTTCGACAATCCATGACCTCTCAGAATTATCTAAATTTCTTACAAACTCACGTGTGTGATTTTATTGATGACCTATCACTACATGAACGGCAACAAATATGGTACCAGCAGGACGGCGCTACATGTCATAGTACATTGGAAATAAGGCAGTATCTGGATCATTTGTTTAACGGAAGAGTAATCCACAGATATTCAGAGACTTTTTGGCCAGCTAGGTCGCCAGATTTAACCCCGTTAGATTATTTCTTTTGGAGTTACTTGAAAGAGAATGTATACAAACAAGGGCCGTTTACAAACGTCCAACATTTGGAAAGGGTTATTACGGAAACCATTCAGACTATAACTCCCAACATGATTCGAAATGTGTTAAGAGAATTTTGTCGTAGAACGGAAACTTGTATTGAAAGAGAAGGTGGGTACGTTGAGGCAATGGTGGTTTGATCTAAGAAAATCTATTACTTAATATTTTTTGCAAATATTTTTAACAACTTATTGTTATAATTGCTATTCATGTTAGATTGTAAAATAAATAACGTTGTTATGTGTACGAATTATTTTAAAACATCAACAAAATGCTGCAACAGTCAAGTTGGGAAACTAAAAGGTTATCAAATTTTTGATAACAAATGAGTTAAATGTTTGTTAGATATGTTTACAATTTTATATAAATTTTCTTGATAACAATTTTCGAAATTATAAAAAATTGAGGTACTTTGCTCTTGGTGAAATTCATATTTTTGAACATACCTCGTATACGACTGAAAAATTTTAATATCTGATGGTTGTATTTTAGTTTTTACACCATGCAGAACTTTTTATGAAGAATAACTTTTTTTCGTAAAACTAATAATAAGAAAGTTTCCCATATGGTGCGAACTTAAGTGGACACACTGTATATATATATATATATATATAATATATATATATATATATATATATATATATATATAATAGAATTAGTTTCAAATATAAAGAAAAGAGAAGTTCTTAAAAATTTGCCATCGACTGAAAGAAACGGCCATAAACATAACTCATAACTATATACTCAAAAACAAAAAGAAGAGTAAAAAATATTAAAATACTATCTAAATTTTAAATAAATGTTATATTTTTAAATGTTATGTTTTCGTAATTGTAATTTGTCAACAGTTTTCATGTTATTACTTTGAAGTTTTTATAATTTTAATTTGTGCAATAAAAGTATGTTAAAAAAAATTCAACCCTCACGTACAAGTTGTAGTCCATGTGACACACAACTTCTGTGAGAAACTGTGATATATTGTATAAAATTTATAAATTTATATTGTAATACAATTTTTTTTGTTATAAATAAACTCTATTAATATTCTTTTTAAATAATATACTGCGGAATATTAAGCTAAAATTTATTTTTCAGATGTGCGATCCCAAGGACATAACAAAAACAACAAAAGCATTACTATAATATTGGATGACATAAACGATCATGCACCTGAGCTTATCACGACGGACCTTCAATGTTCTGAAAATTTGAAGAAGGTATGTGTTTATTTTTTAAAAATAATTAATTCATACTATGTCAATAAACCATCGAGTTAGAATCTATGGAGAAGCTATGAGCATATTAACGTGATTCTTAAAAACGGCGTAGGTAGGTGTGGCTAACGATAATACCAATATGGCGGTGGGATCATGGCTGTACTCAATAATATTAAAACTACTATAAAAATATGACTAGTTATTTAGAAGATTTAATCATAATCTAAAAAAGTGCAATACATTTTTAATAAACTATGATTTATTTATCCCGCGGTAAACACTAAAAACACGATATATTATACATAAAGATAAATTAATACAGTCAAATACTATTAATTTATTCTCTGAAGTACGGGCCATTACTTTGTTTACATATTTGTATACTAACCTGTACAACGTTATTTCTGAAGATTTTTTATTAACATTGCTTCTGCTACTGCAACTACGTTGACAACAAGAAACTATTATTATGCACTATCACAATATATTATTACAGTTTCTATAAAAGTATTATAAAACTAAAAATATTCGAAGAACAACAAACGTAAACAAACATATACGATCTGTCAAAAGTGTCAAAACAATATTAACAATATGGCCGAAGTGAGGTCTTTTTTAGTCACGTGATGCCCTCTCCATAGATTCTAACTCGATGCAATAAACTAACTAATAACAAATATTTTCCAAATTTCAGTCTAAAATTGTAACCAGCTTAAAAAACTTATTTCAATCTTTACAAGATTTTAAGTTAAGGTGTCTTGGTAGACCTTTTTAACTCCATATACAAGACGGGACACATACCCAAAGAGTGGCTTCTCTCAACTTTTGTGACGATTCCAAAAATCACAAATGCTAAAGATTGCAATGACTATCGAACAATTGCGTTAATGAGCCACACATTGAAAACCTTCCTTAAAATCATACATAACAGAATCCACATGAAATTAGAACAAGAAATAAGTGATTCACAGATGGGTTTCAGAAAGGGTCTAGGAACTAGAGAAGCATTATTTGGAGTCCATGTTCTGACACAACGATGCCTGGATATGAATCAGGACATATATGCTTGCTTTATAGATTTCAAGAAAGCTTTTGATAGAGTTCAACATGAGAAGCTTTTAAGTATTCTTAAGACTAAAAACATTGATAGTAGAGATCTACAAATTATATCGAATCTGTATCAAAACCAGAAAGCAAGAGTAAGAGTCGAAGGAGAACTGACAGAGGAAGTAAGTATACTTAGAGGAGTTCGACAAGGGTGTATCCTTTCACCACTCTTATTCAACGTCTACAGTGAAGTGATTTTTCAAGAGGCTTTATTGGATATCGTGGAAGGTATTTATGTCAACGGAAATAGCATTAATAATATTAGATATGCCGACGATACTGTCATATTTGCAAGTGACATGGAAGATCTACAGTACATAATACAACATGTATACAATGCATGTGAAAGTTACGGACTGCAAATGAATCTCAAGAAAACGAAATCAATGATATTCTCAAAAAAACCACAAAATGTAAATAACCTGATCATCAATAATACAACGATAGAAAGAGTAAAAACATATAAATATTTAGGAACGTGGCTAACCGAAGATGGAGATCAAGTAAAGGAGATCAGATCTAGAATAGAAATGGCAAGAAACACGTTCATAAAATTGAAGAAATTACTTTGCAACCGTAACCTTAATCTAGAGATTCGCACAAGAATGCTACGTTGTTACGTCTTCTCTACTTTACTATATGGCATGGAAGCGTGGACAATAAAGCAGTCTGAAATCAAAAAATTAAACTCCTTTGAGATGTGGTGCTACAGGAGAATGCATAAAATATCGTGAATTGAAAAAGTAACTAATATAGAGGTGTTACAAAGAATGAAGAAAGAATGTGAAGTCATAAAAACTGTTAAAATTAGAAAGATTCAATATCTGGGACATTTAATGAGGGGTGAGAAGTACGTATTACTGAGGTTGATTATGCAAGGGAAGATACAAGGGAAGAGAAACCCAGGACGACGCAAAATGTCCTGGCTAAGAAATTTGAGAGAGTAGTTCGGCTGCAGCTCATTAGAATTATTCAGAAATGCGGCCAACAAAGTTAAAATAGCGATGATGATTTCCAACCTCCGCTAGGAGAAGGAACCCGAAGAAGAAGAAGAAGTTAAGGTGTAGATTCACGAGGGTGTAGTTACGGAGATGTTGAAGAACAAGTAAGACAAAACAGCTTAAAAGCAAGTAAAGCGGCAGGTTCTCTTAATGACGCAATCTGAAGAACAAACACCTAAGACAAGAAACAAAAACAAGAATCTATAAAGTAGCAATTATAATATATACGGCGGGGACAAGACGTGACACATGTAAAACCAGACGACTACTAAAAACAACAGAGATGAAAATACTTCGACGAATATCAGGAAAAAGTCTGTTGAATAGGGAAAGAAGCGAAAACATAAGAAGAGCATGCAACATAGAAGACATTAATGGGTGGATGACAAAGCGGAAACATGAGTGGAACGAACACATTAGTAAAATATCAGAGGATAGGATAGTACGAATAGCACGAGATAAGTCATCAAATGAGCAAAGAAGTATTGGCAGACCAAGAAAAGATAGTGTGATAATAGTATCAATAGCGTGCTTCGGGATTTTTGTAAATATGCCAAATGCCTGTCAAATTATCCTTATTTTCCTGGAGTATTATGGCTTGTAAATCACCTGTTAGTTGTTATTTGACAAATTTATTTTACAAATTTCATTAAAAAAAATTAAGTTGTTTTAACTTAGTTACTTTTTTTTAGGACGGCGAAGTAGGAGAGGGCATAATAGGAAAAGATATCGACGATGGCGATAATGCTAAAATAGATTTTACTGTGTTAAGTATCGTAGATAAAGTCACCAAAAATGACATTAAGGAATTTTTTAATATTGTAAAAAAAGATAGTGATTATGTAGTGAGCGATACAGAAAAGAAAGTGCATCTCCTAGCTTTAAAAGATGTCAAAGGAAAATATGGAACGTATGAAGTCACCTTACACGTAAGTTTTTTTACATTTTATCAACTTTGTAATTTAAGATTTTCTAGAAAAAAGTCAATAATTTATTTATGCAGTGACCTATCTTGTAAAGAGGTAAGCGCTTTCTAGAGAATATTAGATCCACCTTCAATCAGATAGGGGCCTTCTTCAAGAGTCACAACCTCTCACTTGATACAAAAGTAAGAATGCTGCACTGTTACGTCTTCTCTGTCCTTTTTTATGATGTTGAATCGTGGACTTTGAACGAAGATATGTGCAGAAAACTGGAAGCATTGTGGAGATGTGGCTATATCGGAGAATACTTAAGATGAATGAATAAGAACCGAGAGGTACTGACCACCATCAAATCTCGAGAGTTACAATTCTTCGGACATATCATGCAAAATGGATCCACATATGAGAGAAGCAATCCACAATTAGCAAATTAAAAAATATGTATAAGATTCTTATTGCTGAACTTACCTCATATATTTACTGTAAACATCAACTCAACTTTCGATGTGAATATTTTATTTGTATCTTTCTTAATAGAACAAATATTTTGATTCAAATCGGAATCAATAATTTGTCCACAATGACCCAGTGGTGGGGTTAAAGTGGACAGAGTATGGGGTTATAGTGGACGCATAGTAAAACATATACAGGAATACTGAAAACTTTATGTTAACAAAAAGAAACTACGATACATTATAAGAACTGAAATTAATATTAAATGAAAATAATCTTCCTTGCCTTTTCGTGCCAGTGTCTACTGGGTGCTCCAAAATTCCGACAATATCGTTCTTGTCGACAACTGAGACATCTTCAACTTCGGGAAATACGAAATTATTCACTTTTTTCCTTAAAAAATTAATTTGTACCTCCACATCTCGAATATCTACGATTTGGCCAACATAGTGTGTTACCGATTTTTTACCCATAAATTTTACAAGTACGAAATCATTTTTCTCCATTTGTTTGTCCATAAAAATATCGTTGTCCTGACCATCATCTTCCATCCAGCCTTCATCCTCTGATTCAAGTATTACTTCTGTAGAAGAATTGGAAGAGGAAGATTCTTTCCTACTTCTTTTTGGTTCATAGGAAAGAGATTTCTTCACTCTATTCTTTTCTCGCATTTCAGCTCTTTCTTGCGCACGTCTTTCCTTCAAATCTTTAGCCTCTTTTTCAGCTTCCAACTGATCTTTCACTGGTGTGCTCATGTAAATAGTCGACTTTTTATTTTTTCTTGCTTTGGAGTTTGATGAGCGATCTGCTTTTAAAAAAGGGCGGCAGCTCTCAGGAGTAATTACAGCTGTTGATGTAGTTGCTACTGATGGTGAAAGCGTAATGGGAGCTACAGGTAGCAGTCTTGTGGAGATTGAAGCAACTTCTAATATTCGCTCAGGATCTTCAGGATTTCTTGGGTTCATTGCTGTTGGTGGTTCTTGATTCCTATCTGTTGTTTTGGCAGCTTCATAATCCTCATCGGTAAATACAAGACGATTTATTGGCCATAAACCAGCAGATCTGAATCCAGATGTTATATTCTTCATTGTAAATGCCACAGGAAAAGCAATACTACACAGTTGAGCAACATCATATATTTGTATAGGTCTGCCTGGATGATTTTGAAGCCAGTCTCCCATTGCAACCCGTAATGCAGCTTTATAAGGACCATATACTGCAACATCTAGCGGCTGTAGTTTGTGGCTACAATGTGGCGGAAACGATAAAAGAGTAATTCCAGATTCTCTGGCTAAGTTTATAGCTTCCAAACTTATATGACTTGAATGATTATCCATTAATATCAGTAGAGGGTTTTCTTTAGAAGCACTTAAGTGCATTTTTATGTGCTTTAGTACTTCTAAAAATAATTCAGCAGTCATATAGCCAGACTGATGAGCCAGACCAATGCTCCCTATTGGTGCACCATCTAAGAACCGGTCTTTCATATTCTTCCTGGGGAATATGAAAACTGGAGGTATTGCTTGTCCAGTGGCTGTTATAATTCCGCACATTGTAACATTTTCACCGCGTTCTTGAGAGGCCACAGCTCCTATTTGTTTTTTTTCCCTTTTCAGCTATACGTTTGGGTGGTGGTAAGACCGTGGGTATACCTGTCTCATCTAAATTTATTATCCTTTCTGGCCTTCCTTTAAATTTATTTAAAACTCCAATGTAATTATCAAAAAATAAATCCACGTTGGATTTGTTAAAGGCTGCATCTCGTGCTATGCTTGTATTTTCAGGTTTTCTAAGAGATTAATCACCATGTCGTTTCATAAATGAATATATCCAGTCCTTTCCTGCTATCTTATTTTTAGTCCAATTCGAAGGAATTTCTATTTGTAGAGCACTACCATACTCAAAAGCTAGGGTACAAGCCTGCTTGTAAGTCAAGCCATAATGTAATCGAGACGCCTTCTTAAGATAATTGACAATGTGTTGTTCTTGTTCATCAGAAAATATTTGGCGACCTCGAAATTTATTGACGCCAGAAACATTCAAGCTAACAATTTCTAACTCATCTTCGTTACCTGAATCATCACCAGAGGGTATATTAGCATCTTGAAGGTTTCTCTTAGCCGAAATGACTCTTTTGTGAAGCATACTTTTTTTCAATTCATATTTCTCTGCAATATTTCTCAAGCTTCCTATTTTTCTTAGGATATCCTTTATTGCACGCTCTACAACTTTTTCATCAATATCAGCTCTCGCCGTTTTTCTACTGTAAGTCCTCATCTAAAACAAAAAAGCGATTTTTATCACATGATTTTTGGAAATATAATCATTTGTGGGGTTAGTGTGGACAGCTGATGATTTGTCCACACTAACCCCGAACGCCATGTTTGACAGTAACAATGGAATGACGTTTCGAAAAATGATAATTTTATCTCATTCCATATCAAATGTAGTAATTAAATATTCCAGAAGCCATACACTAACTAGGTATACAATTAGTTCAATAACTTCAATTTTAGTATAATTTTACTTACCGTGTGAAATAAATGGATACAACACACAAAATCACTTTCTGTCACTGGCGGCCATATTATAGAAAATATTTCAACCAACTTTTACGTGGTGTTCGGTGGCGTTAATAGTCACTTCCTGAACAGACTGGGCGGCAGATTTAAATGCGAGTTTTTAAATAATTAACTATGTCCACACTAACCCCATGTCCACACTAACCTTCCTCTCCCCTATGCTCTCCTTCAAGCCATTATGCCCATTATGCAGAGAAAATTATTTGGAAAGCGAGGTATAGGAAGAAAAAGAACATCTTGGTTAAAGAATCTTAGAATCAGGTTTAATACAACATCTGTGCAACTTTTCCGCGCTGCTGCAGATGAAATAAAGATTGCCATGATGATTGCCTACATTCGTAACGGATATGCTCATCAAGAAGAAGAAGCGCTTCCTATACCAACACTAAAGTTTTGTTCTTAATGTTGTTTTTGTACATGTCAATGGCTGAAAGTAACAGTGAGATATCATGTCAAATTGAAATTACAAGATAATGAGGATTAAAGTTTGCATGTCATATTAAAAATCATAAATAGGTGCCTAATACGTTTAATTGTCACAACTTAAAATAAAAAAAACTTAATTTCTAACACAAACTAGTTAAAATTAATATGATAAAATTTACTTAAAATTCTTAAAAAAAAGGTGATGTCGTTCTCATAGTATTTTCTGATATTAAAAGTAGATGGCGCTACATAGTGTGACTATATTCTTCATTAGGAAACTTAGACTAGAATTCTGTCTATTTCTTCGTGTCTATCTTCGGCTTTACCACTATCATCGTCCAATCAGTCCGCTTCCTATTGTCGGCAAGGTGATCCTTCACCAACAGCATGGCTTTATCAAAGGTCGTTCAACGATTACAAACTTACTTCATTGCAAATGGTCATTATCTTTAAACAATCGGCATCCTGTCGATGTAGTCTATTTAGACTTCTCCAAAGCTTTCGACCGTGTTCCAAAACGTCGATTACTAGCTAAACTTTATCACTATGATATCCGCGGAAAGTTATACATTTGGATTCAAGATTTTCTATCCGACAGAGGAACTTGGGTCACAGTGAACCATGTTACACAGTGAACCAGCAGCCCCCACTCTTTGCCTATGCACTTTATCGCCCAACTCTATTCTTCAAATATCTGCTGGTTTTACGCGACACCTTACTACTTTAGTTCGCATCAAGCTAACATAGTGTGTAGATGTTTATTTCGATATCTGCTGAACGGTAAGTCGAATGCTTTTTTTCACATTGTTGTATTTATTTGTTTTGTTCCAAGCCTGGCGGTAAATTCAGATCAATTATAGTTCCAAGCTACTTAATAGGTCTTTGTACATACTGTTTATCTTGTCTTTCAAATCAATGTAGTTTATTTTTGTTTAAATAAATTTTTTAGTTAAATAGGTGGCGGTGGGTAACAGCGAACCATTGACGAATGGGTTACACTGAACCTGGTTCACTGTAACCCATAATGGTTTACTGTGCAAATGTTATACAAGGCCGGTTGTTCGAACGCTAATCAACAATGATTATTATCAAATATTTAATTACTGTCACCAACTGTCAATGTCAACTTTAATTGGGTTGCTGAAAACATAATAAATTGAGTACAATTATGAGATTAGTGAATCAATTAACATAACAATTATTAACATAATTGATTAACTAATTTCATAATGGTAATCGATTATGTTTTCAGCAACCCAATAAAAATTGACATTGACAGTTGGTGACAGTAATTAAATATTTGGTAATGATCATTTTTGAATAGCGTTCGAACAACCGGCCCTTAGAATGTATGCATTTAATTTCATTAATCATAATTTGGTTTATGATTACGTTTATTTATTGTTTCAGATTCAAAATGCCACGCAACCGAGTTAGAAAAACAAACATTGGCATGCACAGTGAAGAGCAGATGCGAAGTGCTTTAGACCTCATATCGAGAGAAAATCAAAGCATAAGAAGTGTGGCAAAACTTAAAGGGATTCCTTATCCGACTGTTAGAAGATATTGGCAAAAATTTAAAAATACAGATGAACCAATACGGCTAACTCCTAATTATGAAGTGAATAAAATTTTCACAGCCATCCAGGAAGAAGCACTGGCCAATTATATTGTAAAATGTAGCCAAATGTTTTACGGGTTAACACTGCTGGAATGTCGCCAGCTGGCCTACGAAATGGCAATAGTCAACAACGTCAAAATTCCTGAAAAATGGAATGATCGAAAGCTTGCTGGCATGGAATGGCTATACAATTTTAGAAAGCGACATCCCCGGTTAAGCCTTAGGACACCTGAAGGATGTAGCCTGTCCCGAGCTACGTCATTTAACCGACATAATGTGAACATATTTTATGATAAGTTACAAGAAGTTATGTTACGTAAGCCCGAATTTGCTGATGGGACTAGGATATATAATCTTGACGAAACTAGTTCCCTGACCGTGCAAAAATCTCAAAAGGTGCTCGCAGCGAAAGGACAAAAACAGGTCAGCAAAGTCACTAGTGGTGAAAAGGGAACATTAGTAACAACCTGTTGTATCGTCAATGCTTCCGGCAATTTTTTACCACCAGTCATGATTTTTCCTCGTGTCCATTTTAAGCATCACATGACAAATGGGGCTCCCACCGGAACGTTAGGATTGGCGACACAGTCTGGGTGGATGAATAGCACACTATTTGTAGACACGATGGAACACTTTATTAAATTCTCAAACACTAGCAAAGAAAACCCCAGCTTACTGATAATGGACAACTTTGAAGCTCATATTTGCATAAAAGCCATTGAATTGGCAAAGGAAAATGGTGTGACAATATTAACAGTTCCGCCTCATTCTACCGGAAAGATGCAACCCTTAGACGTTTGCCTTTATAAACCTTTCAAAACTGCTTACAATGCAGCTGTAGACAGTTGGATGATGCGGAATCCAGGAAAACCTCTAACAATTTATGAGGTAGCTGCTTGCGTTGGGGATGCACATATGAAGGCAATGACTCCGTCAAATATTTGTAGTTCCTTTAAGAATACCGGCATCTTCCCGTACGATAGAAATGTTTTTACCGACATAGACTTCTTGCCAAGTGAAGTTACTAACAGGCCCATTACTGAAAATAATGGGAATACTCCAGATGGCCAAATCTTCAATTCAGAAAATCCACTGGCAGTCGGAGCCGAACATAGTAGAAGTAGAACTCCTGACTCTGAGGCTGAAATATCTTTGGAATTTGTAACTCCGGATCAATTTCGAGGGCTGCCAAAGGCTGGGCCGAGAAAAAATACCAGAAAACCAAGACGAAAGGGTAAATCTATGATAGCCACGGACACCCCAGAAAAAATGGAAATTGAGGAGCGCGAAGCAGAAAAGCAGAGAAAGAAGAAAGCGCATCCCATAAAGAAAAAAGTGTTTCAAGAACCAGAAGATACAACAGATGAAGAAGATACGTTCAGTGTTCATTCTGAGGTAGAAGACTATTATGAAAGCGGTGATGAGGAGAATATTATGACCTCCGACTCTTTTAATCCATTAGAAAAATTACCCAGTGAAGGAGACTATGTGTTGGTTGAATTCAATGGGAAGAATGGTAAAGTCTATTACGTTGCTAAGGTATTACAAGAGGCCAAGGAACAAGAAGTAGAAGTAAGTTTTTTAAGAAGAAACTATAAAATGGAAAACACATTCCGTTTGCCAGACGTTTTAGACGTATCTCCGGTTGCACTGTCAGACGTAAAATTGATATTACCAAAACCAACTATTTGTGGGAATACTAAACGACAACAGTCATTCTATTCATTCAAATTAAATTTTACTCAAATAGATATACGCTAGTTTGTACTAGTAGTGAGTTATCAAAGGTTTTGCTATATCATGCGTTTTCTTTTCTCCAAGAAACCTGCTGATTCTCTGTACCACCATTTGGTTCATTGTTACCCATAGCCTGGTTCACTGTTCACAAGGACGGGGGCACACTGAACCAAGTGACGCTTTGAAAAATATATATTTTAACTAGTACCAAACATCTGGTTATATCATGTTTCACTTATGAGAGCAGAAGTTCGTACCTTATAGCATTCATCATCCAAATTTCAGACATATATGCATATTTTTTCCTGAGTTACACCACTCCAAATAAAAAGTGGTTCACTGTAACCCATTCTCCCCTAGTTCAGGGTTCGTGTTAATTCACTAAATAACAAGTTAAGAGTGGAGTCTACAGGGTCAGTACTTGGACTGCTACTTTTTTACAACACGATCTTGATGCAATATTCAAATAGTCCTCAGAATGGTTACTTCAAAAATGCGTTGTTTTACATATCGCAAAAATAATCCATCACTTGCGTACTTTATTAATGGACACCCTTTAATCTCGGTAACCTCCCACAACAATCTCGGAATGATAATTAATAGTGACTTAACTTGGTCTGATCACATAGTGTCAGTGTGTAAACATGATAACTCAAAACTGTTTTTGATCCGTAAATTTTTTTACGTATATCTGTAACCTCTATTACTAAACTTTACTAAAATATACATTAGACCTATTCTTGAGTTTGCCGGGTCAGTGTGAAATCTAGATCCCAGTCGCGATAAAATCCTACTTGAAAATGTTCAGCTCATAGCCACAACACTGGCATACGGCCGTGTAAGACATAATTATGAAGATAGACTATCCATTGCTCATCTCACGACATTCGAGCAGCGACGTCGTCGAAATGACCTAATTATGTCCTTCCGTATTTTAAAACATAAGTTTGGGAATCTAAACACCATATTCACTTTAAATAACGACGCAAGATTAAGAGGCCATCGTTACAAATTAAAAAGGGAACAAACTACTGTAAGGTCCAGGGTGAACTTCTTGCCAAATAGAATATTTAATATCTGGAACAATTTGGATCAAGACACCATATCGGCAACTAGTGTTAATATCTTTAAAAATAAACTTGATAGCGCTTTATTTTATTTGTAGAACTGTGTTATTTTAGGTCCTCATTATTAATTTTTGTTTCATACCTTTTGTATGACGTACTTAATTGTAACTTTATAATTGGTATTCGTTTTATATGATATTTTTCTTTGTTTTTTGGGAATAATAGGAGCTCGCTCCTAATCCCTCATTTTTTATATAATAGTAATAATAATAATAATGTTACTTCATTCTCTATTGTAACGTTTTATTTGATTGGTATTTGTGTTTATATTTTACATAAAATTAAACCCCTTTCTTTGGCTAATAATATATTACTTTGTTTTAGATGCAAGACGAAGGAGATCCAATTCAGATAACAGATCCTGATCCAACTTTACTACTTGTAATTGAAAAATGGAATTACCATGCACCGAGTATAATATTTCCTGATAACAAACAATACATTGTCCTATCGGTAAGAAAATTAAAAGATGTACCGTAATTAAAAGACCGAAACAATTTGTTGATGCTACACAACTATACCATTCCCGTAGATTCTTTAGTCAGGTGTTTCGTCTTCTTCCTATGAACCTTTTTCCTGCTATTTTCCCTTGCATAATTATTCGAAGCAGTTCATATCTTTCGCCTCTTGTAATGTGTCCCAAGTATTGAATTTCGTTTTTTGATCGTAAATATGACTTCCTTTTCTTTATTCATTCTTCTCAAGACCTCGACATTTGTGACTCTCTCGGTCCATGATATTCTCAGGATTCTGCGATACATCCACAGTTCAAATGCCTCTAATTTTTTGATATCAATCTTTTTCAACGTCCATTCCGTAGAACAGCACAGAAAGTACGTAACATCTCATCAGGCGAAGTTTCATTTCAAGGCTCAAATCTCTTCCGCAGAACACTCTCTTCATTTTAGTGAATATGGATCTGGCTTTTTCTATTCTTATTTTGATTTCTGCTGAGCTATCGTTGTCTTCATTTATAAAAGTGCCTAAATATTTGTATTTTCTAACTCGATGCCGCCATTAGCAGACTATCCTTTCGCTGTGGTCCGTTAGAGCAATGATTCTGGTTAAGGGTTAAGGTATTGTCTTGCTCACAATCACTGTTTTTACTTTGTTGATTATTCATTTTAAAAGAAGGTAGACCAAGCTTGGAGTTTGCAATACACTGATGGTTAATAACTGTTTTGTTAAGTTTGATATGTAATCCAGTAATAAAAGTAACCTATTTTTAGGATCAAGTACCTGGTCAACCATTGGCATTATTTGACAACACAAGTGCAAATCTTCCGGACTTTACAGCAACAGATGGTGAAACGGATGACTGTTCTAAGTGGGATGTGAAATTTTCTTATGTACAGACGACTTACAGTAAGTTGTAACTACTTTTTTTAACACAGATCACTAAAAGTAAGTTGTAACTACCCCAGCGGATTTAATTTTTACAATAAAAAGGAGCCCAGCGTGTACAGATTGAACGAATTTAAAACGGATCATACAATTTAATATATGTCTGTTTGAACTGCATTTGAAATAGTGGACCAATATAAAACTTGGACAAAAATAAATCCATACCTAGGTATAGACATTGTATAAAATATCGTTCAACTATCCGTCTCTTTTTAGAACCCACCATAGTCTAGAGCGCAGCTCAAAGTCAATGTTGCCAATCGCCGTGTAATAATCCGATTTGCGGATCTTTTTGAGAGTTATATCTTCTTCGTATCTTTAAATAAATCGGATATTTGCCTATATTTTTCATTGTATTTACCAGTCTACTACAACAGACTAATAACAAAAATAAACTTAATGGTTTGTAGTTATTTCAGAAGTTTGTAGTTATTTTAGAAACATCTATTGGAATTATATTGGCAACACCGCTCAAAATCTCCATCTCCGATAAACGAAAGAGGGACTTGCCTAAAGGCGGCCACTCACGATACAGCGGCGTTGTTCAACTGCGTTTTTAACTACACATTTGCTTTGATCATATTATAGAAAATCGAAATAGCTTGATTTAGCGAGAATTTTTTAAGCGAGTTTTTTAAATTATATAAAAAAACAAGAATGGTTATAGCGAATAAAAGGTAAAACCTATCACGATAGAAACGCCCGAAAACAGGCAATGGGCATTCTAGTTTTAAAATTCCAAGAAGTAAACAAAGATGCGACTGACGAGTATGTAAGAAAAAAAAATTAACAATTTTAAAACATCCTATAAAAGAGAATTAAAATTAGCAGTGCAGTCCAGTAAATCGGGTGCAGGGGCAGACGAGATTTATTTTGCACCAAAATCTTGGATTCTTTGCACCAGAATCTACGTTTTATTTTAGGTTTCTTTTTACGCTTAGTTATACACAAAGTAAGAGATGCTAAAATGATTGTTTGATTTGACATGGTCGAGAACCGAACAAATACTGCGGCGCAGTGTGGTGTGTGGGCGCACCAGATATACCAACAAATTGAACAACGCCTCTGTCCGATTATGTCGAACGACACCGCTGTACCGTGAATGGCCGGCTTTAGGAAGCGATAGGTGGTTTGACCACCTATGAATAAGTTCTTGAATTAGTTTAGAATCCAGCAGCCCGCTGAAGTATTGGATTTTTATAATATAATTATTTGACAACCTTTTAGTGGCCAACCACCTACAGCAGAATTGAGCCGAAATACATAATATTTCGTATGTTCCGAATTTATTTCGTTCAATCTGTATATGGATACATTTTGAAAGTATTAAAATATTTTAGATTCAAAAAAAATATTTCTCATTAAATGAAACTAATGGCAATTATATGAACGTTGGTCATATGTCTAACGGTTTTACTATCGATATAGGTTTAAAGGAAAGGGTCTGACTACACACTAAATATGTGTCGCATTTGCGGATGACTTGTGTATGTGAATATAAAAAATAGAGCTACGATATATAAAAGGTTATAACAAGATATTGGGTTAAAACAGGATGGCCAATAGTTCCATAGGAATATCCTCCGGGATCGATCACAGCAAAAAAATTTCCAAGTCAAGAAACATTCAAAAGGATACAAGAAGAAATAAAACGGGTACATGGCATACATGCCCCAATCAATACACAGACAGTTCAGTATCAAACTAATATTTTCAAAAGAAACAAAAAAAATCGTAACGGTTTTCCAAAGAAACAAAAATGTTACGACAGTCCTCCAAAGACAAAAACATCACTACAATCTTCCAAAGGAAAAATAATATTACAGTCCGTTAATAATCAAACAAATTTCAAACTTCATGACAAGAAGAGTAAGGCCCGGCGCAAATTGAGCACAGCCCACGCACATCCCACGCGCAGCCCACGCGTGGGTTATTTTGTAAAACGTGGTTTTAGACGGAGCGACGCATATTAAACCCAAACCACGGCCAGGCTACTGCCAGACTTGGTTGGCGTGGATAGAATTATACTAGCAACACAGTTTCGTGGGTCACGTTCGTGGGGTCGTGGGTCTCCACCTTAACCTTAGTTATTTTGTTTTGTGTGACCAATTTTTTGTTATTCAGTGAAAATGGAAAAGTTTATTGAAAGCTTTAGTGTCTTGTATGATACTAGTAATGAAGATTACATGAGAACTAAACTAATATTTTCTTATTTATTTATTTGTGCTAAGCGGCTCGGATGTAAGTCGCCGTTATAATTCATAACATATCGAGAACTAAGGAAAAAAAAACAAATTTTCTTTTCCTAGCAAAATGTTTATGAACACTTTGAAGATGAAAACTTCAAAATAAAATTTGATGGTACTTTTTCGTGATGCTCATATTGTAATGGCTTTTATACACTGAAATTAAATTAAAAAAGAACATGAAAAAAGTAGAAAAATAATACAAAATTCTCAAATTTAAATTTATCTCGAAAACAAAATACGATCTGGAATTTTTGTATTTTTTTAGCTCTTCTGTTGTTTATTACGTTATTTCACTTATTTCAACAATACTCTGTAAAATCTGCCTGGTATGCTAATTAGTAATTAGAAAGTCAATACCAGCTTATTCAAATTATGGGTATCTACCTGTTATAATCTTTTGTTGAAGGATTTCAATTTTTTACCCTTAGCATTTGTGAAAGTTTTCAAGATATTTATATTTTCAGATTAGAAATTGTTAGTGGGATATTAGGTAAAAATTAAAAGGTCTTTAGAAAATAAAATCTTTATTTAAACTAATATACTGAAGACAGTCTATCTTTTCGTTGAATGGTATTTGCGAAAACAATCTCCTATGCATAGTCCAGCTTTTTCGTCACAATCAGCACACTCGTAAATTGTGTTTTTCCTAATTTTATGGATAGAACATATTCTACACAAATATTTGACATGGGCGTGGGCTGTGTTCAATATGCGTTAGTATTGAAAAACGTGTACTTGGACTAGGTTGCACCATACGTGGGGTGCGCGTGGGATGTGCGTGGGCTGTGCTCAATTTGCGCCGGGCCTAAAGAAGATGAGTAAGTCTTTCTTAAAAGCTTATCAGATCACCTGGCGGACGAATCCAAAACTCATCGCCCTAGCCGTTTATTAGGTGACAATTAATAAGGGCAATTACACAGTTTGGAAAGGAAATAAAAAGGCACCATTAAGAAATAAACCTCATCATTCTACGGATGATAATTGAATCCAACATATTCGGCATACAAATCACAAAGAAATGTTTACCATTCTTCAGCAAAATTTCAACAGAGTCACAACAATATAAAACTTTGGATTCTCAGTGGGTCATTTAACGGTAGTACTAGAACTATCCCAGCTGTTTAACGAACGTGGTCTCACAGTCGACATACACAAGATTTTCACAATAGGCGGCGGCAGGCACTTTCACCTGTGCATAACAAAGCAGCGTCACAATGGATTCTTTTGTTATTTTGTATTTTTATGTCACGTTTATTAAGACTTTTATGTAATTAATATGTTGATTCATATTTTTAGAAGAAGATGACATTTTCGTGATAGACCATATAAAGCCGTGTGTTTCTCAGCTACAAATCAACAAAAATTTCAACTCGGATCTAGTATTACATAAAGAGTATAACGTAAGTAATGTTATAATTTATTAGTAGGTATTATAATATGTTTAATTTATGCAGAAAAATCTTTTATTACAATATAATATAAAAAAACAGTTCATGCAGTAGGATAAATTCTTATGGAATTTAGGTTAGGTTAAGTTAGGTTAGGTTAGGTTAGGTTAGGTTAGGTGTCGAGGATTGATATCCACCTTTTAATAAATTTTCTTCATTCTTTTCTCTCGTCTTGTATTTGTTTTTCTTCCTGCCATAATTTGCTCCTACTCTTAAGTTTTTGTATCTTGTTTCTGATCCAAGCTTTAACCGAACGTTTGCTTCTATTTTCCCATACTTGCATACAGAAGAAATTAGCTCGAAATCCAGTTTTTTTGTATTTTGCGAATACTGCGTATACGAATTTTTTCGTATACGGCGCGGCAACACGAATGGGTCTGAACCAATCGAAATTCGATGCTACTATACGATCAAACTAATTGTCATTTTAGTTGTTATTGGGCCCGTTTACGTCAGAGTTTCAGTTATAAGGTTTCAGCTTATAGTTTTTAATCGTTTTTTTTTTTAGATTAACCAATACAACAATCCAATTTACATTAATACAATTTTTTACATTTAATTTTGTTTTCAACGGCTGATTCAAATAATTTTTTAATAGAAAGAAATAGTTAAGAGGAATCACCAACGATTTTTGAAATTAAAGATACAGTCAAAAAACTAGCCAGAAAAAAATCACCCGTAATAGATAATCTCCCAGCTGAACTAAATGAAGAAGGTGGCCATGATACCATAATGGCATTATAGCAGCTTATAAAAGAAATATGGACACAGAAATCCCTTTCCAATGAGTGGAATATTGGAATACTTTGTACCATACACAAAAAAGGAGATATCCTTGAATGCTCTAACCACATAGGAATTACGCTTCCAAATGCAGCTAATAAATATTTTCCGCAGTACTATGTCATCGTATGGCATCATATGCAAAACGGATAGTAGGAAAATATCAGCGGGTTTCAGAGGAGAGGTGGTAAATCGACAATTCATCAGATTGCAACCCTGAAACAAATTTTGGAAAAAAAAACACTGGAATATGGTATTGATCACATATTTATAGAATACAAAGCAGCCTACGACTTTGTGAATAGAAAAGAAATGTGCAAAGCTATGAAAGAGCTAGGACTACCAAATCAGTTGGTAAATTTAGCAAAACTAACTCTTAAAAAAGTTGAATGTAAAGTACGAATTCAGGGTGAACTGTCTGAACCTTTTAAAACAAATAATGGGCTGCGCCAGGGAAACCCCCTCTCCTGTATACTGTTCAATCTGGCTCTTAAAAAAGTAATACGTATGTCACAAATCACAACCACTGGTTCAATATATAATAAATTAGTGCAAATTCTGGCCTATGCTGATGATATCAATATTGTTGGGAGAACGGAAAATCAGCTACAAAAATCGGTTTAATAATATAAACCAACAAAACGAAGTATATGAAAATAAGCACGCAACCACAAATACTACGACCACTTGTTATAGAAAACGATGTCAGCGAAGCAGTGAACGGATTTGTATACCTGGGAGCGCTATCAAAGTGGAGCCATAACTTCTTTTGGTTTGCAGGCCGGGCGATACCGGCTGGGTGGCTACGATCATCACGCAACCAAACTCCCGCCATCCGAAAACCGGCCTAGTCCTGCTGGTCTGTTGCTTCTCGTTGCGATCCGGAAAGTAACAGACCAGCAGCGTATAACCCGATGGCCAGTATCTTATCGTACGTGAATCCGACCATCCCCCCTGTAGTGAACTCTGCCAAACGTATTATCGCAGGCTCAGAAAAAATCAGCGTGATAACTTAAAAGATAATTTTCAAAAAAAGTTTAAAAATATTAATATAAATATAAAATATAGTAAATTGGGACATTCACAGACATGAATAGATAAACACAACATCTACGAAGTCAAAGCATAAAAACTCCTAACTAAATGAGCATAAGTAAATCCCACTATAGAAAGAAAACGATATCAAATACTCGAAAAATAAGATTCTTATAAGTTATTTATGTTAGGACCTCATAAAATGACTATGAATATGGATGCTATCCTGAATGGCCTTAGTGATAAAATTGCGGACGTCGAACCTAGAAAGGTTTAAAATTCTCATGATACGAAAATTCGACTTACACCATGTTCGGTGATCTCCCCCGATTAAAGGTGCCATGCAAATCTGTTTCCCTGGATATCGGATCTACATTGACTGAAGGAATTGATGCTCTGTGTACAGCGCTGTTTTATTAGCAGCTGTACTTAGGGGTTCAGGAGCCTCCTAGCTGACGGTAACGTCCACGACAATTACCCGCTCACCCTGTTGCGTGACATGATCATGTATCTTCAGAATCCCGTCGGCGCATCTTATTTACGGCTCAACCTCACAAATCCACCCTTTCTTTTCCTCTGCTTTTCGTAGATACGTAACAAGTTGGTCGTTTCTCTTAATGCGGTGCCAATGTGATGCGGGGCACTTTTGCAAAACGTGACTAAGGCTCTCGTTACGTTTGCATCTAGTGCCCGTCAATGTCAAGAGGAATGATGGATGAATGAGGATCATTCCTCTTGACATTGACGGGCACTAACTGATTTTTCATACCATCTTTCTATCAGTTAGCCCTAGACTCCAACACAGATCAGAGGTAATGTAAGTCAATAAAACCTCACCAACTACAGGGGGTCATATAAGATGCCCCCAGTTTCATTTCTTTATATTACACAAGTCAAGAGTCTATTGCATTTACCTGAATAAATAACATGAAGATTATTATTTTTTAAATCCAGATGTCAACCGAATGTTTTTTATGTGGCCACACAATGTTTTTTAACAACCTTTTTTATTAAACTGATGATGGAATGATACAATTCCGAAAAGATCTTCTTTATAATAAAAAAATTTAAGCTTTTAATAAGCGCTTTTTTATACCTTAATACACACGAACACCACGTGCTTTGTATTCAACAGGTATACTAGCCACTCCTGGATATCTCCACTTCATGGTTTGTTCCAGTTTCACTTTTAAAAATTGAAATCTGATTGTTCGAGAGGTGGTAGATATTTTTAGATACGCATTCTGAAATTTTTTTAACTACCTCTACCTGAAGCGGCATGGTGGATGGAAGAGTATGTCAGTTACTGACGGATATACAGAGGGTAATATTTCTTTAAAATATGAAGTTTCTAGGATGCTGGCAGGCATATCTTCTGGATCTGACTCCTCCTCACATAAACTTAATACGCAGACAATGAAACATGAATCAACATTTGTTGTTTTCATACTGCTGATAATCTATCTATCACCGGAGATATATATATATATATATATATATATATATATATATATAATAATTTAATTCGATATTTTGTAACTTGAACCAAAATAAATGTATTTTAAGAAGTTATGAACAATTTTTTTGTCTTTATGTCAGCATGAGACATCTAGTTGGTAACTAAGCAATAAAAACACAATAGTAAACTGGTATGACATAAAATAATTTTTATACTAATTATCTATTTATAAAATTTTAAATTTTGCTTAATTTTCAGCTAACCATCACAGCCTATGTTAAGGAAGGAACACCTCAGCAAGATGAAGCAAGTTACTTCACATCAGCAGATATAAGTATAGTTTTCTTTAACAACGAAGATCAGCCGATATTTCAAAAGAATGACTGGAGTGTACAATTTGTTGAATTTAATACAACACAACCTGCAAAACCTTTGGAAGAAAAGGCTGAATATGAGGTTGCGAAAGGACTTCCTATCTTCTACCATTTCTATTCAGAAAACCAAACCCTTTCCAAATATTTTGATGTTGATAAAACGCTCGGTGATTTATCCGTTATAGGAAATCTTACCTATGATTATGATAGGGAGATACAGTTTCACATAGTTGCTTCGAATGACTCTCAAATCAGAACGTTGGACCCACGATCCAGTCTTAATGTTACAGTTAATGTAAGTATCGTAAAATATATAATAGTCAATGGTAATTATGATTTAAATTTTTTTATTTTTAAAAATGAATGAACAGGAAAAAAAGCATTTTATTTTTTCTAGTTTCTTCCACGTAACCGCAGAGCTCCTCAGTGGAAAAGTACCAAATTCTTTGGGGCAATTATGCCTACATTTCTATCTGGAAACCTTATAGTCACCGCTCAAGTAAGTATATTTTTGTTCCTAAAACTTCTACAATTCCAGATATCAGTTTGGCCATTATTTGCTTGGCAATATCAATAATTTTTATCAAAAGTAATAGTACCAGTGTCTTTAACGTTTTTTTGTTTCTGCCTATCTCGTAGTAGCTCTTTAAGTGCCCTAATGATCAAAGGAAGAGTAGACGGGACTACAGAAAAAGTAGCTTGACGATTTTGGATTTTCCATTGAACTGCGACTTTTAGATCTTATCAACCAATAGTATCTTTTGTGAAATTATTACCAACTTTTTTGGGAAACTAATCTAAAGATAGATGGAAGATAGTTTCAATAGTTTCAACAGTGTTGAAACCAGTTTAGACCTTATGGCCGCATGTACCATCCACGTCTACAGTGTGTAAAAGCCAAATGGAATAAATTCATTATTTAGGTTACTGGACATATTTATAAAAAATCCCGAAGCACTTCAAATTTAAATTATCACTTGACATTCTTTAACGTGAAAATGCAACCCCTACCTTCAACCCCCTTAGAATGGCAGGTACAACCCCCAATTTTTAAAATAGGAAGTATAGGCTTGTGATATATCTTTTAAAAGGTCTTTTCATTCTCCATTCAAAAATGCTGTCGCTTTTAAGTTTATTAAAATTAATTAAGATAAAATAAATTAAAATCATGTGGTTTCCGAAATTCGCTACAATACAATCAAAAACTAAAATGTAATGCAAAACGTAATAAAATGTAGAACACGAAAAATAACTACTATGAATGTTAATGAAGGAGATGTTCAAAATGTTCACCGCGAACGTCTTGACAACATCCTAATCTAAATAAAACTGTCTTCTAACATGTGACATAACAGGCTTGATCGACCTAATCGCAAGCGTTATTCGTTCTTTTAAGTCATTTAAATCAGAAGGTTTAGTTTTGTATACATGGCTCTACACATATCCCCATAAAAAGAAATCTAATAATGTAAGATCAGGTGATCGCGCTGACCATTCAATCGATCCTCGCCTCCCTATCCACCGATTGGGAAATATTGTATCGAGGTACTGCCGGACATTAAGTTGGTAATGTGATGGTGCTCCATCCTGCTGAAACCATATCGTATTCGCTAGAACTTGAGGGTTTCTTGGATTAGGATATAAATTTGCCAACGTTGGAATGACATCATTTTAAAGTAGTGCCAAATAATTGTTGCCATTCAAGTTGCCTCAATGAAAAAGGGACCAATGATATTGTTTCCTACAATCCCTGCCCAAACATTAACCTTTTGAGGGTTTTGAGTGTGTTCTTCTCTCATTCAGTGAGGATTTTCCGTGGCCCAGTAGCGGCAATTTTGCCGATTAGCATGACCGTTAAGTGAAAAAGTACACTCATTAGAAAACATAACGTCTTCTAATTGGATAATATTGTTATCCAACATGCCCATCATTTTCTCACAAAAAAAAGTTCTCCTATCAAAATTGTCTTCCATAAGCTCCTGAGTAGGTATCATCTTATAGGGATGCAATTTATTTTCTTTTAATATGTCTACTGTCGATGTATGGCTAGCATTGAATGTAGTGGATGCCTGTCTACTCGATGTATGTGGATTTTCCTGAAACTCAAGCAACACATCTAATTTGAGTTCATCACTCAGTACATTGGCAACTGCTTTTTTATCTGCCTTACATGACCAAACTCGCGAAACTGCTTCTCTATTTTACTTACTGTTCCTTGGGATATAGGCGGTAAATTAGGAAATTTCTCATGAAATAGGCGAGTTACTTCATGTTGTGTTCGGGTGATATCTCCGTAACCAATCATTTGTAAAACTGTTATTTTATACATTTCCGTTAATCTAACCATTTTTCAGAATTGAATTGAACGAACTTTTTACTTAAATTAAAATACTGACAACTTAAATAAAACAATTTACTAATGCGTGTTAAAATAACGTTGCCACGGAAATTCTTTAAAGTTTTTTAATGGTTACCATCTAAAAACCACATTGCTATGGTTTTTGTTCACTTTCTCATTATCAAGACCTAAACGGGAAATAAGTTTTGAGTATATTTTAGCGAATAACGGTAACCACAGGATTTTAATTTATTGATTGAAAGCGACATTTTTGAATGGAGAATGAAAAGACCTTTCAAACGATATATCACAAGCCTATACTTCCTATTTTAAAAATTGGAGGTTCTTCCTGTCATTCTAAGGGGGTTGAAGGTAGGGGTTGTATTTTCATGTTAAAGAATGTCAAGTTATAATTTAAATTTGACGTGTTTCGGGATTTTTTATAAATAAGTAACCTAAATAATGAATTTATTCCATTTCGCTTTTACACACTGTATAAATGAATTCAAGAAGGATAAGCGATATAAGTCACCAAAGGACGCCGTAATCTGACGCTGTGTAGCAGACATATGAAAATAAAACACATACTTAAAAAATTTAAAAATTTCTTCCACACATATACTCTTTCCTAGTTTTTGTACTGCTATAAAATATATTTTTCACTTTTAGGCTCATGACGACGACGTTATCGATCAAGGAAAATTAACCTGTTCTATTTCTAGTGACATCAAACGATATGGTGAAGGATTAGATAAAATAAAAGACAAACCATTTTATCTAAAAACTGAAGATGATACCGCCACAATATTTTTGGACTTTACAGTGGAAACTACAATGACTGGTCGGTTTGAATTTAAAATCAAAGTAGAGGACAATAGAGATGACTATGGCAATGGTAAGAATTCTCTAAAGTTTATTTTTAATTCATGAATGTGTTGCTTGTGTGAATCCATTTCAAATAGGTAAAGAAATAGTAAATAAGACTTACTCACAATCAATTTAATTTAACTATCAGACGACCGGTTTCGCTTTCTACAATATGCAAAGCATCCTCAGGTCTCGATACAAAGTTAAATAAATGCTAAAATGATAAAAACCCATATTAGAGTGTTGTCTAATAAAGATAAACAAAGTAGATGTTGTAAATTACAATAATTATGCCAATATTACATGTTTGTGGTTTTATTTCAAAAAGAGTAAGTTGAATATCTGATAATATCTAATATCTGAATATCTGAATATCTGAATATCTAATATCTGACAGATATTAGAACTACCAACTAATTATTGAAGGCTTTATAATTCAGTCAATTTCTTGAGCCCATAAATTAATTACCATCAATAATTATCCATTTGTTGCTTTGGTTACATATTAATGTATCAGATATTAATATATTAATATATCAGAATTTGAATTAAATATCTAAAATATTTAAAAAACACCATGACAGATAACTCACATCAACAAGAATTTCAAATAAAAATAAACAACTTTTGTAAACTTGTTATACATTTGATTATAAAATGTGCATGTTGAGTTGCCAAAGAATCACTTTAATTTGTTCAGTAATTTAGACATTGAGTTAGTTATAATGTGGGATGTATTTCAATTATTCGTATTGTTACATTTAAATTTAATTAATTAAAGATTGTTAAATATGCCAATATTAAACACATCAATTTACTTTTGATATCTTAATTGAAACAATTTATAGACATTCATTAATATCAGCATATTTCATAAAACTAGATAACTTAACTTGCAGTATTGAGAAACAGAAGAACTGTCACATGCTAACCTACATCTGTCATATTTAGCACTAAAATCTAATAGATAACACATAAAAAACTCATTGTGCCCAAGACTGAGATGTAGTGCATAAAAGTCCTTCCCCCTTTTAAATTTATTGTTTGTTTCGTCCCTTCTAAGTGTTTTCTGTTTTAGTGTGTTTTAAATTGTCCTTAATCGTTTTAATTCTAATATTTTATTTACTTGACTTTGCAATAATCTACTATTTTGCAAATAGAACTTTATCAAAGAAATTTGATAACTACAAGTTGAAAAATAATTGCACACCCACACAATTTGTACATCTAAACTTATTCATTGTCATAAAACTGTCACCTTCATAAAACAATTACTTAATAAATAACACACATTTCATAAATATATCTCTCGAATAAGTATAAATAACTTTTAATAATACAATGGTATATTACATCACTTTCATTTAACAAACAATCACACACATATCTCTGCTTCATTGGATCAAATCTATCTCCTCAAAAACTTCCCGTTTACTGTCAAACAACTACAATAGCAGACTTGAGTTCTCCATTCAACAATACATAGTAGTTTCAACCATGTTCTACTATCCATCAATTAATAGAGTACCGGCATGTAAGTAATGTTTATTTATTTGCTCATTTATTCATTTATTACAATCTAATAGACTATTTTATAACAATTTGTGGGCCTTACCTTGTCTGTTTAAACCTTTTAAATCTTTTTATACCTTTTTATTCAACTTACTCTTTTTGAAATAAAACCACAAACATGTAATATTGGCATAATTATTATAATTTACAACATCTACTGTGTTTATCTTTATTAGCCAACACCCTCATATGGGTTTTTATCATTTCAGCATTTATTTAACTTTGTATCGAGACCTGAAGATGGTTTGCATATTCTAGAAAGCAAAACCGGTCGTCTGATACTTAAATTAAATTGATTGTGAGTAAGTCTTATTTATTATTTCTTTACATATTTTAATTTTTAATTTTTTTTAAACCATGATTTGTGTATTCATGGGTTCACTCAACCTTGAATATTGTCTTCGAATGGATGTTTTTTTGTAGAAGAATGTTGCAGCATAGGTTTAATATACCTGTTGCAACAGCTGCATGCTGGTGGACCAGTAGATGCCATGAGAAATGATTGTATGTCTGTTTGTACGATTATCAGTCTTCTAAAAAGCCATTGTAACCTCTGGGCATAGGGCTGTATATTTTCTTGGGAATTTGAAATATGTACTTTTTTAACGTAGTTAAAATCATGGGTAACAATATACATCCGTTTACTTTCTTCAGTGTTTGTACATGCTCGGTGGTTAATGATTTTTTGATTTTAAGTCCATCAAGACTATGGCGTATATTATCGAAAGCTTTTGGTAGTCAATAATACAAATTAATACATTTTTTTTATCACACTTTTGTACCAAAAGTTGCATACAAAACACTATTTTGAACACCCGCTTTACATTATCTTTATAAAAAAATCGACTTACATTTTCAAATACTGTATTCTAGGTCCCTTTGAAAGTGAAGCTGATACAACAATATTTATTATTACCGACGACAACACCATTGATTTTCAATTTTACAACGATATTGAGGATGTGCAAGACAGAGAAACACCGGTATGTATTTTAAATTTTATTAACTTACGATATAAGCACCAAATTTAACAATTTAGTTTGTTTATTTAATCCAACATTAATAAACAAGGACTAAGCACTGAGCTTTGGTGCAATTTTAACACTAGTTGTTGAATGCCCACTACAGAATCTCTTGAGAAACTCTATAATATGCTTTCTTAAGATTAATAAATACCATATGAGCGTTTTTTCTTTTTTTTCTATTTTTTTCCAGCAACTGCCTTGTAACGTAACTTGCCCGGAGGGGACATTGGGGATTAAAACAGAAATAAGAATTCCAGGTGCAAGTACCTTCACCTTGCAAACCTACGCTCAGGTGACAATGATGAGCTTTGAAACGTGGGTCTATAGATGTAGGATGGGGTATATTCAAATAAAAAATTGGGAATCGGAAGGTACCAATGAAAATGACAAAATTTGGTATTAAAAGAAAAGATAAAAATAAAGGGGGCTACCTTTCGAGGACAAAATGTGACGGTCTCATAAAATCGAAAAAATCTTACAAGAAGTTCAAAGCTCAAAATCTATAAATCCATCGTCAGGCCTGTAATAACATACGGATGCGAAACGTGGACCAAGGCCAAAGCAAACGAAGAAAAGCTCAGACGCTTTGAATGAAAAACACAGAAAAATTTTCGGACCTCATCATGACATAACGACTTGTAAAATTGGTATGGGAGAAGATTCCCACAGTCAAAAGACCACTTGGACGTCCCAGAATGCAATGGAGAGATGATATCCAAGCAGATCTCAGGAAATTAACATTCCAGTTGACCTTAGGTTGATGTAAGACCGAACAAATTAGAAAAAAGTTGTACAGTCAGCCAAGACCCACCCAGGGTTGTAGCACTACGTGATGATGATGACCTTTCGAGGGACGAGAAAAACTTGACACTGGACTTGTAAGAAGATCAGTTCAAGAAAGGTTTTAAAAGAATGACAAATATGCTAAACCTCTCTATAAAAGCAAAATGGATACATAGTCAAATCGAACGAGAAACAAACACGCTATTCTTATACAGTCCGTCCCAAACCCTTCTTTCACTGCGTCATAGTTGTTCGAATTCTCTCTAACGCATTAAGCTAGAAGTGACAGAAAAAAACGTGAGTCGCTGATTATTATACATAAAACTTAGAAAATTAGGTATCGTTCACGGGTATTCGCATATTAAAGTGAATTCTACTTACGAACGTATAATTGGTTGGAGTTTAGAATACGCTAAATAGATATCCAATCAATTATGCATATAAATATAATTTGACACAGATGATCTTGATAATGACAGTGACAGTACTTTCACAATGTCAACTGATAAAATGATAATTGTCATTCCAGGTTAGTATTTTCAGACATTTTAACTACAGTGAAAATTAAATTTTGTATTTATTGTCATAAAAATATTTTAAATATTCCGAGATATACCGAGAATGAAAAAAGACTAATATTAAAATTATTAAATTAGTTTCAATTAGAAAAAGAGGCTGAAACATCTTTATTATCAGTTTCTGTCGTTCGCGAATCAGATTGTGAATTCCGGAATGATATTGAGGAAATATCTTAAACTAATACCCTTATGGATATTTATATGTATTAAAACGGTTCTTTTTAGAACCACGACATTTTCTTGAAATGTAGGATGTAATTGATACCAGCAACATATCTAGTGTAATCATTGATTTTCAAGAATCAGATTCTGAATGGGATTATAGATGGTTTGAAATATAATATTTTATTATTCATAAAAAAGAAGGTAAACTTACATTCGGTATCTTGTTTTTTAACTAAACTCCATTAACACGATTTCATCTGTATATCGGAACTGGTAGATTAAATCAACTGCTTCACTATTTAAACTATTTATATTGTTTTTTTTAACTAAACTTTAAGTATAACTTTCTTTCATTTGCACACCAAATCTGATAGAATAACTCAAAAATCAACTGCTTCACTATTTAAACTATTTCCACTATTTAATGACAACTCTTCACAAAATTAAACTATTGGCTGCCACACAAACTTATCAGAAAATTACTTATCCAAATATGACTGATTTAAATCGATATTATTTTATCACAGGAATGTTTACTTTGATGCCTTGCAATTGTCAGTAAATTTTTTTACCTTGCAGTCAACTCTTAAAAGATTCTAGGAGAAAGCGTTACTTTAAATAAACAAACCTTCCAATTCCCTAGTGTTTGTAATAAATAATAATAAATCCATAAACAAATCTTAGCTAATTAAGTACTTTCCATGGAATGTATAAAATAGAACAGAATAGAATAGAATTATGACAAACTGCTATGCATTAAAAAAAAAAATAACCTTTTCACGTTTAGCCGATTACGATCCTGCAACTGTCAGATTTAACTAAAATGTCATGCAATAATTCTCGACATTTTTAAAATCCTATATGACGTTAAAATTAGTGACGCACTGAAAAAAGGGTTTGGGACAGACTGTACCATGGTCTCTCTACATTCGTGTCAGAAATATTTTATTATTTCACAGAAGAAAGGAAGATTGTGAAAGAGTAATAAACAGTCAATTGCTACTAATTAACAATATTTAATTATTGAAAGTTTAGCCAAGGAAAAGGTAATATATAAATACCAATATATTAACCAAATAGACATAATACAACAATACAATTAGAAAACCAAAAAAATGTAGATTAAAACAAATCAGGTATTAAACAAATATATACATACAATTATATGGAATACCGTTTATAACTGGCTAAACAAAAAATATAGTAATTATCCTTTGATTACTAGAGTGCTGAACAGACAAACTTTGGGTTGTGCACAAAAAATACAGGTTATTCTGAAATACAAAAAAAAACATTAGGGAACAAACACTACACAAAAAACGTAGCACTGTACTGCACTAAATACATATGGAACAAAAATTAAGAATAAAACCAGGTATATTTTCTTCGTTTACCGATAGAAAATAGTCGGCATTGTGTTTCCAACTATTTTGACAGATTTTTAATTAATTAAAAAAATAGTTGATCATATAATATATTTGTATACGCTTCTGCTTGAGTTTTGTTACTGCTACCTTCGCTTCCTTTTTGGCAACTGTAGAGTTTTGAACACCTGTGTCTAACATATTTGCTTGCCACTGTCCATAGAATTTCTTACTGCTTATACAAGTTTTTGTATTAGATATATTCGAAAAGAATTTTACGTGAGTATGAGCTATAACAGGAGGCAGTAAGAGACACATATTTAATACGGCATAGCCATAATAAGTCTCCGAAATATCTTGTCTAAACTTTTAGAATGGAAGTAATTTAAAAGGAGAAATTAAAATTATTGCCAAGCTTATTATTTTTATTTGACGTGTCGTCTTTTTAGCATTTGAAAAATATGCTAAGACAGTCAAGTTTATGAGAATTTTTGTTAGGAATAGGCCACAATTTTACTTTAAAATACGTTTATATTAAACGTTTTGATTTTCCCTTCGGAAATCCATTTCAAAATACAAAACAATAAGTAAGATTTATTTTTGGTTTGTATTTTGACAACTATTTCCTGTGGAAATAGTTCTCAAAATACAAACCAAAGGAAGTGGAAACCGAAACGTCAAAATAAACTTATTATAAATTAAAATTATGGCCTATTCCCAATAAAAATAGTAAATTGTATCAAGATGCCACACGAAAAAAGTTTAAGAAAAATGGCATCGTCACACCGGTGACGCTTCATAGACGTGGCCACAGGCTACAGGCCTTTTCTTATTATTGAAACGAAATATTAAGTCAGTATGAAATGACCATTAACGAGAATATGTAGTGAATTAAAAATAAAATGTATCTTTTAATATTAAAAGTAGGATATTTGGTATTTACCAAATAATATCCTTAAATCCATTTTTTTTTGTTTAGATTATTATTTGAAAGTAGTAGGTGTGAAAATAAAATTAGTTCTAATGAAATTAAATAAAATAAAAAATAATTCTGACACTACTGCTTGAATTAAAAATAATTCCAAACAATTAAAAATTCTAAGCCAAATAAAAAAACTTAGCGAATTAAATATTCAAACAGACCACCTCCTTGTGTCAAACAGAAACCAAATCTATTTTACAACACTTTTCTCATGGCGTTGAGTTCATTTGCTCAGATGTTTTGGCTCAGTTAGATTATCTTTCCTTTTGTCTCAGTTGCTCCAAGTTGGTGGCTCGCTCCAAGAGTAATTGGATCGGAACCAATCAGTTTTATCGTTCGGTGTAAAGCTATGCTAAGCACAATTTGTGATAATGGAGAACAGTTTGGTTTAACAATAAACATAAAGAAAACAAAAACTATGGAGCAAAGTCGTTACAAGGATCCAGATAAAAAATGAAGATATTGAGCAAGTGGACTCAATGAAATACTTAGGAGTCTGGATTACGGAAGATCTGAATCCGAAATCAAAAATTTGCTCAAGAATAGAGCAATTAAGAGCAGCCTTTTTGAAGATGAGGAAATTTCTGAGTAACTACAGACTCAATCTTCCTGTAGAAGCCTGGACTGTTAATGTTGATTTAATGAGAAAACTGGAAGCTTTTGAGATGTGTTGCACAGAATGGGGAGAGACTGAGAACTTTTGACCACCATTAAAAGACAAAAAACAGCATATTTGAGACACGTACTTAGAAATAATAAGTACGAGTTAGTGCAGCTTATTATGAAGGGTAAAATGGAAGGAGTAGAAGTTTTAAGGCGTATGAATAGAGAACGTTAACTCACAGAAATTGTCAGGCACGATAGGTATAACTTCCTTCAGCTTATTATAGAAGGCCTGGCTGCGCAACATCAAAGATTGAACAGGATTAGACTTTCAAAGTTTAATAAGGAAAGCCCAAAATAGGGAAGACTTTGCAGAGGTCATCGCCAACCTTCGTTAAGAAGACGGCACCCGAAGAAGAAAAAGAAAATTGAAGGAAAAAGGGGTGCTGGTAGACGACAAATATTCTGGCTGAAAATCATTCGCGACTGGGCCGAGTTAAACATACAGAAGCTATTAAGAACCTTATAGATTTTAAACAAGCCTATGATTCAATAGATAGAACAATTCTACCTAACATATTGGAAGAATTTGGCATACCATAAAAATTAATACGACTAGTGCAAATTACAATGACAGAAACAGAAGCACAGATATGTATTTAAGGGCAGATCACTGATGTGTTTACGATAACGTAAGGACTGAAACAAGGCGACGGACTGTCTCCAAGGCTCTTTAATCTTGTTCTTGAATATGTAATTAGACGGTTGACGGTGAGCGGAAATAACATACTTACAAACAAATCTATTCAATTAGCAGCATACGCAGATGATATAAACATAATGAGCAGAACAGTGAATGCAGCGGAAGAAACCTACGTTGAGTTGAAACAGAGTGCAGAAGCAGTAGGGCTAGCAACAAATACAAATAAAACAAAACTACTCATACAAACCAGATCAAATAGACCGGTGCATCAACACTTTATTGACGATATAGAACATATGAATAGATTCACATACCTAGGAATGGATCTGGTCGCAAGCGATGAAGAAGAACCGGAAATAAATAGAAGGCTTGTGCTGGCAAATAAAGCCTATTTCGCGATGGGCCACATATTCAAATCGCGAGACCTACACCGGAAAACAAAACTTGGGGGCTATAAAACAATAATCAGGCCCATAGTAAGTTATTGTTGAGCATGGGTGATGACACAGAAATCTGCCAATGCATTAGATTTGTTTGAAAGAAAAATATTACGTAGGAAACTGGGCCCAATAAGTGAAAACAACAACTGGCGAGTTAGGTAGAATACAGAAATATACGAGCAATATAGTGAACCAACTCTAGCACAATACACTAAATTGCAGAGATTACGGTGGGCAAGACACGTGGTCCGCATGCATGAGAATAGAATCCCCAGAAAATAACTAAATGCAAGAATGCAGGAAAAAAAACGTGTTGGAAGACCTAAAAAGATATGGGAAGACGAAGTTGATGAGGATGTCAGGAACTGCCTAGGAACGCGTTCATGGAAAAGAACAGCGGTAAATCGAAATGATTGTTGAAGAAAACCAAGGCCCGATTTGAGCTGTAGTGCCATTAGATGAATAGATAGCCAATCTTCATAAGTAGAGACGGCACTAGAATAAAAAGAAGTAAAGCTTTGATCGGCATTTATGCACAATGTGCAGGGGCGACTAGGGGGAAATACGATTGTGATCGAAAACATAATTTAGATCATTTTTGTTACATATTTTGCTTATTTTGTAATACCAATCATAAACTTTTTCCGTACTTGTATATAATACATTTGTATAAAAACTATTTAACCTAAACTAAAATTTTCCAGATGTTAAGCATAATCTCCGAGATAGTGGGATATGATGCATATCGCCAGAATATAGATACAGTAACAAATAGTGGTGTTGTTATGACCAGAGCAAGGCTTTATTTTATAAACGTTAAAAACAGGAATCATTTGCAACTCACTAAAACCGATACAGATACTGGATTCGAACTGGTTAGTAGTGAAACAATATTAAAGTAAGTAAACCTTTCTTCATTTTTAAAAAATATTTATTACTAATTACAAAGTTTTGTTCATCTTTTTGCTTACTACATTTTTAGCATTGTCACCAATGTGAACACCTTCTCAAACCTGTCCAGCACCTTAAGAAGTAAGCAAAAATTGAACCTCGCAAGCTTCCAAGTGAGCAATTCCAAATCCGGCAACAGCGAAGCAGCATTGAAAGCTTGGTTGATCGGCGTTTCTGTGGTTTTAGGAATATTGGTTTTGATTTTACTAATCACTTTAATACTAAAAACCAGACAGTAAGTAAATTGGTATTTTATGCTTCTAATTTTAAATAAATCCTGTAACGAGGGCGTAGTATTGGAGATACATAGAGAAGATGTGAGCGTTTTCTCCTTGTCTCAAATTTGACCATTGGTCAAAATATGATATTTTTTACTCTTTTTCGAAGGCAGAATGGCGTTATCTGAAGCCATTTATTTATAAAACTAACCAAACTGTAGTCAATTGGCTTATACGATCTTGTATTCGTATAATCTTCCAGCTCAGGTTTTCGTTATCGGGAACAAGGAGTTTTAAATAATTCTCTTCTTAGAAATAACTGTTTGTGTAAATTATTAATTAACCCACTTACTACACAACGACACACTTACATAATCAAAACTGAGCGAAGCAATAGAGCATCAGATAGTAAATATAAATTGAACATTTACGTTAGATAAGGACGTCTATATTTAGATTTGTCGATGTCATAAAAACACCGTATTAGAATTAAAAGTTTGTCTTCGCAGAAAAGGTTAAAAAGATGTTTCTAGCATCACGCTTGTCCAAATATCCCAACAAGCTAGTTTACAACCTCAGAAACGACTACTTACGAATATCGAAACCGACAGCTTGACGTGCCCTCTCTAGGACAATGGCAGCCTATTTAAATTAACAATTAAAAAAATGTTAAGCTACGGCCGCCAGCATACAACTATTTAAAGGGTGTTTTGGTCCTATTTTATTCTGCTCTGTAGTCTTCGCGACTTCTCTTACTATTCTGGCTTTTAATAGTCTTTCCTTAAGTTTTCGAATAGACGATATTATAGTATTACTTCGATAATTACCATAGTCCATTCTGTTTCCTTTTTGTATACACGGGTTTCAGAGGTTTTCCAGTCAGTTAAAATTGTTTCTTTGTTTAAGTGCTAGTTAAAAAAATTAAATAAGATCTTTAATTTTTCTTTTTTGAAGGGCTGTTTTGATCTTCTTTAATGTGATGGGTTTTTTTTCCACTTGGTTTAATTACTCTTTTGCTTTCAATATGTTATTGTAACAATCTTTCTACTTTTTTATTCTTATGGCATTTATTTTTTTACTTTTTATATTTTTCTTCTTTCCTAGAAGGAAGTTAATCTTTATTAGATTTAGATCCATCTACTACTGAATTTATATCACGCATATTTGCATTCTATATTATCTTTTGTAGGTAACCACAGAAAATGTAGCTTTTCTTTTTGTTTTCCAACTGTAATAATATTTTTTTATACTTAGTTTTTTTTTTCTCGCCTGTATAATCTAGAATGCTACTATATCAATATTTGTGCATTCTTTCCAGCCCTCGTCCAAGTACCTTAGTTTTGGTTTTCCTCTGGTGCCTCGTCCCACTGGTCTTCTTCGGTCAAACCTTTTTTGCTGTTTGTTGTCCCTTCTGTTTGCCCGGTTCCATCTGAGTGTGCTATTTTAATCAATTTCACGAAGTACAGCTTCCCATAACTTATATACAACTTGGCACAAAGCGGTGAAAGCCCAACGCCACATAGCGATCCTGCTAAAAGAAGGGTGAATCATCTTCTGATCCGAAGACAGAAAATAAAATCAAAAACAATAAAACAATAAAAAACGAGAGTAAGAAAAGAAAAGAATAATAAAAAATAGAATTCTCCTCTTACAAATGGGAAATAACCACAATAAAAAAAGGCCAAATATTCACCACTAAAGCCGGCAACAGTGGAGGTAGTACTACTCAGACGGAAACAGAAAATAAAAAAATATCCATTTCAAAGGTATTAGGAGTGACGGCGTTCGCCCTACCCATTGTCTTAGCCTCATGAATGATACACAGAAGATGGGGAAGGCAAGAAAGGCGGTAAATTCGACATAATATCAAATGCATATCAAACTACTTATATATCGTAGAGATTTATTAAAGTTTGTATTCATCTTGCTAATCTAAGAATGTCGATTTACTTTTTCCAGTGCAAGGTAAAATATAACGATGGTCTATCTCAGGGTCAGAGAGAAATCAAATTAGAAAAATATATTTTGAAAGAGTCCAACAATTTAAAGATTTGGGAGTAATAGTGAATGGCCAAAACAAGAGAAGTGGAGAAGTAACGGAATGAATGCTAGCGGGCAACAAAACATACTAGAGATATCATAGGCTTATGAAGGACGAGAACTTATCCAGAAATACAAAACTGAGAATATACATAGTTGCAACCAGGCCAATAGTTACGTACGCAGCTGAGACAATCTGCGTCACGGAAAAAGAATGAAGAAAAATTGAGAATTTTCAAAAGGAAAATCCTCAGACGGATTATGGACCCGATAAGAATCGACAACAGAGAAATGACAAGAAGAATGAACCATGAACTAAGAGACATAATGAAGGGAGAAGATATAGTTGGATTTATTAAAGCAGACAGGCTGAGCTGACACATAGAGAGAAGGAAAAACGACCTACTGATTAAGAAGATCACCAGATGAAACCAGCCAGATATAAGACCAAGAAGACCCAGAGAGACATACGAGGACCAGATCATGAGAGATATCCAAATTCTGGAAGGCAACTGGAATATTGTCTGACGCAGGTGCTCACAGGACACGGTTGTTATAGGGCCTACCTCTCTAGGTTTGGAAAGGCTGACACAGATGAATGTCTATACTGTGGACACTCGGACACTGTGACTCATTCGATGTTAGATGGATAGTAAAAAGAAACAGAATGGAATGAGAGACATAAGTGAATTTTGTTACAGTAAGAGAAATGATTGAAAATAGACCAGATTGGTCTAGCATACACAACTATTTCCATGCAGTGATCAAGGAAAAAGAAGAGGAAGAAAGACAGCTGAACAATCGGTAAAGGTAAGAGTGAAAGATGCTGGAAGTTGAAGCTAGAAAAGGAGAGGAAATGCCCGTCTGGGAGTGATGCCGTACTGGGAACGATGGAAGTCTTCTACACGCAACCTGGAACGAGACAGGGAGCATCCTTGCTGTTGAACGAGGTGTGGATGTTGATGAATGATAGAAGGTAGTGCTTCGGAAGTGATGCCGGTCTTACAGCGGCCAGTCTGCTTCCGGATCGCTGGATGACAGAGGAGGGTCTGGTTTAGTAGGTAGGCGTTCGGCGTAGACTCGGCAACGAGAGAGCGTTTTAAAGTACCTCGGGAACTATTCACCACCTGGAAATAGTTTTCACCCACTTTTATTTTTTTCGCTGAGTACTATGAGTTCAATGTATTATTTGTGTAGTTTTTTAAATACCTCTTTTCCTTAGAACTTAGTCCTTGTCTATTCCAATGTATAATATTTGTTACCTGTTTTCTTTGAGTATTTGATGGTTCTGGATTTTGAAGCTATTCTATGTGATTTATGGCAATTTTTTTTAATAGGGTTGTTATCCCATCTAACCTTATGACTCTTATTCTGTAATCGTAATTTTAACTAACACTGTTAGTTACTGAATTACTAAATCTACCTAGAGATAGACTTATTTTGTATTATGAATATTAAAAACACATTTCATCTGAATATATCGCTTTGAGATGCAAAAAATAAACAAAAATTAAATATTTCAGGTTAAGTAACAGAATTAAAAAACTAACTACCCCCCAATTTGGTTCTAAAGAATCTGGACTTAACAGAATCGGTATAAATGCACCCACAACCAACAAGTACGCTATGGAAGGAACCAATCCCGTATACAAGAATGAAGAAATCAAGACACCAAAAAATATGAACGATTTTGATACTCACAGGTAATTTTTGCTAACCAGCACTTTTCTTAATTTTTATAAAGTTCTTTAAATTAAATTATTCAGAATAGTTTTTTCCGCTATATGATAAACTCAAATCTATAATATAAAATAGTACGAGTACGAGTACGATATTGCTATCGTACTTTTATTTTCGATTTGCATTACTTATTGTTAGGTGTATATGGAATGGAGGCCCAGAAACTATAAAAGAAGCCGAGGACGACCACCGACTAGATGGACCGATGGTATAAAACGTGTAGCGGGAAACTGGCTACAAGCGGCCCAGTGTAGAGAACACTGGAAAGAACTGAGGGAGGCCTATGTCCAGTAGTGGACGCGATTGGCTGATTGATGATGATGATTGTTAGGTGTATTTAAAAGCTGGTCTTTATCATTGTCAAATATCAAATATCAATATCAAATATTTACATACACATTCACATATTTACCAAAGTTTATCATTTCTAAATAGAGTACAAAAAGAACAGAGGCAAAAATATTAGTATACAATATTAGTATACAAATATTTTGATTACTAATATTAGTAAAAATATTAGTATACAAAATTAGTTTCAAAATTGAGGTGTGTCTAAAAGTTGGTTTTATACCATTATCAACTGAATTTAAAAAGTATTTACATAAATTACGTATACATAGAAAGTTTACAATTTGTAAATACAATTCAAAATGTACTTAAATTTAAAAAAAATTACATGGACAAGTCAGTTTCACTATCAATGTCGTTATCTAGATCTATAATAATTGTTTCTTTGAGCAACCTATCTGTATTTATATAAGATCTTTTCTTCTTTGGAACATAGGCAACACTATTTTTCCAGCTGTCATTGGCTATTTTCTCCATTTCTAATTCAATTAGACGAATCACAGATGAATTTAGGGTGGGCGAAACATTACTTTTCCTTACCGATGCTTTTAGCTCATGCCATATGTGTTCAATCGGATTGAACATGCAATAGTAAGGAGGAAGTCTTAATACTGTATGACCCATTTCTTCCTCCAAATTGTCACATAATATTGTTTTCTGATGGAAAATGATTTTTAAGTTTTAAGTAATTGTTTTTTCGAATAATTATCTTCATAATATATATCATTTTCTTATATTCCTGGATTCCAAGTTTCGTGTCATTAAAACAGAAAACTTTATTCAGCCTACTGCATTGCTGTTACCACAGTAGCTGGCATTGTTCATCTGCATACTGCATTCGGCCTACTGTAATGCCAGCTACCACAGTAGCTGGACAATGCCAGCTACTGTGGTAGCTGGCATTGTCCATCAAAATTACACTGTTTGGTGATATATTTGGCAATAACTTCATTGAAAATCAGTTTTCAAATAATTCTGACGTGGTGTCATCATGATAGTCGACACGAGAGTCCTTAATATTTTTGCATGACAGGGCTAAAGCATTAGGTATAAAACCATTTTTTGTTCCTGCATGGAATATTGTAATACGTGTATATTTATTTGATGGAGCTTTTGTTGTAAAGCGACCAGAAAAATCTGCCCAGAACGTCATGGATGTCAAACCACGTCCTATCCAGATAAACAATTTCTCTTCCACTTTCTCTGTATTTATAAACTTGAATTAAAAATTCCGTCCTATATATTTCTAGACGAGCAGATTCCATAATTACTTGGCGTTTATCGATCGTTTTTATTTTAAAGCCGTTTTAAAGTTTATTTAAAGAAAATTAATAACATTTATAAAAACCGAAATTTTTGACTTATTTTGCCACTTTCTAAGCAACTAATAAGGATAGGAACATTAAGATGATTCTACACAGCTTTTAAATTTAGATTTCGTGATTGTATAATTAAATTTATTGATTTAAAGCTCTTAAGATTAAAAACAATGAAATTTTGAAACAGAAGATGCAAATATTAGCACTTTATGATTTAAAATCATGGTTTCACTAACATTTTTTATTATGGTTTTATTTACTGTGCTTTTACTTATTGTCGTAATATTTTTAGCATAAGAAGCGGTGATTCTGATCTGGTTGGAATAGAAAACAATCCAGAGTTTGACTATAACTTCAACACTAACGAGGATAAAACTACATATTTGTAAATTGTTTTTATGATAATCTTAGGTCTAGGTTAAGTTGGTCTTAATAGATATTAATTTAATCTGATTTAACTAGAATTGTATTATATTATGTATGTATAAACTATACACTTTTTTAGCTACAACTATTCGCAATAGATCTTGTACCACGTATTATTAAAATTAATGTTAAAAAATATATGTTGTTTTATTGACGCGTAATCGTATGGAATTTACTGAAGCCAAACCAGCACCAGAAAGGTTCCCAAGTCATATTTTATTGTTTCAGTAGATTGAGAATAATAATAATTATATTTTTTCAAAGTTTATAATTAACACTGAAATAATGATCACTTTTTAAATATGATATATGGCGATTACATCGAAACTGACTTCACTTTTCGAAGGTTTATTAAATGGGTGTTACCTCCTCTCTCTTTCCTTGTCTAAGATGTAGAAGCTCCTTCTAGGTATTACTAATTTTTCAAAATATATTTGAAAGTATTAAAACCCCATAAATAAAGCTCACTATAAAAAGAGCAAATAGAACAAGAAATCCTTAAGTCAAGAAATAAGCAAACCTACTAAACAAGAAAGACAGGAAGCAATTACAAGGGTACTGAAGCAATTCATAAGATGGATTCATTTAGCTTTTTGTCGAGAGTCCGAAAAAAAGCTGATGCAAGGCAGAACTTTCTAGAAATATACTTCAAGCTAAACTATAGTCAACACGACAATATTGACTTTATAAAAGAAGGATATATCATTCTGGCTTTACAACCCTGCGTGGGTCTCCGCCTTCTCATGAATTTCTCTTCAGTCGTCCCTATCCATCGCCTTCCTCCGCCAACTACGTATTCCCATATTTCTCATGTGTTCATCGATGTCATTAAGGAATTTTGTTCTGGGTCTTCCTGTTCTTTATTAAGGAGCGTTTTTCTAGCTGGGCCATTTTGTTTCATCCGCATTACATGCCCTATCCACCTCAAACGTCCTATCTTATGGATCCTATATGTTTTACAATATCTGGTTCCTGGTATATTCTATAAAGTTGTATTGTCTTCTACACACTAAATTGTCATTTCCTACTCCATAGATTTGCCTTAGTACTTTTCTTTCGAAACATCCCAACATATTTTCATTACTGTTTGTTCGAGTCCGGTTTTCTGGAGCGCTCCCAGGTATACAAATTCGTTCACTGCTTCATGACGTCGTTTTCTATAACAAGTGGTCGTAGGATTCGTGGTTGCCTGCTTATTTTCATATAATTCGTTTTGTTAGTGTAGCTGTGTAGCTGTTTCTTTAATTGCTACATATGCCACTCGTACAGAACTTTCCGCTCTCCCTTTAAAAGGTATTTTACCTGCCCTTAAAAAATTAATATGATTCTGAGTGTGCATCATGGATGATTTCAAATATAGGTCAAACCTTGATCATTTACAACATTGCTGCTTTGGCTAGTCAAGCATTCGAATTAGTTTTCACACCCAAGAATATTGTATCCAGTTTTTCGCCGACAGGCATTTACTCTTTCGATCGTGATGTGTTTACTGAAATTGATTTTATGTCTAGCGCAGTGACCGATCGACCACTGGAAACATCAAGTACAATTCTAGAGGATGCATCATCTTTTCAGAAAACCGGCGTGCAAGAGGAAATTTCGAACCCTGTGAACATTCTAGACTGTAAAAAAATCCCACTCCCAAGAGAACAATGTCAACACTAAATAAAATTTTGTTAGACCAGAAATTTTGCTACTGCTTCCGAAGGCAGGTCCACGAAGCGTATTACAAAGCGAAAACGGGGTTTATCAAGGATTCTTATCGGCACGCCAAAAAAAGATGCTATAAATCTCTGAAACAAATTCTCGAAAGATTAAAAGGTTGTACCACTAAAGCATGAAAATATTTTTTCAAACGAACAGAAGTCTTCACAGAAACTTGCAAGTTCACCAGAATCTTCTTTGAGTGATGAAGAGCGAGTTAGGCGGAAGTAGAGAAGATATTTCAGATGTAGAAAGCTACGAAAGAGAAATTATTCAAACCAAAGCTCTTGAGGATGTCAAGAGCCTCCAGGTGAGAACCTTCGTTTTAGTTAAATTTGACACAAAGACTTCAACTGTGCATTATGTGGGTTTGGTACGAACAAAGGCAGATGATGAATATGAAATTAAATTTTTACGTCGTCACGAAGACGTCTGGAAATTTATTTATCCACCAATGGACGATATTTGTTTAATTCGAGTACAAGATATTATTTTGAATTTACCGTATCCAAACAATGTAGGTGGAACAGAAAGAATGAAATCTACACTGACATTTGGCTTAAACTTCAGTTATTATCAAAATATTCCTTAATTTTTGCAGTTTTTTTAATAATATTATCTTACAGTTTCAGTTATTAATTAATAAATAATGAACATTTTGCGTTGTAAACTTTCTTTATCTTTTATTTTTTCAATAATTAATAAATATTTCCCAAAAGCTTACAATGTCTCCATGCGGTGAGACACTTTACACCATTTCCTTTAAATACATCTAAACATTTTAAGTAACATTTTGGAAGCATGAAAAAGTATGACAAGATTAGCTAAATGACACGCATTTCACTTGCACTACATTTTATCTTTAAATTGCAAATTCTATAAGTTATAAAAAATGAAATTAATTTTTTGTCTCAAGTCTCCCTAGTCTCCCCTACCTACTCAAAATTTAAGTGAAATCACAGACAGAATTAATATAAGTAAAATACTCAAATTAGTTAAAGAAAATCTAACCTTCTACAGTCTTGGTATAGATATTCCAAACTCTCATCGTGGAGGTTTTAGATTAATGGTAAATCGCATGCTGTCAAGAGATAAGATAACTGTTATCTAACAATGATAAAAGATTCAGGTTACCTTCTAGTCAGTATAAAAAATGCATCGGTATTTACATCTCTGTGTTATTCTTTCATTTGCAAATAGTGTTATGTTACTTTGTGATGACAGCGAGTTTGTGCGAATACATAACCGTATCAATACAGAAAAAGGTAGGTAAATTACTATTTATTTATTATTTGATATTCAACGAAATTCTTTAGTCTGGGTTAAACATAAATTTTTGACAAGCTCATAAGTTTCTTTCGGGCTTTTAATCCTGCAAAAAACATATCGAAGGGTTTTTGACAATACATCGTAAACGACAAAGTATTCATTTTTCAGGAGACGACTTTTCTTCTCCAACTTTTTGTCTAATACAATAAAACTTTTGAAACTATAATAAATTAGTAAATAGGTACTTTAAATAAGAATGTAGTAAAGAAAATGTATTTTTCATTTTTTTTATTAAATTATGTACCATACGATATTCTGTCATACTTTTTTCATGTAAATTTTAGTTCAGCTTGTCGCTTATTATAAACATACGATAGTTTTAAGATATCAGATCTATAAATAGTCATAAATAACGTCTTTCTAAGAAAAAATATTATTAATAACAAAAATCGACATAGAAAAATGTAATTTAGTAACTGTTCATATTCCTTCACAAACTGTGCAGCATATTATCAATGACCTGCTATAATTGCCCTTCTAGTTCCTCCTATGGCAATTTTTGATTATTTTGCAGTAATAAAATAATAAATAAGGTAAACGTTTATGACTTTTTTATCATTCATATGTGATCGCATTAGATAATATAGAACATTAATTAAATCAATTTTTAAAATAAAAAAGTATTTTTGAAAACCAATATCCGGACTAAAATCAAAAACAAAAGCTTTAATTTTACAACGAGAAAGCAATTTTTAAATCTACCAGATATATATTTACTAAGTTGCATGTATTTATATAAAAACATTTTCAACATTCTCGTTTTATCTTTGTCGTAAATAAAAACTGTCTAGTTAATGTATCATACCCACAAATTACTCATATAACGATTATATTGGTGCTAAATAACTTGTTTTCGATTGTACTGATAGCAGGAACCAATTCGAACAAGTCATAGACAGTGCTAGTAAAAGAAAACCGCCTTCTTTGCAGGTAACTAATTAAAATGCCCTACAGTGGGTGGATCAAATTAACACATTTTTGTAGTACCGCCTATATTATTGAATTTAAAAGAGTGACTGGTCTGATTTTAAATTGTGAGATTTCATTTATGGGCATTATAGATGTGTATAAGATAGAAGCAACCATATGTACGTACGTATTTCTGACTGTTGTAAATATGTGTTTTGTCCATGTGAGCCTGCTATCTAAAATCAAGTTAGTATTGCATTTAGGTTAGCCTGTACTCTGTGTGATGGTACGGCTGGATCTTTAGGAGAAGATATTACTGCTGTATTGCCTGCATAAGTTGCTGTTATGACTTCTGATGATATAGGTAACTCCGCAGTGAATATCAGGTATAGCACTGGTACTAGGACACAAGTAATTGGATTTTTGATTTCGTATAAAAAGCCAAACTTGGTCAAATGCCTGGGAGATGTCTAAGAAGATTCCGGTGCAATAATTTCTGTTGTCCAGTGATTGGTCTATTTGCTGGCAAACCCGGTGAATTTGTTCAGTGTTAGCGTGCTGTGGCCTAAAGTCAAACTTATTATTTGTTTATCAATTAAAATTAGCTCTATTCTAAATAACAGAAATTTTTCCAATATTTTAGACATAATAGGGAGCAGGCTAATAGGTCTGTAGGACCTTATTTCCACCAACAATTTTCTGAATTTTGGAATTTAATATTATTTGAGCTAGTTTTTAAACTAGAGGCAAATGCCCTGTTCTTAAAATGGCGTTATACAGTTATGTAAGATAAAGTTGAGCTTTTCTTGGTTTTTCTTTTACCATTATTCTTAGTGTAATTAGGTCTTACCCTGGGGACTGTTTGGCGTTTAATTTAGTATGAATAATATTTACATATAATACTAGTTTCCATCTAGAACCCATTCAGACATTGTCTCAGGGTCAACAGCAACCCCTATTGGGAGCCTTACGTTGCCATATTGGGTATTTGTTAAAATCACACCATCTTTTTAACAAAAATGTAATACATAATAAATTTTGTCCCATCTTAAGGGTTTTTATAAAAATATTTAGTGGCTTGACTCATGTACACCTGGTAATACACTGATGATGATTACATACCGTTTAAAAAGAATTTTTAATTAAAACTTTTGTGATTCATGTTATACTACAGGAATTCCTTTTTTCTTGTGAATTGTCTGAAGTTTTCTTTATTTAATTAATGGTTTTGGATAACTTGATCCATTCAGCCACGATAATGCATTTGACTACTTGAATTTCGCCTAGAGATAAATTAAAAATATAATGATAAAAATGAAAAATAAATAAACATCAGTATCACAAGAATCATTAGATTGACAAGAAACCATACTTTCATTCGTTACATTCAGGGCAAACTTAAAGTAAATATTTAGAACCAACAAAGGATTACATAATATAGGGATACTTTTCACACTAAGGTGCCTTTCATAGCGACTTTATTATAACACAAGATAGGAAACGGCTAGGAGGTAAATATATAACTTAAGGATAGACAGAGGAAACAAAGCTAGATTTATACATTCACATTACACATTCCATCCTAAATTGTTCTTTTAGTCCTTTTTAGATACCCCCAAATAAATGGTTAAGCCTAATATTATGAAGAGAGATATATAAAATAGAAGATTGACACTGAGGAAGAGGTATTTGTTCGTTTATCAGATTTTCCAATAGATACCTAATAGCAGCATATATTATACATGCACCCGAACACCCAATGATTGATATTGTCAGTGTTACCATTGCAATCGCAAACTTCTGTTTTACTTAACTTAAATCTATGAAGATAGGCTTTCATAGTAGCATAATTAACAAGGCATCTAACAAACATTGAATATACTCTTCTATCGGGATGCCTTCTTGTAGCAAAAGGCGTAGGTAAAACAGGGTGAATTTTTGTATAAAGGTTGTTACTTCTGTTATAGAAAGCATTCTATTCAATTTCTCAGTTTTTTTATAATTCTTGTTTCCGCAGCGAGACCTTTTGAAACTGCTGCTTTAGCGAAATAATCTGCTTTGGTGTTACCCGAGATAGCAGCATGTCCCTTTACCCAAATCAAAGAGACTGAATTATTTCTTTTAAGAAGCTTAAGTTGATTTTCTAAAATTTTGACGGTAATACCATTGTTTAAATGGTAATACGGTTTTTGTATATATGTTTGTGAACGTCTAATGTCAACTTCAGTGTTTAGTGGAAGTTATTGAATTTGTTTAAAAAGATATCCATGTTATCCTCTGGTGCAGCCTTCAGACAGTCTTGTTTCGACTGCTAATGGAAATTCTTCTAGAGAGATGTCTGCAAAAACTTTCATTGATTTTATTCCTTTTTTTAATACCTTTCACTAAAGATTTTTTAATATTTGTGTATAAAGATACAATAATGGGAGAAACTAATTGCGACTTTCTAGGTAAATGCATATTTTTGAGTTTAGATTTCAGGTCATTATAGTTTATTTTTATGAACGAGGGAGTAATTAGCATAATTTTAACTGGTACCTTCGGCCACTCCATGGGCGTGCTCAAGATTAATTGAAAAATTACTTTGAATAATTGTAAAAAATAAATGAATTATTTCACTGTTATAACGTGTTATGTGTATGTAAACAAAAGTGACCTCTTTTATCACACACTATATTAGAACTGACTGGCCTACATTAAAAAGGGTTTTAAAAAATTCACATTTTTTTAAATTTTCAAAAATTACAAAAGAGAAAAAGAGTTTTTAAAACCGTCTAAGGTATGTTAAATAGATGAATAAAAATATTAATATAAAACTTACAGCAACACATCCAAATCAGATTTAGAAGATGAACTTTCAGAACCAAGATTTATAATAACTGGCTCGATCATTTTATGAGTAATATTGTCCAGCTTCCACATTTTTTCCTCTTCTTTAATAGTGTGATTTACTGCCTTTTTCCAGTTTTCAGGTTTTACATTATTTACGGCCTCCAAAAACAACTGTTTAACATCATGAATTTTAAAAGTGGTATTTTTTCTTAAAACTTCACTCTTTATCTGTGCCCATACCAGTTCAATCGGGTTTAATTCACAATGATATGGTGGGGATCTAAGTACTGTCATTCCACGATTTTTGGCAATTTCATCAATTTCGTATTTTTAAAATTTTTCTTTATGAAGGGCATACAACGAATAAAGTTCCTTTCTTATAGATCCGGGATGGTACGTAATATTTTTTGAACTCAGCCAATTCTGCAAGTCTTTTTTTAACCACTTGGTTGTGGACAGTTCTTCTATAAGTCTGGAGTGATAACTTGCATTATCCATTACTATTACACAGTTCTTAGGAAGAAGATCTATCATTTGTTCGAACCATTCTTGAAAGACATCAGCGTTCATGTCTTCATGGTAGTCGCCGGTACGAGTTGATTCAAGAGTTAATAAACCACCTTCAACAAAACCGTCTGAACTGCCAATGTGTACTATTATCAGCCTGCGTCCCTTTCCTGATGGTGGGTTTAAACCAGTAAATAAGTTATTTACAAAAGCGTGCCTTTGACTTGTAACAGTTTCATCCTGCCAAAATTTATTTGGTGTATGACCCTCGTTGATCCATGTTTCATCAAGATAAAATATTTTTCTTTTTTGGTTTCTCATTTCCTTTATGGTTCTTAGAAAATATCTTCTCCATATGACAATATCGCTTCTTTCTAATAAATAGACTTTCTGGGATTCTTTTTCCAGCGGAAGCCTATTTCTTTTAAAAGTTTCCATAACGTACTTCGACTCATTTCTGGGTAATCCTTATCATCTCGAACTGAGACAAGAACTTTATCCAATGTTGGAAATTCTTGTCTAAAGAAGAATTCATGCACTTTCCGTCGAAGTCCTTCTTTAAAATGATATTCTATTTGAAATTTTGGTTTCCCTGGAGCATTACGTGGCATTTGAAAACTACCTTTCTCTTCTTTAATAACTCTGTAAATCGTAGATTTCCCAACACCAAGTGTACTGCTAACTAACTCAACGGTCTCATCAACACTTTCACATAAACGTTTGTCTGTAAATGATTTAAAACAATTAAATATTAATGTTTTTTCATTAACTGTTAAAGGACCAATTTTTCGTTCGTTTACACGGCACTTCCAAATTTTCCATAACACTAGTATACACAATAAACTGCACCTTGCAACTGAAGTACCTACTTTTAGTGAACTGTTAAAAATTTTGAATACGCCACTTGGACCTTCCTACAAAATGGAAAAACCCACTATCACATTTTCTGTGGAATAAGTTTAGAAGGTAATTATCTAGTCAATTACTGTCGTAGATTCCTGGAATTAAAGAATTAAATGTTTGATTGTTGAAACCCTTACTTCGTGGAATGCACTCATTTCAGATAAAATAAAACGTTTTATTTTATCTAAAGAATTAAACTTTTAGTAGTTAAAGTACCTACCTATTTGCAAATATTTTGCAAATAGGTAGGTACTTATTAAACTTTTATTGGTTATATATAACCAATAAAATAAACATCTTACATTTCTTGCAAATTCATTAGTACCTGTTAACCTCCATCACTCCGACACTGGCAACCTTATTTAGGGATTAGTAACCCTCACAACTATTGTATTCTATTCTGCTCCAACCTTTATACCTGGTGGTCATACTCAATTTAAAATTGTTTTCTTATATACTTCTGTAAACTTGTTGACAAATATTTGTTTTTCATTGAGTCACCCGTATCAACAGTTTAGGGATTTGCATACATAATTTATTGTTTTATTACTCTTTCATACATAAAAATACACTATAGCGTTTTTTAAGTAGTATGGATTTTAAATTATTATATCAGAAATAATGCCCTTTAAATATTTTAAAAGATTTTTAACAGGAAACTGAATATACTTAATACTGGGGCGCAGAGGTATACCATCTTTATATGATTTGGATAGACAGAACAATTAAATTGGGTTTCTCATTTAAAAAATCTTTTTTTTTTATTTTCTTATGCAATGTTTTGTTTTCAAATGGGTATTTGTTTTTTAATTAATATATGTGGGTGTACTAAACCGCTGGAGGTGGGAGGTGTAATGCCAACTAACTTTGCTTTTGAAATTAAGCATGCCCAATTTTCGGTGCGCTCTGCATTTGTAATGTCTATTATTAAATCCCAAGGAAAATGTTTTTATTTGTTTGAGCTATTTGTTTTTACTCCATATCAAAAAACTAGAAATATTGTACATTATAAGACATTACAATAAAGATTACCTCTGATTTCTTTCATTAGGTACACCATCCGTACGAAGTCATAGCGAGCAAATAGTTTTTTAAATTTTCTCCAGATCATTTTCGAAATGAGTAGCGAAATAAAAAACTAATTAAAATAGCTTTATTAATATCTAGCTTGTTTGGATACTTTATCATATATTTCAGGGAATGCATCTTCACAGTTTAATTGTTCTCTTAATTTATCATACAAGGTGTGGTCAAACATTTTTCGGAATTCTTCTTTGGTCATATATGTGTCGGCGTACAGCATCTGAAAACTAAACACACAATTATTTATGTTTTTTAATGTAATTTTAATTTTTCATAAATCATAATTTGTTTATTGTTTCGTTTCAAAAGCGATTTAACTATTAAATAATGAGAGGGCACCTGGATCAGTAGATATTTTCGCGGAACACTCCCAAAAAGTTATCTAGTATATTAAGAGAAATTGAAAGATATATGAACAAAGCTAAAAAATCCCGACTAGGTAAAACAGATCAACCAAAAGTCTTAAAAGATTTCTTGCAAAGTCTACCCAAAGTGCCTTCTCATTATTGCAGAGCGTCTTCCAGTAAACTGTACCTTGAACCACTCTTTACATCAAAGGCTGAGGTTTTTAATTTGTATGTTGAACACTTGTGAAACGTCAGAGAAGGCGTTGTCTCTATCTCGTTTAAAACTCCTTTTAAGAGCATGAAACTTAGTTAATTTAAGTCAAAAAAGACCAGTGTGATATCTAGGTGATGCATGAGCATGGTAATTTAGAAGAAGGAATATGAGCGCAGCATAGAAACAAAAAACAACAAGCACGAGAAGCAATTCAGTCAAATACCGAAAAAGTAAAAAAATAATAGCAGGTATGTGATAATCAGAATGGACCTTCAGGAAGTACTTTTGAGCCTACGTCTGCAGGCGTCCGCGCTTTACTACAATACAAGTCAAACTTTTTATAGATAAATTCACATTCAGATGGCAGCGTTACAGAGATAGGCCTGTACTTTCTATATGCCAGAAATAACTACATTGTTGTCAGTTTTTAATCGTACCTACAATCGTACGTTATGGGCCGGCTCCTATAAAAGAATTATAATTTCGGAAATATTTATGTATGTGAAAGGAAAAATACTACATTTTTTTAATTATATAATTTTTCTGTTGGTATTTTAAAAATAGAAAGTTATATTTCGGAAATCTGGTCTTTTCGGAATTATATCTTCTGTTCAAAATTGTTTAAAATTCGTGGAAATGAAATAATTATTTGTATAATCCGTTTTTGATCTTAATGTCCTTTTAATGACACACTTTCTTTACCTGCATTTACAGTTACAGACATTAAAAAATAATTTAGAATTAAAAAATATACCTATTTATAAATTCAAAATTATTGTCTAATGCCAGCAATTATAAATTCAGGTAAATACTTGAGAGTCATTAAAAGAATTTTCAGTTGATATCAGACGTTTGTGTCGTGTCAGTGTCAAAATGGCCGCGAGTGTAATAAAATTCAAAAACGGTAATTTGTTAAATAGTGAATGCAAAAAAATAGTGTTAAATGTTTTTAACTATTTATCAAACAGTAATAATGATAAAAGTGTATCAACAATAGTGCGGGAAGTTTCTGCTATGACTGGAGTCTCTGAGCGAACGATATTCCGATATAGAAGTGAAAGTAAAAATGGTCCACTCGTAACTCCTATAAGAAAAAAAAGAACCGGTTATTTGAATAGTCGTGAGAATAGATATAATGAAGCAACTCGGTCTAGAATAAGACAAGTAGTGCACGGTTTTTTTATGGACAATATTTCTCCAACCTTGACGTAGTACTAGAAAAAATTAAGCAAATGGAGCATCTTCCGAATTTTTCCAAGAGTACGTTGAGAAGACTATTGCACGACATGGGTTTTATACCGGGTGGTGAATCGTCAAACGGACCATAGGAAACTCAATGGTAAATTCTAAATTGTTGAATTCCTGCTTCCCTAATTATTTTACACAAAAAGTCATGGGAAACTATTTGTAGAGGACTCAAATATGTATCGAAAACAACTGTTAAAATTATTCTACGACTTAAACGTATTCCAAAATTTTGCTAAAATATAATACATTTTTCAGGCCACCCCTAAAAGTTAGGCCACACGTAATGCAAGAATATATATATTATTACGTTTGTGTTTTATCATATTTATGTCAGATGTTTGACAATTTGAATTGTCAATTTTTTTATTTTATGATTAAATTATAAACAATGAGTTTTACTAAATACTACTACTAATGAACATTATTACTTTGTGAGCAATAAATTATATTGTTTACAAATCGATCAATATAAATGTACTCAGTTGACGAAAAATCGCATAATGTTGTACTCAGGCAATAGCGCGAACCTTTTCCTGCCACTACCGGATCTTTATTTAACGTAAGATATTCTAATTCACTAAAATTTAATTCCATGTTAAGTTATACAACAATTCAATGAATTCCAATATACTGTTACTGTGATCTTTATTTCTAATAATAATATATGATAATTTATAAACATAAAACTATAACAAGTGTTATAATAAAACATGAATAAAAAATTTTTATTATTGCTTTTTTCTCCTCAACTGAGTACATTTTTTAATCAACTTAATTTTTTTTTTAACAATAAATCACAAAATTTTGGCCATTTAAATCATAGATAAATGTAATATAATTGATTTAAATATTGTCAAATATCAGAAACAATAATATGACAAAACGCAACACGTAATACACATTTTTTCACAGAAAAATGTATTATATTTTAGCAAAATTTTGGAATACCTTTAAGTCGTAGAATAATTTTAACAGTTGTTTTCGATACATATTTGAGTCCTCTACAAATAGTTTCCCATGACTTTGGGTGTAAAATAATTAGGGAAGCAGGAATTCAACAATTTAGAATTTCCCATTGAGTTTCCTATGGACCGTTTGACGATTCACCACCCTGTATATGGCAAACAAGGTAAAAATTCAATATTAATAGAAAAACAAGAAATAGTCGCTTGGAGGCGTCACTATCTCCGGGAAATAAAGAAACTGAGGAACGAAGGAGCCAATATCATTTATATGGACGAATCATGGGTTAATACTGGAATAACCAATGGGCAAGTATGGCAAGATACAACAATAAAAAATAGCCAACAGGCTTTCGTAAATGGACTACCACAGGTTTAAAAACTCCGACCGGAAAAGGACCAAGATTTGTTTTAGTCCATGCAGGAAACACAGACGGATTTGATGAAGGTGCTGACATCACTTTTCTTGCCAAAAAAGGTGCTGAAGATTACCATGAAGAGATGGACGGAGATCTATTTGAAAAATGATTTGAAGAGATGTTAATACCGAATCTCCCAAAAAATAAAAAGAATGTCATTATCTTGGACAATGCATCTTATCACTCTAGGAAATTAAATTTTCCCAAACAATATTGGGTGAAACGTCAAATTAAGGAGTGGCTCTATGAAAAGGACATTTATTTCGAAGAAGATTACTTAAAAAATGAACTTCTGGAAACTGCTAATGTATTTAAAAATATTTATGACAAATACAAAATTGATTGTATTGGTGAAAAATACCGGAATCACAGTGACGAACAATGCCGCGTAGATGTACATATCTTAAGACTTCCGCCTTATCACTGTGAACTGAACCCAATAGAAATGGTGTGGAGTGAAGTGAAACGGTACGTGTCCTCTAAGAATTCAAGTTACAAACAAAACGACGTTAAAACATCGATTTATGTAGGTTATGATAAAGTACAGAACAATGGACATTGGAAAAATTACGTCAACCATGTTATAAAATTGGAGAATAATTTTTGGACAGTAGACAACATTCAAGATGACATTGAACCTATTAGAATTTCATTAAACGATGACTCTGAAGATGAACTAGATTATGAAAATGAAGATGATTGAAAATTATTTTTCGGGGGTATTCTTTTCTCAGTAAAGGTAATAAAATATTTAGTTGATCTGGTTGAAATGTAGCACACTTAAATAACTCATTAATCGACATAATTTCAAGTAGTTATATTAGACGTCATTATGCAAAAAATAAAGTTATGAACATTTAATAAATTAGTGCACAATTGAGGCCCCTAGAACACAAGGGGTGTAAGTGCCAAAAACAAAGTTTTGAAAAATCTTTTTCAGTTTTCAGCATGTTTTCAATGACATGTAATTTTTGATGGTGTTATTGTTGTTAATGTAGAAAGTTTGAAGCCAAAAGTACGTGCCTGTTGTTAGATATCAGTTGCTAAGTGATAAGCAACTGCACTTACACCCTTGTGTTCTAGGGGCCTCAATTAGGGGTTTTTTGCAATTATCTCAGTCATTTGTTTATGTATTTTAATTTACAAACTAAAAAATTAAAAAACTTTTTAAGATCTGCAACATTTATTTGAAACATTTTTCCCTAAAATGCACGAGGAACAAAATAGGCAAAAAAATGATTTTTTCCAAACTTCATCTTTAAAAAATAAACAAAGCAAAATTAGCTGTAATTCTTCAAGGAATTATCATCAGTTATCCCTTATCTACCGTTTAGAACATTAAAAAACCTGTAGAATATTTTTCATATTTTTTTCCCTATTAACTGCGGTATTATGAATAAAAGCATTTTAGGAATTATTACCATTTATTTCATTCACGAATTTTCTATTAACAACTTTAGCTTACCTAAACATATCTTAGTTTACCGTGAGTTTCGCCCTGCTTATTTTACAAAAGTAGCAAAACTTACAATGGCAGTAGAATTGGCAACGCTGTTATCCTATATCCGTACACTGCCATCTGAACGTGACTTTCAAGGCTGCCAGGTCTAGGGATTTATCCCGAATCTAGGGATATTTCAGTATAAAAGGGACAAAGGGATTTTTTTGATATTTAGTGTAAAATCTAGGGATTTTTGACCGGCTCAAATATTTACCCACATAGGCCTATTATAATAACATTTTCTTTAATTCAGGTATAAAACCACTTCGTATTAACAGTATTAAATACACGATCTTTCATTACAACTAATTAAACTAACAACTAACAGTAAACTACTTAAAGATTCTATTATCAGATGTCGCTAACTGTCCACGTTCTTGGAATCTTTATTTTATGCTACCAAATAGATTTCTGTCAAAAGTAGATTCCTATATATTTTCAGAAAGAAGCAAATTCTGGAGCTGGAATTAGGGGATTTACAAAAGTCCTAGCTTTTATAAAATAAAAAATTAGGGGATTTACAGTAGGAATCGGGTGATTTACAGGATTCGTGAAAATCAATAAATAAAATTCTATGCTTCACCGTTTCATTTCTCTTCAAGTTGTATTTTGTATTAATTTTATTAAGTAAATATGTAAAGAATACGTACGTTATTCCGTTTTTGTTAAATTTATTCAAATGATCGCTATTGTACTGTTTATGAAATAAAGGTATAAAACAACAATTTTTTTATATCAATGTTATTATATTAGGCAACTATCAATACATCCCATAATTTTATTCAGAAATAGGCAACCATACATACATTTATTCCAATCTAGGGATTTCTAGGGATATTTAAATGTTCAATTTAGGGAGGACAAAAATTTTCACCTGGCAACCCTGGTGACTTTATCTATAGTAGATAATTTTACCATGTACACTCATGCTAACCATGATACAATTTGCTACATTTGGTGTGAAGTCGAAGAAACCATCACATCAAATGATTTTTCTTTGTGTATTGTCAACTTTACAAATAATTTAAATTCTGCGGACGTTGACGAAGTTATACTTTGAAATGATGTACCTACCAAAACCGAAATGCTGAAGTAATGCACTGTTACAAACTTCAGCCCTAAAGAACATTACTATAATTCAAAAGATTTTGGAGAAAGGACACACGCAAATGTTTTGTGACTCGTGCGATAGCAAAATAGAAAGAAAACTGAAAACAGGGTTATCAATCCTGCTGATTACGTTTTTATAGCAAAAACTGCACGAAAAAACCCACGACCATATAAAGTAGATCAAAGGGTTCTTTAGTGAGTACTCTACACTAAATTCAGTCTCAAGAATTCGGCCAGGGGTGTAAATCTGGTGACAAAATTGTTACCTATATTAGGGCCCTAAAATGTACACCACAAGGACAAATATTTTATAAGTTATAAATTTTTGTAGAGTGGCAATTGCTGTCTCAAAGAATAAGCAAAATTCAGACAGATTTTCCAAATTTGTATACGAAAATTCTGGAAACCAATAATTATCTATTGAAAAAAGCGTCCGAATTGTACCAAAAACCAGGATATGCGTTTTTTAAAACATGAGATTTCAAATTTGATGTTTGCAATGTTTTCAGATTTACCATTTTTTTGATATCATTATTCATTTTAGATTTTTAAATACAACACTCCCTAAATGGTATCATAGCATAAGAAAAATTCTGACAGTAATAGATATCAAAATGATTATAAAAGAAAATATCGTAATACTGGTAGAATAATTGGTCAAATACTACTTAAAAAAATTATTAAAGAAAAATCTGTTATGAAACAAATACCGACCCATTAACGTTCCTGACGTGTTCTTCAATTTTTCTCGTGCTCTCCCTCGGATTGAAGTGTTTTACATGAGGAGTACCATAGAGCCCAACGTCGACATACAGTTGCTCACTTGCTCCCATTCTGGCATTCAGCATACCAGGATTGTGCGGCAAACTGAAAGGACACAACCATATGGGATATACTTTAACACAATCGTTAATTACATCCAGAGATTCTTTTAGATTGTGAACAGGTACTAACATGTCTTGGATAAAATGGTGATTTTCGTACAGCTTTTTAGTAGCTTGTGTTTGAGTTAGCTTTAGTAACGATATTTTTGGCGGGGCAAGCCAACCTAAAAGTATTCTGAAGACGATGTTGTTGCCAAATGGAATTATGTCCTAAAAAACAAACATACATGCTCATAGTTTTCAGTCTAGCGTCGCTCTAAGAATTATATCGTTCTATCTAGCGATGGGCTAAATATCACTACTCTGTGATTTAACAGCTGTGATTAGAAAATAACAATCACAACTTGTGAATAACAACAAAATATACTGTGACTGTGATTTCGGTAGTTCTTGATATATCACTAACACGCGATATATCACTTTCTCGTCTCAGTCGCAAAGTTGTGAAATGAGAGACGTGTAACAGGATAACAAGGAACGAGATAGAGGTAGTCGGCGCATCGGCGGTATTGTGAAGTTTTTTCTAATGAAGAATGCAAAGGCAAAGATAATTTTTGCTCCGTCATTGGAGCAATATGATTAGTGTAATATTGATACGTAACAAATATTTGAAGAAAATGAAAACGATATATAGAATTTCAGTATATTAAGTTTGTGCAACTCAATGTATTTGTATCGATATTCAATAATTTTTATTCTCATAATTTTAAAAATGCCGCCAGTGCCAAATAAAAAGAGAAAAGTTTATCATGCGCATACGACTATTTTGTTGATCTGTTAAATCACAATCACAGGTAAAAATGACAATGAATAAAAAATCACAATCAAAGTTATACCTGTAATTGCAGAATCACAGTTTAGCCCATCACTAGTTCTATCGTTTGCTCTCTGTCTCTTGCTCTCTCTTTCTCTCAATACCAAATAGAGTGTAGGTTAGAATGTACAAATAAACAAGAATTAAAACAAATATTTTTATTGGAAAATTTACTACATTGCCATTTGATTAACAAAATTACCTGTAGTTCCCAAAATATTGATCTGGTGTGTCTGTGGTAATAATCTCTTAAAGGAATACACTCAGCGGTTATTTCGTCTGATTTTAATTTTTCTTCTACATGTTTAAAAAACCATGGTTTGTACCATCGTCCAATATTATTAATCTAAAAAAAGCCAAAGTATATATATATCTACATATAGAGCATACATTCTTAACATATAGAGCCAATAACTTCACAAAAAGTACCAACAGAGCACTTTAATTGTCTTGTTTACTTGATTTAGCAATCCACACATGTGTGTATATATTTTATCCATCAGTGGGTGGCCATGGCATAACAGTACGAATTATCGAAAAGGGATTGATGAAGAAATATACGGGGTTCGTGGAATAATTTGTTTGAAGGAAGGTTTTGAATTACTGATTCAAATTAAACTGTTTATTTAACTCGGAATAAGGGGATCTTATTTATTGTTTAAGATAAGAGAGTGATAAATCTGGCTCAAATTATCCACCATATTTACCAAGGGCTGATGGATGTTGAAAATTATGGCACATTTTAAGGAGAGATCTCTTATAATAAGAGATTAGCAAATTAACAAAGGCGGGGTTAACAATATGTTTCTTTAAACTTAACTGTTGATAATGCCATGCATATTGCAGAATCCAGATGGTCTATCACACAATGATTAATGCTACGAAAATCGTTACCAGGTGATTGCTTCCAGTTTACTCCACTTAGCCTCTTCTACTCAAATCCGACTCTCACCTTCACGATGGTACCTCCTGTTAAACCGAGAACCCAATTGGAGATCCGGTATTCAACCTGTGTGGAAAGTTGGGTCGGGAACTAAGGAGAGCGAGTGAAATGGTCCTCCGAAAAGGGGGTTGTGCTATGGGCTGACGTTCCGTACATGTAAAAATTTGGAGCCAAGAAAGAGAAACTATTGCCTCGTAACAGGACGGATAGGAAATATAAACGACACTCGCAACGAAATAAGGATATTTGCATAGGAACGTGGAATCTGTTAAGTTGGCGAAGACCTGAGATAACAACGAGAGCCATTAGACAACTACAAAAATATAGCATGGATATAACGGCAATACAGAACTAAGAGGGACAGCAACGGGAATTCTGGAAATGAAAGATACTATATTAAATCAGGAGTGATAGATTTCAAGCCAATAAACGAACGAATCTGCTATATTGGACTCAATATGTAAGTGGTTCAATCTCACAATATTCTCAATATATGTCCTAACAGAAGATGCTGAAGAAGATAGGAAGGATGAATTTTATAAATTATTAGATCAACAATATAAAGTTGCTCTAAAACACGACGTCAAAATAGTGATGGGAGATGGCAACGCTAAACTAGCTAAGGAAGATTATTTAAGAGAAGTAATTGGTAAGCATAGCTTGCACGACACAACAAATGATAATGGGCACCGGCCAACACAATTCGCAATATCTAATAACGTGATCGTTTAATCCACCCAATTCGAGAGAAAGGACATTTAAAAGGTCACATGGGTTTCAAATGATGGAAGAACACTAAATCAAATAGATCATGTCCTCATTGAAGCAAGACACTCTAGTAGCATTATTAATTCGCGAAGTATGAGAGGAGCTGACAGCGATAGGAGATAACGCGATTATCAATACAGAAACTGGAACAACAAGAAAAAAGAGAAATATGGAACATAGATGCCCTACAAAGACCAAATAAAGAACTGGATTATTAAGTGGCAATAAGCAACAGATTCTAATTGCTGGGAGAGGCAGCAAGTGGTATCAGTTATAGAAGAAGCAGCCAAGCAAAACATTTAAAAAAAGAGGACTTGCCGAAAACGGAAATGAGATGAATTCACAGGGGATTGGAGAAAACGCCGCAATGCTGAATTGGTAACTCTGTATGAAACTGAAAACATAGTTAGACATATCAAGGCAAACAGAATAAGATAGGCAGGTCACGTGGTACGATCAGAGGATGACATAGTGTTAAAGACAGTGTTTTTTGAAAGACCAGATGGTAGAAGATCAGTAGGCCGACCGAGAAAAAGATGGAAGGATGATGTTGAAGCCGATTTATCTAGAATTGGGGTACAACAATGGGAAATAGAAGCGCAAGATCGTAGAGGATGGAGGGGATAGTGGATGCGGCGAAGACTCAGACCGAGTTGTAAAGCCAGTAAAGAAAAAGAAGAAGAAGAAGGTGATTATTAAAATTATTGATTTGCAATATCAGAACATTTTGTAAACGAGCAAAATGCAATATAGACCAATAACTATAAAGTGTTAAAGTACATATAACAGCTCTACTGGTAGTCAGGCGGAGAGGGAGTGGATAAGTAATTAAGAATATATATATACTGCGCATAGTGCCTGGCAGAATTTGTTCGTATTAAATCTGATTAAAAATCTTATATTTTACATCCGTTTTTGTCTTAAATACGCATTTCTACTTACTTTTGCTGAAAAAGGTTTGTCTATTTGTATACCAGTCATTAAGATAGCTTCAGACTCGCTAAACATCAAAACCTCAACAAATTCGTTTGATTTGTTACTACTGGCATCAATCAATTTCTCTACTATATTATCCTGACCTCGTACTGGCTCGTACTCTAGTTTGACGTACTTCTGAGCAGGAATCAAGCGAATCTCTACAGCAGTCAAAATTCCTAAAGTTCCATATGACCAAGGCACAGAATAGAATAAGTCAGCTTCTTGATCAGCACTACAGGTTACCACTCTGCCGTCAGATAGTACCAGTTCGTAGGAGATACAGATGTGCTGGAATAAACCGTAAATGTGTGAGGACGACTCTATGCCGGTTCCCATTACCAAACCGCCAACCGTTAAGTCGTCTATTTCTGGCAAAACTGGAATGGTCCAGCCTAGGGGATTTAACGTTGCTGTAAGTTGACCCATAGAGACCAACGGTTCAACTTTAACTACCTAAAACAATTTTTTTAAGAGTATATTTAACAAATTTTTAAAAATATAGTTTTTGAGTACAAGTAAGCAAGGAATTTAAAAATCATAAGAGTTATATTAAATTAAACTAAAACAGTTAATATCACTAATCTACGGAATTGACCTAAACAACTAGAAGTTAAAGACTTTACTAAATCAGAAACTATGAGGCAATCAGCTTCAGACACCCACAACTTATAATACTCTAAGGAACATAATAGTTAGTGGAAAACAGAAAGAAAGGAGTTTAAAAAATCAAAGGAACAATGGTTGTTAATTTGTTGGGGATCTTTCTCATGATATATGAGAAATCTTTATTTCATATTTCTGTCTCCGGCTTCTATATAAAATGTAGCTTCTCCATTTCGTAAATTTTAAAGTGTTTGTTTGTCTTTGTTTGGTGTATTTGTTATGTCCCAATTTACATTTATGACATTCTGTTACTGCTGGATAGGCCACAACTGACGAAATGCCCCTGAGGATGATCTTGTGATCGAAAGTACTTGGGCAAGATTTGATTAACTACTGTGTTCGATATTTGCCTTGTGTACCATCAAAGTTTATTATTTATTAGTTTATGGCCTAACGTCTGAAACATTTTCTGATTTGCGGTAATACGTATGGTTATTTATAAATGTTTAGTTTTTTATTTTAGTTGTTCATTGAGTGACAAGACCACCTCTCTGGAACGGCGGTTGAGGTTTTAGCCTGAACACGGTTAATCCGGCACTACCCTGGGGCTTCTGGCAAAAATTCTTCTAAGGCTCAATAAACAAAGAGAGTTAGTTAATATCTAACAAAAAAAGAGAAAGACTTCATATCTTGGTCAAACATTAGAGAAAAGCTTTTAAAATTAATTATAGAAGGAAAAATACTAGGCAAAAGGGAACAGGGAAGTCTTAAACACTCGTTGAAAAATATAATAGATTGTACTGGTTTTAATTCAAACTCACTTATTCGAGTTGCTCAAGTTAGACATTCCTAGGCTGAGATTGTTACCAATCTTCAATGAAGATGAACCATACCAAGAAGAAACATGAAATTAATATAATTTACTAGCTATATTGAGAGTTGATACTAAAAACAGTTTAAGAAACTGTTATAAATATGCCTTGTATTTCTCTTTCCAAGAAAAATTGTCCAAGAAAAGTAGAAAAAGAGGAATTATTAAAGAATATTGTTTTACCCAAAATAAAACAACTATATTGGCACATATTAAAAAATTAATTTAGATTAGACTTACCTTCCGTTCTTTGTCGATTTCCAAAACATCTACTAGATTCACTTCTACTTTTGTCAACTGTTTTTTGTACAGCGGTCGTCTGAAAGACATTGTTTGCCAACCCGGTCGCGCAGTACACATTTTTGTTTTGCGTCCATCTTTATTCCACTGTAGGATCTAGAAACAAAACTGTATTTAACATATTTATTCCAGTCATAAGCAATTTCAGGTAGTATACTTAAATAAATAATCAACTACTATAGTTACTTATTTATTTAGCGTATGGACTTTCACAGTACGATAAATATACAAATACAATAACATATACATATACTTATATCAAATATATTATTCAAACACTAAAGATAGAATGAATGACACTAAATATTAATGTCCAATTTACATAGCCATTCAATTGCTTCTGGGGAACATTCCGCAAAGTACTGGAGGTTTCCACGGTAGGCACGATTCAAGCAGTCTGAAACACAATGGCTTATGGTCTATCTAGATTGTCTGCAATCGCACTGTGGACTTTCTGCACGACCCCACCTGAACAGCGAATCAGCACATTTACCATGTCCGGTACGTATACGATTAAGCCTTACCCAAGTGGACCGGGGCAGATTTGATCCGATGAAACCCTGAGTTGGGGTGGATATCTTAATATAGTTCGATTCTACGGTTGGCATCCATCTTGTTGTCCATTGCCTATGTATATCATAGGAATTACCAATTTTTCGGGCGGATCGTATTGGAGGATTTCTAGATCTCAGTCGCTGGTGCTCTTTTGAGATGTCTTGGTAATTGTACGTTGGCTACAATTTTCTGGTACTCTCTCAATAATGCTGCTGTACGGCGTAGATCTGGTGGAGCAGTATTGCTCAGAGTAGGCAGCCATCTCACTGGCGTTATTGTTTCAGTGATTATTCTCATGGTTTGGTTAAGTTGAACATCGATTTTGCTTGTATCTGCACTATTTAGCCATACTAGTAGATAGATAGTGTTCCTTCTGGAGCGGAAGTGACGTCACACGTCGATCGTCAAGCGTACGTATCCTCATGGGCCAAGGCCACGCCCCCCTCGTGACGTAGGAACGTGCCTAGGGTCTCGAGGCCACGCCCCTCGACCAATGGTGACGTAGGAACGTACCTCGTGTCTCTAGACCACGCCCCTCGGCCAATGGTGGCGTAGGAACGTCCCCCCATGTCTTGCTGACCAATGGTGGACGTTCTCGTGACGTCGGAACGTGTCGTCGACCAATGGCAGCATAGCAGCGTCAGTGGTGGGAATAGCAACACCCCCAGCGACCAATGACAGCTCAGAATTTGAATAAACATCATAGAAATGGCGGTCTAGCGATGAGGAACCAATGGTGACATAGTAACGCCCTCCTCGTGACGTCGGAACGTGTCGTTGACCAATGACAGCATAGCAGCGTCAGTGGTGGGAATATCAGGCCAATGGTGGCATAGTAACGCCCTCCTCGTGACGTCGGAACGTGTCGTCGACCAATGACAGCATAGCAGCGTCAGTGGTGGGAATATCAGGCCAATGGTGGCATAGTAACGCCCTCCTCGTGACGTCAGAACGTGTCGTCGACCAATGACAGCATAGCAGCGTCAGTGGTGGGAATAGCAGACCAATGGTGGCATAGGAACGTCCCCCAATGGCCTGCTGGCCAATGGAGGACGTCCTCGTGACGTCGGAACGTGTCGTTGACCAATGGCAACATAGCAGCGTCAGTGATGGGAATAGCAACACCCCCAGCGACCAATGACAGCTTAGAATTTGAATAAACAACATAGAAATGGCGGTATAGCGATGAGGGACCAATAGTGTCATAGTAACACCCTCCTCGTGACGTTAGAACGTTTTTCTCGACCAATGATGCCACAGAAACGTGTCCTCAACCAATGGCGGACATCCTCGTGACGTTGGAGGCCAATGGTGTGCATCAACGGCCAATGAGAAAGACGTGCATCGACTAATGGTGGAGTCGTACCACAATATTAACGAAAAGACGCCCCCAGTCCCCCCCATTCCCCCGAAAAGACGTTCCCAGTCCCCCCATTCCTCCCGAAAAGACGCCCCCCCAATAATAACGAAGCTACACGTCCAACGTAACCAATGAGAACGATGTACAATCGCTGGTCGGTGACTGCGTTCTATGAATTGACAAAGAGAAGAAGACGAATGACAGACAAAGAGAGCAATTTTTCCTCGTATTTTTTTGTAATTAAAACCTACAACCATTAGCGTAAAACTTCTAAATTTTTTCAATTTATATTTTACGAGTTACCTCGTATATATTTTATCGATTACCATAATAACAAAAATTCGTTTATTTTTCAATTTATACTTTACATGATCAGTTGAATGCTACTGAGAATAATGACATCATCGGATACGCCGGCTATTAAAAATGTCTCACGCGATCACGATATATAGCCGGAAACACGTGCACATTCCAATTCGATTATTTAATGTAAGATAAAATATATTCGCATGGAGGCAGGAAGCAGGTGCATAATCCGTTGTATTTAATAATTAAGCCCGGCATGTGATGCATAAATGAATAGTCTTACGAAATATTGCGCAACATAGTTTTAGCGTGGGAGAGGCAGTTGGATAAAGAGCAGATGCACTACATATCGTCAGTTCAATTCTGATCATCCTTCAGACAAGTTGTGTGTTTTGTGCAGCGTCAGCAATTATACAAAGTACCGTTCGGAGAAGTTCTGTGTTTGTGAAGTGTCGGCAATTATATATACAAAAGTAAGTTTTATAATACTTAACCTTTTTTATATCATTTAGAATTCATCATTATCTTTACTAATTTCCAATTCTTAATAATTTTTCTGATTTAAACATTTTATTCAAATTACTTGGTTATATTCTCCGTTCTAAAAAAAAAAATGTTTGTAAATAGTGCGGTATTTGTAATTTTTTGTTTCTATGAAAGTTTTGTTAGTTAAAACTATTTCATTGTTAAATTAAAAAATATACATATTATAATAGATAGAATTTTTGTAAAATAATATTGCTACTCAAAGATATTTCACTGTTAAATTAAGAAATTGCTAGTCAAAGATATGTTACTGTTAAATTAAGAAAATATATATTGTTGCAGATGGACCTAAAAAAGATTAATGCATCCTCTCTGCTTACAGAGAAGACAATCAAGCCAATTAGAAAGCTAAACAGCCTACCTGTAGGAGTACCCCAGAAGATAATTGCGGCAAGAGAAGTCGATACGAAATTTGGGAAATCCATCCTTATTGAATTAGAAAAGGAGGTGACGTTCTTGCCGCAAAGGGTGGTTGAACTCTACAGGCCGCATTTGGAACATTTCAGCGAGGGAAAGTACAGCTTGGTGTTCCGAGGAAACGTTGCCACTGGAAAGGTGCAGCCAGCCGCCTCGTTTGAAATAATAGAAAATTAGAGGATAAAAAAAATATTGGTGAGTTTTTCATTTATTGATTTATTGCTTTTTACTTAATCATGAGTAACATTGGTGATCTTAGTAATGACATTGTACAACATTTAATTAAAGCGCGTGATGTTTTGTTTCGAAATTATACACCGCGAGAAGCGAATATTTGGTTAAATCACATTAAAAGGCATTTGACTTTGTTTACTAAAGCGATTCGGTGTGGGGACTTGGAATTAGCTAAATTACGGCAACTACAGACAAACGCGGGGCATTTAAAGACAATTAAATCGGAAATTCAAAATTTCGGTCTTCGCGTGGGTGGTGGAATTACTAAACATCGTCGGGTTAAATGGGAAGATGTAAATTCCGCATTCAAGAGTAGAATCAGAACAGGTATAATTATTAATCTAGGACACAAAGATTTAATGCAATTTTTCGGAGATTGTTTTAAGTTATTTAGAATTCGAATTAAAAACATTTTAAAAAAATTAAATATGATAAAATGTAATATGACATTATGTGGAGAATTTATTAGAAAATCAAATCAAGGAGGTGATATTAACCAATTTAAATATTTTAATACCAAAAACGAAGCCATAGACGCAGGAACGGACTTGGTTTTATGGTTTCACACAAACATAGTTGATAAATTAATGTCTAAGCTATCGGAATTTGAAGAAACGGGATCAGGGTGGGCTTTGAAAAAAATAGTTTCTTTAGAAGTCAATATAAATAAATATGAAGTGGGAAATGGAGCTTCGTCGTTCATTAGATTACCAGAACAAATCCAAAAGAAGCACGCATGTATTAATATCAAAAACGATGATGAAGCATGCTTTTTTGGAGCATAGTTTCAGCGATTTATCCAGCTAAATGCAGTTCAGATCGTACATCTTCATATCCACATTATGCGACTGTCTTAAATATCGATGGGCTAGAGACACCTATGACTATAAAGGGTATTTCAAAATTTGAAAAGTTAAATAATATTTCTGTAAACGTGTACGGGTTAGAAATGAATGTTGCTAAAGAGAGAACATTTTACGTAACAACGCCGGTAAGGCTATGCAAAACCAAATTAACTAAACATGTAAATTTATTGATTGTACAAGATAAATATTTTCCAAAATTGAATGACTACGAAGCACCTATGGCTCACGATGAATCTGTAGAAATTAAGTATCATTATTGCATGATTAAAGATATGTCTCGACTTATGTCCAGGCAGTTAAGTAAGAACCGTAATAAAAAATTTTTATGTGATAGGTGTTTGAATTATTTTAGTAGTTTTGACAGATTAAATGATCATGCAAAATACTGTGAGAAAATTAATGAATGTAAAGTTTCTTTTCCATCATATCAGAATGTTGAATTTAAAAATCATATTTATAAACAAACAACTCCTTTTGTAGTCTATGCCGATTTTGAGTCAATGTTGAACAAAGTTAAAAACAGTCCATTAAAATGCAAAACAATTAAGTATCAGCAGCATAAAGCCTTTAGTGCAGGTTATTACGTAAAATGCTCTTACGATGAATCTCTGTCGTTTTACCGAAGTTACGCAGGTGAAGATTGCATGGAGTGGTTTGCCAAGGAAATGACGTTGTTGGCGGCATTTGTGCAAGGAAAAATTAAAGATATTGTACCTATGAATGTCGCACCCAGTTTTAATGCATCTAATTGTCACATTTGCGAAAAAAACGTTTTCAGATAAGGATGTAATTGTTCGTGATCATGATCATTT